TTACATTTTGAACTTTGTCTTGAACATAACTCTAAAATTATAAAGAAATATCAACATGAGACTTTGTAAGTAGATAGATCTCATCGGGTGGAAGTGCAATGCAAAAGAACCATATCTCTGCTCAGCCCTGTTTTTGAATTATCCCCCCTTTTAGAAAAATCTTTTCCGGAACATAACTCTAAAACTATAAGAGATACCAACATGAAATTTTGTAGGTAGGTAGATCTCAATGGATAGCTGTGCAGTGCACAAGAACCGTAACTCTGCCATGCCTAATTTTAGAGTTCTTGCCCTTTGTTCATTTTTAGCTCACCTGTCACAAAGTGACAGGGTGAGCTTTTGTGATCGCTTTTCGTCCGGCGTCCGTCCGTCCGTCCGTCGTCCGTCCGTAAACTTTTACTTTAAATGACATCTCCTCATAAACCACTAAGCCAATTTCATCCAAACTTCACAGGAATGTTCCTTTGGTGATCACCTTTAAAAATTGTTCAAAGAATTTAATTCCATGCAGAACTCTGGTTGCCATGGCAACCGAAAGAAAAAACTTTAAATATCTTCTTTTAAAAAACCATAAGAGCTAGAGCTTAGATATTTGGCATGAAACATCTTCTAGTGAGTGTCTACCAAGTTTGTTCAAATAAAAGCCCTGGGGTCAAAATTGGCCCCGCCCCAGAGGGTCATTGGTTTTCCCTATATGCATATAGTAAAAACTAAAAAAATCTTCTTTTAAAGAACCCAAAGAGCTAGAGCTAAGATATTTAGCATGAAACATGTTCTAATGGGTGTCTACCAAGTTTGTTCAAATAAAAGCCCTGGGGTCAAAATTGGCCCCGCCCCGGGGGGTCATTAATTTTCCCTATATGCACATAGTAAAAACTTAAAAAATCTTCTTTTAAAGAACTCAAAGAGCTATTGCTAAGATATTGAGCATCAAACATGTTCTAATAGGTGTCTACCAATTTTGTTTAAATAAAAGCCCTGGGGTCAAAATTGGCCCCGCCCCAGGGGGTCATTGATTTTCCCTATATGCATATAGTAAAAACTTAAAAAATCTTCTTTTAAAGAACCCAAAGAGTTAGAGCAAAGATATTTAGCATGAAACATGTTCTAATAAGTGTCTACCAAGTTTGTTCATAATAAAAGCCCTGGGGTCAAAATTGGCCCCGCCCCAGGGGGTCATTGATTTTCCCTATATGCATATAGTAAAAACTTTAAAAAGTCTTCTTTTTAAAAAACCCAAAGAGCTATGGCTAAGATATTTAGCATGAAACATGTTCTAATGGGTGTCTACCAAGTTTGTTCAAATAAAAGCCCTGGGGTCAAAATTGGCCCCGCCCCGGGGGGTCATTGATTTTCCCTATATGCATATAGTAAAAACTTAAAAAGTCTTCTTTTAAAGTACCCAAAGAGCTAGAGCTAAGATATTTAGCATGAAACATGTTCTAATGGGTGTCTACCAAGTTTGTGCAAATAAAGCCCTTGGGTTAAAAATTGGCCCTGCAACGTTTGTGGGGGGGGGTGGGGGGGGCCTATATACAGGTGAGCGACCTCAGGGCCATCATGGCCCTCTTGTTACTTTTTTATACCCCCAAAAAACTAAGTTTTTTGGGGGGGGGGTATATAGGAGTCACCCGGTGGTCGGTCGGTCCAGTGGTCCGTTGCATTTTCCTTGTCCGGAGCATAACTTGAAGACTAATGGTTGGAATTCAATATAACTTCATACAATGGTCAAGCACATTGAGAGGCAGTGCAGTGCACATGAACCATAACTCCATCTTGACTAATTACAGAGTTATTGCCATTTGTTACTTTTCCTTGTCCGGAGCATAACTTGAAAACTACTGGTTGAAACTCGAAACAACTTCATACAATTGTCAAGCACAATAAGGGGAAGTGCAGTGCACAAGAACCATAACTCTATTTAAAGTAATTACAGAGTTATTGCCCTTTGTTATTTTTCCATTGCTTTCTTTTGTCCGCAAAATAACTTGAAGACTAATAGATGGAATTCAATATAACTTCATACAATGGTCAAGCACATCGAGGGGAAGTGCAGTGCACAAGAACCATAACTCCATTTTGACTAATTACAGAGTTACTGCCCTTTGTTACTTTTCCTTGTCCGGAGCATAACTTGAAAACTACTAGTTGGAATTCAAAAGAACTTCCACACTAAGGGGAAGTGCCATGCACAAGAACCATAACTCTATCTTGACTAATTACAGAGTTATTGCTCTTTGTTACTTTTCCATTGCTTTTTTTGTCCGGTGCATAACTTGAAGACTAATGGTTGGAATTCAATATAACTTCATACAATGGTCAAGCACATTGAGAGGAAGTGCAGGGCATGAGAACCATAACTCCATCTTGACTAATGACAGAGTTATTGCCCTTTGTTACTTTTCCTTGTCTGGAGCATAACTTGAAAACTACTGGTTGGAATTCAATACAACTTCATACAGTTGATAAGCACATTAAGAGGAAATGCAGTGCACAAGAATTATAACTCCATTTTGAGAAATTACAGAGTTATTGCCCTTTGATACTTTTCCTTGTTCGGAGCATAACTTAAAACATACTGGTTGGAATTTAAAACAACTTCATACAATGGTCAAGCACAATAAGAGGAAGTGCAGTGCACAAGAACCATAACTCCATTTTGACTAATTACAGAGTTACTGCCCTTTGTTACTTTTCCTTGTCTGGAGCATAACTTGAAAACTACTGGTTGGAATTCAAAACAACTTAATACAATAGTCAAGCACAAGAACTATAACTCTATCCAGAGTAATTAATTATTTATAGCCCTTTGTTACTTTTCCATTGTTTTTTTCTTGTCCAGAGCATAACTTGAAAACTACTAGTTGGAATTCAATACTATTTCATACAATGGTCAAGTATATTGAGGGGAAGTGCAATGCACATAAACCATAACTCTGTTTTGACTTATTTAAAAGTTTTTGCCCATTGTTACTTTTCATTGTTCAGTGCATAACTTGAAAATTAATGGTTGGAATTCAATGAAACTTTATACAATAGTCAAGGGCAGTGAGATGAAGTGCAGTGCACACGAACAATAACTCTATTTGGACTGATTATAGTTATTGCCTTTGTTCCAGTGCATAACTTGAAAACTAGTAGTTGGAATTCAATACAACTTCATACAATGGTCAAGCGCAATGAGAGGAAGTGCATAGTGTACAATAACCATAACTCAATCTTCAGTATTTATAGAGTTATTGCCCTTTGTTCCTTTTCCTTGTCTTTCTGGACTTATTACAGAGTAATCCAATAAAACTTCATCAATGGCCAACCGCATTGAAAGGAAATGCAACATACAAGAACCACAACTATCTTTAATTGCCCACAACCATAACTGTATTTCAATTCTTTACAAGGTATTCTGTTACTAGTAACATCCTCATTTCCGAAGCAATTATCAAAGATATCAACATGAAACTTTGTAGGTCGATAGATTTCATTAAGTAGAAGTGCATTGCAAAAGAACCATAAATCTGGTTAGCCCAGTAATTGAATTATTTCCCCTTTTAGAAAAATCTTGTCTGAGACATAATTCTTTAATTATAAGGGATTTCAACATGAATCTTTGTAGGTAGATATATCTCAATAGGTAGATGTGCAGTGTACAAGAAACGTTACTCTGTTTTGCCTTATTTTGGAGTTATTGTCCTTTGTTCATTTTTATATTTTAAACTTTGTCAGGGACATAACTCTGAAAAACCATAAAGGTATCAACAAAAACTTTGTAAGTAGATAGATTTCATTTATTAGAAGTCCAGTGCAAAGAACAGTTACTCTGCCTTGCCTTATTCTGGAATTATTGCACTTTGAACTTTGTCTAGGGACATAACTCTGAAACTACAAGAGGTGTTCTTTTCTGTGTCAAAAACCTATTCTGGGAGCATCACCCGTATCAAACTGGGCTCTTGTACGATCTAAGGTCTAAGTTGTTGTTTCTTTTATTTACCATTAAGAGAAGAAAATTTATGAATTTATGCAGGAAAGTAAAGTCAGTTTTGGGCTAGTAACTTTGATGATTGGCTGGTAAGTTCAAAATGTTTATTTTGAAGACTGCAATGATGGTTGTGTACATGAATTTTTTTTGTTTGAAAGATGTTTCATGGGAACGCCCCTAGCTGGCAGGCAGCATCCAGTGTTTTCAAGTGCATATCTCCTACACACATAGAAGGATTTTAATAAAATTTCATAGAAATGTTCACAGCTGTGTGAAGCCATGTCACATACATGAAGGTCAAAGGTCAAGGTCACATTTAGTGGATATAGAATAAATGTTGTCTGGAGCAAAACTTCTAATTATATGAGATAGTATTTGTTAATGTAACACCCCCTCCGTGGTCCAGGGGTTAGAGTCAATGACCTCTCTCTGGCATGGGTTCTATCTCCGGGAAATGCTTTGGTAGTTTAGCACGAAGGAATATAGTCTAGTACTGGTGTAACTCTCCAGGTACGGTGGTTAGGAAACAACCCACCTATATGACTGAAATACTGTTGGGAAAAGGCGTAAAATGAAACAAACAAACAAAAAGGAGTTAATGTTAACACTAAACAGATTTATTGTAACCATATTTATAGATTTATAGTAACCATGCCTTGATGTAAGACATAGGTCATGATTCCCCTTCTGCGCCCTGCTTTGGGCCATTTGTGTGTTTCTTGAAACAGTTTTTGCAAATATTATTGATATGCAAAGGCTAATGACTTTCCATTTACATGAGAAATTAGAAACAGGCCAAATACCATTTAACATTTACTTATACTATTTATGCAATTTCAATGAACTTTACAGGATTGATTTGTAGCTCAAGTCCTTGTGAATATTGCATGTTTTCCTGTTGAATGGTGCAATTTCATCCAAATACCATTTTACATTTACTTAAGAAAATAATTTAAGCCCAAATGAACCTTTTGTTTACATTTGATATATGATTATATTATCATTTTAATGTTTCTGTTTCCAGTGTCCCAGATTCTGATGTTACTATCCAACTATTTGCCGATGGTACACTTGTAACAAGAGATAAAGCAGGCACCAATTACAGTCAAGTTAAGTTAGAAGATCTAGGTTTAGATTTGTCAATGTTAGAAGGAAACACTGACATTGAGCTGCTCATTGTGCAAGGGGATGGTAAGGAAGTCAGAGCAACTATTAATACTAGTAAGCATGTTAATCCAACAACTGAGTCAGTAACCTCAGACAGTAAAAGTGCCTCAATCACAACTGCAGCATCATCTACGTCGGGAACTAAGTTAACGGCAAGTACTTCTGTATCGACTGATCGTACACCAGCCGTTAATGAAGCAAGGCCATACAAATGTTCTATGTGCCCACGGACCTTTAAGTTTTATAGGACCTTCAGATGCCATGAAATTGTTCATACCAAGGCTGTCACGTTCACTTGCCACTTATGTCAGCGTCTTTTTGCAAGAGAAGTCAATCTCCAGTCTCATTTGGAACTGCATAAGAAGAAAGGCGCTATGAGATCAACAGAGGAAGAAAAAAGGAGAGCTGAAAATAATAATAAGTGTGAACAGTGCAAAAAGATTTTCTCAAGTGTGAATGCATTGCAACGTCATATTAAAGACATGCATGAAGAACATCCTAGAGTTCCCTGTCCAATCTGTGGAAAAATGTTTAAGAATGAAGGAAATGTACAACGGCATTCAAAAATCCATGTTGGACCATTTACCTGTCCTCACTGTGTCAAAGTTTTCACGGATCGAATAGAATATTACGAACATATAAAGTCTGAACATGAAGATCTAATGTATCATTGTAAGGAATGCAGTGCTGTTTTACCTAGTAAAAGGGCTTTTGTGAATCATACAAAAACACAACATGCTAATTCAGATGAGCTGATTGACGACATTAAAGGTAAAGAATGCACGATCTGTCACAAGAGGTTTGAGGATGAGTCCGAGTTAGAAACCCACTTGTTGGTTCATTCTATTACAAAGAGTCATGAGTGTCCTGCTTGCCACAAGAAGTACAAGCTTCTAAACACATTAGAGAAGCATATAAAGGAAGTACACAATAATGATGTTATTTTTACCTGCTCTAAATGTGACGAAAAGTTTGAACAGAAAGGAAAGCTTGATTTACATGTAAAGTTATTTCACACAGGAAATTACCAATGCCTCACCTGTTACGAAGATTTCCCTGAACGAACAATGCTTGAAGAGCACCAGCACAAAGATCATGACTTTGCCCTTGAATGCTCCAAATGTAAAGAAAAATTTGAAACATCTCAGAAATTGAAGAATCATCTGAAGGAGCACACTTCACAAAACAACCTTTGTGACATTTGTGGAGCTGGTTTTGAACACAAAGCACAACTGAGAGGCCATCTTATTAACAAACATTTTGGAAGAGAAAAGACAAGCATGTTGAAGCAGTATCCATCTATGAGTAGTGTAAATATTGAGGTTGTTTGTGATCTCTGTGGAGAGTTCTGGCATAATAAACCATTATACAAGCAGCATTTGAGGGACATCCATTTTGGAGGAGATTCTGTCGAAATGTTGAAATTGTTTCCAACTTTTGAAAAAATCGCAGACCCACCTGAGCCAGTTACATGTGATCATTGCGGTAAAAAATGCAGTAGCATGACACAGTTGAATTTCCATTTAAGGACTCATGTAACCTCAAAGAGAAAGTCAGTACAAACTGAAGAAGAGGAGTCTTACTCAAGTGAGGATGAGCAAGATCCATATGATTTTACAAATATAGAACCACGTGAAATGGACAAAGACTATGAATGTAAAAAATGCAGTGCACAGTTTTCAAGGAAAGCGGCTCTAGAGAAACACATGTCAGTTCATAAGAAGGATGAGTTTAAGGAAGCCTTGAAACATCTTGAAAAAGAAGAAATTGCCAGAGCTGAGTTGGAGGAGAAAGAAGGATACAAACCTACAGCAAGTGTCAAAAAGGTAGCAAAAGAATCGTTCAAAAAAATTGTGAAAACTCCAAAACAAGGAAAGGCAGGAAAATTAAAACTTCCCTTTCCTAAAACTAAAGCTGAGCCATCACCTTCATCTGATACTACTCCAAATAAGAGGAAAGCTTCAAAAGTACATATTTGTAAAGTTTGTAAAGAAATTTTCAAAACAACTGATGAATTGGTTGTTCATATGCATAATGATCATGATGATTTTGACTTCAAAGCAGATACCGAAAGACCGTCAGGTGAGCAATTAGTAGAATTTGATTTATTAGCATTTCATTGTAAATCATGCGACAAAAGATTTACCTCGAGGAAGAATTTAAGAAAACACTTAAGAGGTGTTCATAAATATTTAGAGAAGACACCAAGTTCAAGTGAACTGTTCAAATGCACTGAATGTGAGAGGGAATTTACCATGAAGAGTAATATGGCCAGACATATGATGGCAAAGCATGACATCAAATTAGATGGAGATGAATCTGAATCCCCTACCAAAACTGGTAAAAGAGAGGGGAAAATAAGTGAAGGATCAGATGACAGTAATGAATCAATGGATGAAGATAACTCCACAGATATTACATCTTTCCTTGGAAAAAATTTCAATCTTGGAAAAACCCATTCATGCAACATACAGTCTGTAAAGAAGAAGCAACACAAGTGTACTTTGTGTGGGGAAGGATTCAGTAGAGATGCTACCCTTAAAAAACACCTCGCATTGCATGCTACAGATGATATTGATTATGATAGTAAAACCGATATTGAAGACATGTCAGATTTGCAGCCAGCCATATACACTTGTATATCATGTGGCAATGTGTATTCCACAGCTTTAGGTTTGATTCACCATACAAGAAGTAAGCATTCTGAAGTTGACGAAGAAACCGTTTTAGCTCAGATTGCAGAAATAGATGCACAGTTAAAATTGGACAGTTCTCCTAAGAAGAAACCCGAAAAAGAATCAACTAAAATAAATAAGAAAAGAAAATTTGAAGCAGAAGCTGCTGATGATGCTCGTGAAAATGCAAAGAAAAGGCTGAAACTTGACAGGGATGGCAAAGAATCATATGATTGCAAGTTCTGTGGTGCTGTATATTATACTTATAAAGGACTGATTAAACATGAAAGTGAAGTACATGATGGCGATAAACTGGAAAGCCCACAATCTGTAAAGTATAGTCATTCAGGAAGAATGATCACTAAAAGTAAAAAATTAAGCGAACAAATTCATTGTGACAAATGTAACAAGACTTTCCTTGAAGAGAAAGGGCTAAAGCAACACATAATGAGAGTCCATAAAATGGAGGAGACTGTGAAAGCAAAGCCTGCAGGTACAAACTATGGAGAATCAAAATGTGACCTTTGCCCAAAAGAATTTGATCAGAGAATAAATCTAAGAAGACATATGAAAATGAAGCATAACGTTGAACTGCCCCCAGAATCAATGAGCACATCTTTAATTGAATCTCCAAAAGGGAATTTGGTATATGACTGTGATGTTTGTATACAGAAGTTTTCAACATTATCTAGTCTACGTAATCATATGATGTCTGCTCATGATGAAAAAGATGTTGAGGTTATCTCTGAAGATAAGGTATGCAATATATGCAGTAGCACATTTGCCACTGAAAAAGCCTTGGAAGTACACATGAGAAAACATACAGGGGAGAAACCATACAAATGCTGTCTTTGTAACAAAGATTTTATCTCAAAGTACCAACTTGAAAGTCATATGATAAAGCTTCATCCTAAACAATGGGCAAAAAAAGTGAAGTGTAAAATTTGCTTGATGTTATTTGAGACACAGAAAGCTATGTTAAAGCATAAGGTTACACATAGAAAACCACTTGATTCCAAGGAACCAAAGGGCAGCCAGAGTGAACCAAGTCAACACAAATGCAATCATTGTGAAAAAATGTTCAGATGGAAAAGGAATCTTGTGTCCCATGTAGAAGTTTACCATACAGAATCTGATCCCCAGACTTGTGGAGTATGTAATAAAGTCTTTCCAGACAAAGAAAGTATCAAGGAACACATGGTAATACACAATAAAACTAAAAGAGAGCTACCAACTTGTAAAATATGTGACAAAACATTTAAGAAACAGTCCAGTCTCAAAATGCATGTAGCTCAGCTGCATAAGGAAAAATCTCCACCTAAGGGTAGTATGTCTTGTGATATTTGCAAGGAAAGTTTTGCAACAAAGATGAAACTTTTAGAACACATGTTGTCACATACATCTGTAATGCCACACAAATGTGACATTTGCTCTGCATCATTTCATCTAGAAATGAAGTTAAAAGCCCATAAGTTGACTCATAAGTTGAAAGAAAAGAAGACTGAAGGAAAGAATATTCTAGGAAAAGGCAAAGGAAAAGTTGGTGAGGAGAAGGTGATTACCAAAACTAAAAAGGATCTTAAATTTCAGTGCAAGAAATGCAGCAAAAAATTCAGCGAAGCATTGTTATTAAGAGCACATGTTTCAAAAGTTCACAAAACAAAGCTGCTTGTAAAAACATCCCTTCCCAAGGAAAGAGTTACAAGGTCAAGATCACTATCAGAGACAAAGACAAATACTGTAAAACCAGCCTCATCAAAAGAGAAAACACAGTTGAAAGAAAAGAAAGTTGTTAAAAAGGAGCTGAAGAAAACTCAGTCCAGTTTCTGTAAGAAATGCAATTTGAATTTCATCAAGAAGGATGCTTATGAGACCCATATGTCAACTGTACATGAAAAAGAGGACCAGGGAAAGAAAATACTTACAAAAGGTTCAGGGAATGTTGATAAACCAAAGAAAACTGAGAAGTCATCCGCAAATAAAAAAAGTGATGAGAAAAAAGAAAGTGTAGGCAAAGGTCCAGGAAGTGCTAAGCTCGACAAACAATCTACAAAGAAAAAAAGTGAGGAGAAAAATAATACAGTCGGATTTGATTGTCCAATCTGTAAAAAGATATTTTCCAAACAATTCAAATTGAAAACTCATATAAAGAATGTACATAAGGTTGTGATGGAAGATTCACCTTCATCATCGGATAGTAAAAGAAAGAAGTGCCTGTATTGTAACCAATGCGCAAGAGTTTTCTGGAGTCAAAAGCAATATGATACTCACAACAAAAAATTTCACCCTGATAAAGATGCATTAGAACTAGACAAACAGGTGATGGAAGCAATGGGAGAAGGAGATATTAAGACTGAACCAGCTGATGTCATGTCTCCAAAGCATGCAGAATTTGAGACAATTCAGCATAAGTGTGAATTTTGTTCAATGGTTTACTGGACAAAGAAACTTTTTGATGAGCACATGCTGAGTGAACACCCCGAGCATGCAGCTGAGTATGGCATTACTGGCGAGGATGACACATCAAGCCCTGTAATAGAATTTGTAAATGACAGCGAAGATATGATAGGAAATTTGTTGTCAGTTGGTTCTTATGATGTATCTGCCTGCAACAAATTATCAAGTCTTCCAGTAGTGTCTATTCAGAGAATTAATGGAAAGCTTGATAACATGGCTCAAAATAAGGAACAATCCTCTGAAAAAGATGATGCAGGTGAAAGCAGCTCTGATGCAGAATCTGAAGATGCAGATGAATATACTAAAGAGTATGAAAAGTTTTTGCAGAATTCAGTTATTGATGTCAGTGAAAATACTGAGGAAAATGAAACTGAAGATGAGCTAGTAATTGGTAAAAGCATAGAAAAGAATGAAGCTGAAGTTGAAAATTTAGATGAACCAGTTACTAAAGAAAACACTGATGATTGGACTGCAAATGAAGATACTACAGAAATTTTGGATACCAAATTTGATGAGAATAAAGATGCTGACTCAAGAGCTGAATTAGATGAAGGAAAAGATCATGAAAATCAGGGAGAAAATGAAGAAAACATGGAATCAGAGGAAGAGACTGCTGAAAAAGCTGAAATTGGTATAACTGAAAAAGATGAAATTGGTATAATAACTAAAAAAGATCAAATTGGTATAATAAATGAGGAGGATAGTTCTGAATCTAACCAGTTACTAGATGAACCAAAAGAAAGTGATGAACAAGATGCTGCCAATGATGAGCTAATAACTAAAGAGGATGCAATTCCAGCAAACATTGTAGTGGAAGAAAATCTTGCTGACCAATCTGTAGATAATTGTATTGAAGAATGTGATAAATCTGAAGTTGCAAAGGATCTGACAAGTAATGAAACCAATGAAGAAAATACAGAGGAATCTGAAATTGAGAAAGAACAAGAGGTAATTGACTGGGAAGCTATTGATAATGAAATAGAAGCTGCAGTTCAAGATGATAATGATGAGGAATTGCTAGATGATGAGGATGGTGAAGAAAGAGAAGATAAAAGTTCTCAAGACATGGAATTAGAGTCAAAGCAAGATATTTTAATATGCAATGAAGATGAAAAGACTGAAGCTGTAGAAGATACTGGGTTTGAAAGTTGTGAAACCGAAAGTAAGGTTATTGAAGGTGCCAGTATTTCTGAAAATAAAGCAAATGAAAACAATGAAGAGATCGTTTCAGAAATATGTAACATAAAAGAAAAAGATGATGAGGTGGTTTCAGAAATATGTAATAATGAGATGGACAATGCTGAAAGTTCTGTTGCAGAAACAGTAGTTAGCGAGTTTATAGAAAATAAAGAAAATGATGAAATAAACTTTGAGACTGGAGAAAATGTAAAAGTGGATGAAATTCAGAACAAAGATGCAACGATTGAGGCAGAGACTGTTAAGTTTGAGAGCGAATATACTTTAGAAGAGATGGATACTTCTTGAATTGTGAGTTCACATAAAAATTAAAAAACAAACTGTATATTGTCACAGAATGGCAGCAAATTACTGACTCATGCTTCATAGTCCAGTTGGTCAACTACTATAATATACCGGTATAATAATTATTGAAGTGTGCAGTGAAATACTGCAGTGGATAATTTTCTGTACTAAATCATTGGTGAAATTTGTAAGAATGGTGATATATATTGTTATGAATCAGGATATTAACATTTTAAATGTCGGTAAATTATTCATATTCATTGAACAGTGATTCTGAAGGAATGGTCATCAGGGTTTTTTTTTTAAGGGAGAAGAAAGAAATGTATACAAAGGATGTCGTAAGAATTGGGCATTTGAGAATTCTATACAATTAATTTTGTTTTATTGTTATTTTTACCTTCCTGTGTGTTCAAATATTTTCTGTCAAAGGTAAATGTAGTAGAATGAACAAAACTTTTTTTAAGGAAATGATTGTATATACAATAGTTATTTACTCGCACAGTTTACTGTTCTTATTTTAATTCTAATTGTCTACATATGAATAATTTGTACTGTTACAATTTAGTCCATATTTTTTATACTTTATTAAGTATTTCAGAAAAAAGCATATTAACTGCCTTATTTGATACCTAGATTTAAAAGGAGATTGATTAAATGAAAAAAAATACCAGCTTATGGACCTATAATAGAAATTGTTTAAAAAAAATTAATGGTCAGCATTAGTTTGCATGAATTTTTGTGCTAGTCTGAGCTTATTTCACCACAAAGTCAGCAGTGAATAGAATTATTTGAAATTTTAATCAAATGGTTAAACTTATTTTGAGATATATTGGCTTTTATAGAAAAAATTAAAAGCAAAAATTGAAAAATTAGACTACCGGCATATTTACTGTTTAGGAAAACATCACAGTGTCGCATAATTGTTCATTTGCATGAAGTATGTCAAAGGTTTTAAGATTGGATATTGTAGGTGTAAAAACTGTTTGTCATGTGACAGTATATTTGCTAAATATGGAGTGTACTTAAGTCAACATAACATAGTAACTATAATTTTTGAACAATTGTAAAAGTATTTAATTACAATTCCTATAGCAACTGGAAAATATCGGACATATATGTTCTGAATTGTGGTATTTAATAACAAATGTTTGCTATGATGTAGAATAATTTGCATTTCTAATGAATTTGTTATGTCATTTATAAAACTTTAACATTATATTGTTAATTATGTTTTTACTAAATGATGCTAAACTTTGTAGCAAAAGAAAGATTATATTTTTACAGTCCTGTAACTTCTTTTGTCAGAAAACTGTTTTATCTTTTTTATGCCCTAACTATGTAAGCAAATTGTTTGGTTTTGATTTTTGTAAATCCTGTATTTAAATGTTTGGAAGGTACAATAAGAACATTTTTAACTTTAAAGGTACAATGATATAATTTTGGATGGCAAAAAATGAAAAATTGTATTATTTGTACCATTGAAGCTGGAAATTGTTGTTTAAATATTTGTTTGTTGGAAGTTGATTATATGTTCTTTTGAATATTGGAATCACTGTTGTTTTTTATGTAAGAAATACAAATTATAAAGCTTTTGATAATTAGTAAACAACTATGAGGCTTCATTTGAACATAACTGATTTTTACCACACTCGCTGTCAGAATCATAAATGTATGGACCTCGTATTGTTGCAATAAACTTTTAAATTTATGTTTTGAACTGAGTCATTTATGTCATCTAAAGGTGAATGGAAAGTACTAGAATATGATCAAATGAAATGGATTTAATTGATTTAATTTTAAGTTGATTTGTTAGTTTTTTGTGAAAATTAAAAAAGTATAGGCTTTGATTGTAAATTTCATAAGATTTTTTTTCTGCATAGTGACAATTTTTCAGATTTTTTTTATTTTTATTTTTTTGCAGTAAATGATGTTGGGGTTTTTTTTGGATTTTTTTTTCTATTTTTCTTCACCAAAGTTTTAGTATGTTAAATGTTGGGATATTGTTATCTCGAGGACCTTTTGATCTGGCACTAGTTCAGCTTGTGGGTATTTTGCTGTTGCAGGATTACATAGGCCAGTAAGTGTGATACAAACTTAGCAAAATACAGGAGACTTATGAGATCAAAAAACTCTGTAAATAATCCTTAATTGTTATTTATAGAATACCTCATATTTAAACTATATGTTAATTGGGTAATCACAATTCTGTTGAAAGCTTTATAAAGAATTTAGATGAATGATGTTAAACTGAATGGTCTTGCTTAGTTGTCTAACTTGACAATACTATTCCTTTTAAGGAAATCTCCAAATCGGTGCTGACTGATTTTCAGATTAACTAACAATGCAGAAAATTGATCAGACTGCACAAAAGTGCTGACTGGCCTTGGTCTTCACTGGTCACATGGGTAGATTCAGTTGCCACTTGAGCGCTAAAGGTTCAAGTTTTTGTTTTAATTGGATGACATCTAAGCAATATATAGAGTATATTCAATATTTACTATAAATACAGGATTTATTTTCATTGAGTGGCATAAAAAGAAGTATTTTGTTAGTCGCAGAATTTACAGGAAAATCTTGAATATCCTTTAGTAGATTAACAGTTCTGGATAAAGAAATGTGACATTGTAATTAAATACTCTCAATCATCTAATTTAATTATTATACTATGTATGTAACTTTATAATTTTTATCTTTGACATCCATTGTTATATTAATTGTCTGAAGATTGATTTAATTGCTTTGAATGTATACTGAAATTGATCATTTATTAAAGATTTATGTTTAACTATTGGTAATGACAGATGAAATGCTTGTATTATACTTTCAGCTTAAGTTTCATGTTGATAATCGTTAAACATATTAAGTTTTAGCATGTTCTATTGGTGCCATTTAGATATAGTAGCCTTTGCCAGTGTAGTTATTCATGAATCTGAAAGATATTTGAGGAAATGATTGGAAAAAAAACAAGTCATTTCTTTTTCTTTTTCAAACATTTTATAAGAAACAACTTTAATAACAATTGTATAAGTATTTCAAAAATAGTAATAATTACATTAGTGTATAAGGTACTTTGAAATTTTTACTGTAAGTTCTTTGCTATATAGGGCTATTATACCACTAATCATGATTTTCCATTGTATTGATACTCTTATAATATTTATATATTCTGTTAAAATGAGATATTTCCAAGGTTACGTAGTCTTTATTACAACAATCTGTTTAGCTATGATTATGCATTTTGACATGTACAGACATTGTATTAGAGGCATACATTGTGTTGTATTATACTTGATATGTTGTAATTAAGATTGTGCATAATTTACGCTTGTAAGTTATACATCTAGTACAATTACAAAATAAATTAGAAAGGATAGTTTAAGCACAAAAAAAAGGGGGGAAATGTAATTCAGTTTTGAAGAAATCATGTTAATAATTTCAATATGTAAGAGTTTAATATATCACTTCTGAAAATGTATAACATTAATATTATGATACTTATATCAGTTCTAGTAAATACAGTTAAGTTTCTAAATCAATACCCATTTTAATAAAGGCTGTTTTATATATGTTTATTCTGTTATACAATTGTAGGGACTAGTATCTTGACCGGAACAAACTTTAAATAGTATGAGAAGTTATATGGACTGTCCTGTGGCCTCAAATAAGTAAAAAAAGGTACAATAAGTAGTTACAAGTCTATGGAACCATTGTAACTGTTAAAAAAATTTAACCAGACAATGGCAGAATGTATCGGCAATGTATCAATACCTCAGCATTGTGTCGTGATACTGTATTGTTAGGGCAATAATCATGATGTATTTATGTGATGATATCAGATCATCTCTAATGCAGAATTCACTTTTATTATACTTTTGCGATATTTTCAAAGTTAACCTGTAAAGTCATTTAAGTTTATTGTTTAGATCAGTCTTGGGATATACATGTTGTTCAGTTATGTAAATTTGCCTATGAGATCCTGGCATTTAAGACAGGTCACTTAACTGGTCATCATTTTCAGGTTAAATATATACAAAGATTGAAGTACTTCAATATTTTTGGATGGCTGTAACTTTTAAGTGTCATATTTGTAAATCGTTATATGTACATCAGATAACAAATTAATATATCCCTTGATAGTTGAATAGTGGTTTTGTATTAACATTTTGATTGTTGACTTAAAAGGAGAGAAATACTTTTCTTTTTACATGGCCATGCAAGATTTCTTTTAATGATACTAAAGATTGTAACTATCTCCCTGCCTTGTGCACATTCTTCATTTAGTTATTTTATATATGTTACAATAATGTATTGTTAATATATCAAGACATAAATTTTTGCTAAATATTGAAAGATCATTATAAAATCTGTGTCCAATGTGTCCATCTTTGCAGAACAGTTTTATAATCAGTTCTCCAGTCTAATTTTATGTAAATCATGATTGTTAAATACATGTACAACTGTCACAAAGTTGTCATATTGCATTTAGTTTTTCAAATTGTTGTTTTAAATTTACTCATAAGTTTTAAATCAGTTTTCAGTGGATCTTGTTTTAAATGTTCATTTTAAGAAACTGTTTTCTGTGTTGACATTGTTGTAAAAATAAGTTGTAAATAAAACCATCATACCATCCCTTGATTTATTCTTGATTTTTATAGCTCATCTGATCATAAATGTGTGCGTGTTCTCGTCATACAATGTAAAAATGCTTAACAATTTTCAGTTCAGTTTGAAAGCTATTTCAAATTAAGACATTTTTAAATGTCCTAAATTTTGTGTGAACAATTGTTTTGTTGTTTTTTTTGTTAAACTATACAAAGTTAATTCAAAAATGAAGTCTTTAGAACTCCCACTTCTATGCCGAGAGATAAGATATTTAGCTTTGGTCCTTTACAAAAGTTACATTAATTATTCCCAAAATTGGCATTACCCATGGGTTTACATAGTTTACATCAACCTTAACTTCTTCAAAAATGAATCTTGCTCTTTGGGTCTAAAATGACCGAGCGTCAGTGTGACCTAATGACTTACTGCATTGTAAGTAATCTGTTAACTGTTTTGCAAACTGGGATCTCGAGTACAGTGTTCATCCCTTGATAAAAAGTCATAGCAGGATATTGTAAATATTCTGTTCTGCCGCTGCTTCCTTATTCTTGCCGGGGCATAACTCGAAACTCTCAAGTTATTGAAATCAAATGTAAGTAGATGGCATCTAGAAATGCAAAAAAAATATTGACCATTTACTCTGTACAATCCAGCTTTGGATTGTCTCCCTTTATTTAATTTCATAATAAATCTTTGTCTGGATCTCAGTCCAAACCCAAAATTGACTTGAAACTTAGTATTAGCATTTAGAAGAATATAAGAACTATAACTCTATCTGGTACCATCTTCAATTTAATTGTTTATTTTTTATGTCCCAGGTCAAATAGTAATTGAACCGTCTGTCCCGACGAGGATAACATAAAATGGCAAGTTGGATTTATCTGAAGTTCTACATTGCACCTGTTCATATGCCTTCATAATTTACATACTTCCTAATCAATACAAAGTACATGATCTTTGCAAGTTAAATAACTATTGCCCTCTTTTCAATTTATTGCCCTAATTAGCGCTTTTAAAATGGATATACCTAAACTGGCAAGTTGGATATATCTTCTAATGGCTTCATAATTTCCCAACTGACTAATCAGTACATGTACTAGTATACAAAGTTGTAAGGGGGGAATACTGGAATCGGCTTGTCCGTCTGGCTGGTCGTCAGCCCAATAACTTAGGATTCCTTTTACCCACAGTCTTCATATTTGGTATTGAGATTGGTCATGGTTAGTAGATGACTCCTATTGATTTAGTTTTTGATTGAGTACAAAAAGCTTGTCCGAATTTGGGCTTAAAATGCTTGGTCATATTTTAATAATTTTATGGGGGTTTTGGTTAATAGAAAAGCCCCTTTTGTTTTTAGGGGCTGTTAAAGGGGTCACGGAAGATTTTACCACTTTAAAGTAATCGGGCTCAAATCTTAAAAAAGCCAAAAATTTGCTTTATATATTCATAAAAACACCCCTAGGAAAAGCTGCATGAAAGGGTATTCACTATTCAAGTTATGCAGAGGCAGTTTCTGTTTTGAGATCAGTAGGTGAAAGATAGGTCAACTTGATCTTTGCCACTAAAGTCGTGTACGTAGAATACATAACTTAGCAATGCACTGGCTTACTACCCTCAGATTTGGCAGGGAGGTTAATTGTCCTTGAGTTTTTAATGACCACCATTGATTCTTACAAAGTGGTATGCGGGGGTATTCAGGCCATGACAATGACATTTTTACTTTTTTAGAATTGAACAGGAAAAGGGAATTGGGCCTTGCAATGACCTGGACCGTTAAGGTCAAATTATTGTGATTTGCTCAAATTCATATAACTTTGCTACCTATTTACAAATTTTATTTAGTCTATGACAAAAGTATATAAATGACAAAACTGACATGGTGAATATTCCACCCTCGACCCTTTTATGATCTTAATCTGTGAGTGACCTTGACTGTCAAGGTGAAATATGAAATATTTGTACAAGAAATTGATGTTTTCTTAGATATACATGTATTCTGCTTAGTTTAGTTTAACCATATTTATTTCAGCTCAATTTTGAGACAAGTTCTTGCAACTTATATTTATCACTCCAGTCCGCTTCTTTGATTTTACTAGCACTGGTGTCATATGTGGAATCATGATCATGACTCGAGTAGGGTTCGAACCCCTCGATCCCTGAGTTGAGAGGCAGTCATCTTAACCTCCGCGTACAATTGGGTTCACTATGACCTAAAGAAATTACACATTCGTACATTTCAAGCACATCTTCTCGGCACTTTCCGCCAAACTTCGGATATTAAGAACTATTAGAAAAAAATAGCGCCGAGGTGATTGAGTATAGCAGATAGACACGTTAACTGTCAATGTGATTCTTGTTAGAATTTGTCATTATGTGTTATTGCAAATAAAAAAAATACGCTCCATGTCCATTCTCCCAATGAAAGAACTTTGTTTTTACAAAACTTATTTAATATAAAACATGAACTTTCAGGGTTTGATGTTCCATAGAGAAATAACCATTGGACCAAATCTGATCAATTTAGACTCGAACACAGGTCAGACTCGGCATTATAGTTTTGACAGCCGTGTACTCGTCTAATGGAATTCAGTATTGTACATAACCTCATAATAACTATACATGATGGCAGTATTTCGATGGTTCATTGAACAACAATGTATTAATACATTTTATTACATGCTTTTCGGTGGTTTATAGAAATATATCAGTGATATAAAAACTGGTAATTTCACTGTTTGAAACAGTGAAATTACCACTTTGATAATTTCACTGTTTTGAATTTAAGCCCCTTACGTTGTTTCAGTGAAATACCAGCGTGCACAGAACTGGGTACCAACTTAATGACGTGACGTCGTAAATGACGTCACGTTATATTATTATATGGCGCGCTTTTCATTCAGTATTAGGTTTAATGTCTTTTTAAAACGTTTCTTTGCATATAATAAAAAGAAAATTTGTTTAGTTTAGTGTAAGATCGAAATATATTTCACCTTGTGAACACCAAAAGTTCATATTTCACTCGTGGCTGCGCCACTCGTGAAATATACCTTTTGGTGCTCACTCGGTGAAATATATTCCGATCTTACACTGAACTAAACAAATATCCTCTATGATTTTTTTTATTTCCAATACATGTATATCAAATTTTATTTACATATATATTAAACGATGCATTTTATTTGTCTGATAATGAGGTCAAATGTCAGATAGTAATAAAGGTGAAATAAAGATCTGAGCGGTACAAATACCTCGTTTACCCACGATACACAAAGTCGTTTAAGCGCGACTTTAAGAATGAATAAAAACTTCTTTAATCCGGTGAATGTAAACAAATAGCGGGGATATAACGATATTGAATTTCCGTAGATGTAAACTCAAATTTTGAAAGCGGTGAAATCAAAGTGGTTAGCTGAATTTTGTAGTATACATAGTAAACTTGGAGTATATATAGTGAACGGAATTTTTTGTTCAAAGTGATTAACAACATATAAATTGCGAAATACATGAAAATTATAGAAAATAGTTTTATTTCTTGATTAGCGTCCAAGTTGTTAAATAGGTTATTACCTCTAATCGTGACATTAGAAAGTTAGAAAGGCTTTAGAATTGTGTTTAATAATAGGGGTAAAGAGTATGCAGCAATCATTGTTATTGTTTTTGTTGATGTTTGGACTTGTTTTTTCCGATCATAAAGATGATGATATTCCAACATGTAAGTGTAACTTTGTTTTACTTTCATCTTGCAGCTATGATGTATGATTTATGATATGAAATGAGCCGCGTACGACAAAACCAACATAATGGATTTGCGACCAGCATGGATCCAGACCAGCCTGCGCATCCGCGCAGTCTGATCAGGATCCATGCTGTTCGCTATCAGTTTCTCTACTTGTAAAAGGGTTTGTAAGCGAACAGCATGAATCCTGATCAGACTGCGCGGATGCGCAGGCTGGTCTGGATCCATGCTGGTCGCAAATGCATTACGTTGGTTTTGTCATGACACGGTTCAAATGTTTTTTTTATACACAGTTAAATTATACACATACTGTATATAAATGTCAACATAGATATAAAGGTGTTCAAAAATTATTCAAAACTGATTAATATTGTTCAATATGTGTTCGCCTAGAACATGTGTTCAGAATGTTCACATCAATATGTGTTCAGAATGTTCACATAGATGTATAACCGTATATAGTGTTCAATATGCCTCCATGGCTCAACATACGGAAATTGTGTTCAGTATTTCATCATAGCTGAATTGTGTTCAATATGTCCCCATATCTTAAATTTGGTTTATTTTTCTATCACTTCTCACATAAATAAGATTATATGCCAATTTTACTTTTATAAAAAAAAAACTAATAAAAATTGCAGTGAATAAGCGCCTGGTATACAGTCAATATTAAGTTTTGCGTTACGTTTTTTAACAATGAATAATTTTGTTTAGTTGCGCTAAGGTTTGCTAACCACTGTGAAAAGTATTTTTTTTACGTTTTTAAACGTTACATGGAACGATTTTATGATACAATCTTTGAAAAATAAGTAGTTTAGTGGTTTATTTGTATCACTGTCCACTGTCCACCCTATCTCTTCAATGTATGTTCGCGGGATACGAGAAATCATTGTAAAGCGAGCCACTTTAAATGCGATATTAACCCTGTGAGGTGACTGACTGTACATATAGGTAAATATGCTAGGTCATGACCGTTATAATATATAGCTTGACCATTAACATTTGACAGAATACAAAAATATGTATATGTATTGTATATGGTGTATGCACATAATAATAATAACAATAATAATACTAGTGTTTCAGTAAATTTTATTGCGCATTCTCCGGGCACTACTCCAGTCTGTAATGCTAACTAAGGTACATATGAGCAACGAAAGAAATTTGGTGTGGTATAATATATATGTCACATTTCAATGCATTTTATTACATTTGGTGATAAAAAAATGGAATTAAAACTGCTCATGTATTTATCGGTTGAAATGGTTTCTTAAGGAAAGGTTCAATGAAATAAACTATAGTCATCATGTAACGCCCGGTTAATATCAAAACATAACATTGACAAAATAATATCAAGATGGACATTCACCCTGCTAGAGGCTACTGATTCTACCTATGTGACCATTGCAGACCAGTATCAACTGGACCATCCGTGCGTGCCGTCACTGTTCACTATTCATTGAAAACTTCCATTAAAGGGACTGTACTGAGGTTTGTTAACATGACGGAACTTGTTTCGAGATTTATATTCCAATTGATGAAAGTCTTGACCAAGGACTTGTGTGCAAAATTTCAGATCATTCGTTCATTCAGTTTTTCCAGAGTAATTATTCTAATCATTAAACATCGCCCAAAATTGAAAAACGTTGCAACGCTTTTCACACAAATTGGGCTACAAATATCACAAATATACAGTTAGCAATTTATTTTCGAGTATATTACTTAATAACCTTTTGTATATTTTTCTGTTTTGTAATATCTCACCTGATCTTTGTAAATATTCCAATGTTGTGTGTTTATACTTTTGGACCTCAGCGAAGTTCCTTTAAACAGGTTTATGGTTTTGTCGAGATTAAGAGGTTGTTTTTATAAAAGATGTTTATCGCGGTTGTAACATAATGCCCATCCAAATGTAAATAATGAGTCCACGGGTAAAAGTCGAAACAACTTTAAATTTTGCGATAATTGTGTTCAATTTAAATTTTACTATGCAAAAATAATCAGTAATCTACTAATCAGTGACCCACGGGCATTTCTATAAATATCGCTCGGAATGTATCGATAACGTTCAATTTTTAAAAAAGAGTGGGACCAGTCTTTTTATAATTTAGGTAGTTTTTATATTTTATCCTAAACATTTTTCAAGAACAATTATTGGTGATTGTCAATCCCTTAAAACATAATACTAATTCAACTCAAATTTACAGCGAATAAATGAGCATAGTGTCACTTTAGCTAGTGACATAGATACCTTATAACCACTAAATTAATGATTTTTCTGTCGGGAGACTAACGGAATTTTTTTTTTTTAAATGTCTTATAGCTTACATTATACTATTAGTCATTTATTTTAGGAAGACAGAGTTTAGAATTTTATCGAGTTGTCAAATTTCATCGTCATAATTCTACCTATGTCTTTCATCATTCCTTAATCGCTTTATTTTACCTTTTAAGGCCAATTATGTCTCAAAAATGATATTTTTTTTCTCAAAAGCTGATTAATTAATTGTCCAGTTAAGGTTTCCAAAAAACTTATATGCCATAAAATTGACCACCTTTTGCTTTTTTCCGTTCTTTGGAAATTAGTATACAGTTAAAGTGATTTAGTATACTTGTATGGAAGTCAAAATGACGCTTTGTTTCTTTTATTACAAATGATTTCACATTCAGGATTACTTTTTTACCAGAGATAAACATCTATCTTTTATTTTATTTTAAACACACTTTTGCCTTTAGTGAAGAAAAACAACAACATTTTTAAGCCATAATGTGCCTTTTTTATTTTTACATTTTTCATACGTTTATTTTATGAGACGAAGATCGATCTCAGTAAGTTATAACTATATCTCGTAAAAGTACCTCGTTACATTCAGTGAGTACAAATAACTTACCATAATACACAAACTGGTCATGATGACAAACACAAGTAGCCCACTATGATTGATATTTATGAACTTTTTTTAACAGTTTATGTTTTATAGAACGGAGAATATACTCTTTTTACAAGCGCTGACTACATACATGTATATTAAAAGAAAGTAAATAACGTAATATCAAAATCTTTATATAATGTTTGATAAATGTTTATGAAAATAATTATATTTTCATAACATGGACAAACTAAAATAAAGTGAAATTCTCCCCGTCAGAATCTTCATTTTCCTGTAAAGCTACACAAATGCAAAATTCTCTGGCATCTTTAACGGCCGTACTATCCGTGGTGATGCTGGTGGTGGCGTTGGTATTTTAACTCTGGATCACGGCAGTAAGCCACAATAAATTTACCAAAGCACATCGATCATTCTTGGGCAGGCTCTCAAGCAGTTCACCACTGCTAGTTTCATGATCAATCACAACGAAAATGACTTGCATCGTCCTGGAATCGAACCCGGATCGACCGATTCACAGTCCAGCGCTCTACCTATTCAAACAGTTCATTTTATACTCACTATATATATATATATATGAATAGATCGTTTTGTGATACCAGTATTTGATACATAGAACAATGACCAATGAACTCCCAAATTAACCACGTCTTACATTCATCCTGTTTCTTCATTTATGCTGTAAAACTAAAACGACTTAATTACATTGCGATCTGATATAATTTTTTTTGTTTTTAAATACATTAGAATAGAATTAAAATAGAATGTATATATGATAGTATAGTATCACATCAACCTATATACATGTACATAAATGTAAATAATGAAACATCTGTTACATAATATTTTAAAATTAAAATGATACATCGGTTATAACTTGTTATTTAACTGGTTAGTTTGCTCGCCTTAATCAACAAATAAATATAAATGATATTGTCCAATTTTGTTTTTTAAATCAATCACACAGTTTATTACCCTTTTAATACGATCAAATAATAAAAGTGTGAAAGAACTTTCAGAGATTATCTGCATTAAACCGTGCGGTCAGGAACTTTAAACGGCCTTAAAGTGACTCTATTATCGCAACTTTTTGGCCCTTTTTACGGACCCCGAACACAATAGTATTACATGTATTTCTTACATAACATAACAAGAAATCAGCAAGAAGTTCCGATGGCGACTCTAGTGAAGTAAATCAATATTGATTTTAAAGGGAATGGTCAAATGTTTTTTTCCACACATCATCGTCATTATTTTAGTTATGTATGTTTTTTATACGACAATTTTATCATGATTTTTGTGATGTATACATGTTTAATTCATCATATATAAATGTCAGTCGCCTTATATATCCTTTGATACGAACCTATCATGTTTTCAGCATCTTTTACATAATTTATTTATACATTTGCAATAACTTGTTATCATCAGTAACTAATAGATACTGTATAACAAGTGATCATTTATGAAGTATTTTTCAAATACTTTATACAACTAACTCGGAACCTCCAAAATGGTTCTCAGCAGTAATAGAAATAGTAATAAAAATGTTATAATTAATAAAACAGTAAAACTGCCCCTTAAGACCTGGCGTGTGTTCGACATACAAGTATATACAGCATAAGAATAGAAAGGCTTAGAATGTTGCAGACGACAAAATTAGCAAATCTTATTTGTAGAAGTATGTTGTATTGTTGTAGCTTGTAGCTTTTTTATGTAAACTTTATTGTTGTTTGTCCACTTAGATTTCATGAATGAACACTGCGGGAAGAGCATCAATTTACGCCGGAGGTCCATTTTCTCCGCCGTGGTGGAACTAATTCCATCATATACATTTAACAACCAAACCAGTCGTGTGGAAAATGTATTTGGAGGGAACAGCATGTATAGCAGAAACATCGCCGACTGTGTTCTCAGTTTTGAGTCGTGGAGTTTCCAGAACAGACTTATGGTGCATTTTGAAAACTTTATCACATTGGACTCGGATAAAGGGTGTTCTAGCACAATGTTTGACGTTTTTGACGGACCATCTGAAGATTCACCAAGAGTTACTGGTATTTTTTACTATTTTAAGATAATGCTTACTTCAGTATGAAGTTAAGGTGAATAGTGGGTCTTCGTAGGAACCTCTTTAATGCGTATTTGCTTGTTTTGTTTCGTTTTACGGCACGCCAACACTATGTAGGTCATATTGCGCCAACACAGGAAACATGATTTGGCTAACCTCGGGTGTTAGAAATTTAAAGCAACAGCAGGGGTCAAAACCACCTTGCTGGAGCTTAGAAATGCATGGAGTCTATTAATTAGAACCCATTTAGTCGACTCTTTCGATCAGGCAGGGATAAACGGTGGTTGCAGTACTAATGCCTCAAACCTTAAAGGCAAACCCTCAGTCACAAATGGGCCTCTCTGTGCAATTATGTAGTTTATTTTCTTGAAAAGAGAACTGTTGACAATGATTATGAAGTAAATAATATAGATTATGAACCACTTTTTCTTTCAGACGCTCTTATTTAAATAGTCTCTACAAACATTATCCCCTCTTAATTGTCACGATTACAAAAACCAATATACATCATCAGCAAATGTTTAAATAAATATTTCAGAATTTCCAAATATGTGCAGTACCCCAGAAAATCTTTTCACGAGGTCATTTGTAACAACTGATAAGCACATGACATTGCGTTTCCGTGGTAACTACACGGTGCAAAGAGACACGTCGATAAGGGTCATCATAGTGTCCTTTCATGGAGGTACGTACGGACATGTGTTTATACATTTGTATTTACACATACTCGTTCAGAAATCTTAAAAGAACAGAAATCTGCATTATTTTTTCCTTGAATTGAAATTATTCTAAACCAGTTAAAATCTTAGCCATGTATGTCCTAATGCCAATTAATTGATATTATATTCTTCTCGTATAAGGGCAGAAAAAGTATCCTTTTTTTTAAAAAAAAGTGATGTTTATCTGTGCTATAAAACGGACTTTTAGTTATTTTGGTAATTTTGATTTAAATTGTTATAACTATAGAGTTAACAATAAACATGCTTAAAGCGGAATTTTATTAACAGGCACTTGCAGATCATATGAGCACCAGTGTTCAAACGGACGCTGCATAATGGAAGACCTTGTTTGCAACGGGCACAACCCATGTGGTGATTATTCCGACTGTCTCACAACAGTGTCACCACAAGAGGTCGCTGTACCAAAGAATGACCACGTGACTTTGGCCGCCATTATTGCATCTTCTGCAACTCTTCTTGTAGTTGTTGTCCTAGCAATAATTGTGTACAAGTGTTACCAGGCACGTCATAAACATACGGTAGGAATATAACCAAATCGTTGTCGATAGAATTCCTGACTTCTGAAATTTCAATGATACTTACAATTGTGATCAAAATAGGACATGTATCTAGGTCATGTATTTTTATCTTAGACTGATTTTTCGGACTTGAAGTTTCGGGCATGCAGGTAAATCGTAATCTGTACGTGATTTATATGCTGCTTGTTACATTTCCAGCTAGTTTTCTCCCAGTGAACAGTATGAAAAAGTTGTAATTGCTGATTAAAACTTATAATATCCTACATAATTAAAAACGTTAAGGACCTTATTCAGAAAACGTGTAACATAACGATTGTATATAAATTATTCTTCATTGTCATTTCTAGCGTCTACACTATCAAAACCAGTATGAAAATGTGAATCGCAGAACGCCAGTCCGTGAAAACATTAGTGTACCACAGCCATCTTACGAGAGAACTATTAGTCAACTTGAGTCAGATAGACGTTTTGCCCCGCCAAGCTATTCACAACTTCCGGTTTTAGAAAATCAAAATGAAATAGAAGAGACGGAAGTGACGACAGACACAGAAGAGACGCTACCGAATGAGATAAATTTAGATAAATGTTTAGAGACAGACGGAAATAATCCACCGCCATACGCATGTGTTATGTTATATCAAGAGGCTTTTCATGTGTCTGAACAGAACATTCATAAATTAACGAACCAACCAGTTGAAGATCTTGCCAAAACAAACAGTCTCGAAGTAGTCGATAATAGAAATTCGATATAATATCGATGCGCTTTTATTAAAAAAAATAGCAGGAATGCCCCAGTTCCTAGACCAACTGTTGTAGATGTTAACGGCAATATGATGTGTATGAAGTTATAACATGTCTTGGTACACAAGATGGTCGACTTAGTCAGTGTGTATAATATATAAGCAATGCGTTTTAACAAACAAACAAAAAAACGTGTTACATTCGCACAGAAATCGACACAAAGAAAGTTTCCTTTGAAAACGTAATTTGGTTGAAAGTCATCAATGAATAATTGCTGTATGTCGCCTGTATGAACAAGCTATGCAGAGTGAATTTTAAGTGTTTTTCAAAATTGTTTAATTTCAGCTGTCATCAGCCCTTTTTTCTTTGATTTTTTCTATTTTAACTGTATTAAAGTGATTCCGTCTAAATGAATATCCTGATTGCTTTGTATGCTAAATAAATAAAGTTGTATAGGCGTTACAGCTTCGACAAAATATTATTTTTGCATGAATCTCTAAACATTTATAGTCGAGACCCCTTTTCACCTCTTCCATTGGAACAAGAGGCTGTACCATTGGAACAAGCGGCTATAAATACAAATTGATCTGGACAACTTATTATACTTGAATGTTTATAACAACGCCCACAACCCACCCTCGACATCTATGAGAAGAGACACAACGGTAACAGTTGTATTGTATCATAGTTTGGGGACCTTTCTGTTGAAAAAGTGTCAGAGTTAAATCGTATACATATACATGCACAGTGCGGTAACTGGAGTGCAGGTATCAGTTACCCGCACTCCAGATAATGCCCGTTGATTGGTTAATTTTTGCTGGGGTTTACTTATTGTGACGGCAGAGAAAGGGAAAGGGGCAGAAATATCATATTCAAATGCTCGTTCATTGGTTATTTTTTTCTGGGGTTTCATATTATGACAACAGGGAACGTGCTGTCATGTTTGACTATGATACAAAAGAGAAAGATCACCAAAACACTCGGCAATCTGATTTATACTCTGGGACTACGCCCCCTCGTACAAATCAGATAGCCTCGTGTTTTGGTGCTCTTTCTATTACTTATTTGACATTGTTTATAATTTATATTGTGTTCAGCGTTACATGTATATATGAGTGACCTTCCTGTTACACTGATCGGGAGGAACAGGGACTTTTAATCGCAGCACATTGCACTTAATTTATCATTTAGGTTTGTGAGACTTGATCTATCGTTATTTCACGTAGTTAAAGAATATACTGCATGTTAACTAATAACTTTAAACTGCCAATTACACATATTTGTAAAAAGACACGGCATTTCAGTTAAGAAAATACGGATCAATTTCACGGATATACAATAGATCGCAAGCATTCAGATTTATATTGTATTTCCGCGAAATTGATTCAAACTGCTGATTAATATTTTACAATTCAAGCCTTTATTTGATTCAGACTGCACCATCACTCGTAACCAGAATATGACTTATTAAATTAAGAAAGATTACATGCAGTTTAATTCTGTAGAAGTTTGGTCATATTATTTATTTTTATTAAATTTGCATCAATAAATTACAAATTACACTGTGTTCATCCATTCTCTATGTCTTTTGTACAATAAAAGTAATGAAAAGTTTATCTTCATTTTTCAATATATCTGTCACTGATTGATTACATTCAAAGTTAAAGCTGCACGCCTACATACTTTTTTTCGTAACTATAGCAAGGCTGGTAGAATTTCGTTATGGGGTGACCATCCATATCTATAAATTAAAGCAATAAACAGCCAGATGCCGCTGAATCTCAAACATTAATTTGAAACTACTTCTTGAATTATTTCACTGTTAATTAAGCTCGAGTACCCGAAGAATAGTGGGAGCTATTGTACTCACCCTTGCGTTCTGTCGTGCAAGTTGGAATATCCGAAACTACTAAAGGAAATGGGTTGAATCTTCACACACTTATTTGAGAGCATAATAGGTCACTACCCAAGGCCTATAACTCTAACATGGGTTGTGACAGAGTTATGACCCTTATTGAACTCAGAAAATTCTACATTATCCATGCTCTTGTTTTACTTCCAATAGTCGAGCATGCTGTCTCCCTGACAGCTCTTGTTATCTTGTGTCTTGAACAAGATTGTACTTTAAAACGTGTTTTCAAATTGGTAGCATTTTCCCCTACTTTACGTTATTAAGGGGTGAAAACAGTCTGGCATGTTATTTCCTTCCCTAGCTAATTTGACTTGGCTTTATCAGCATAATTATACAATCTGTTTTAAGAAAGACAATGTTAATTTATACTCAGTATGGACTGCTACCATATTTGAATCCTCATGTAACTAGTTCTTTAAGTATTTTTAGAAGTAGAATTATTTGGACAGTTCATTCTTTATGTTTTAATAAGAACCTATTAGGCCTATATTTGGCTGTTATTCTACCTTTTACATATTTTTTTTCCATCTTGAAATCGTATCTCTAATACGTGCAATCAATCTATCGCAAGCTTCTGTGGGTACTGTAACTAGGGTAACGAAATAAATCAAAAGGCTGCAAGCTCTGTGGTATTTTCTGATCTTTGCAATCTAAATCATACTGACTATCTGTATGTATTTTCCTGTATAAGTTTATTTTTATATACTATATTTCATCTTACGCAGCGACTGCGTTTAGATTTTTTTTTCTTTAACAGTTTGAGATTGATACATATGGAAGTTTGCATGAGTTGCATCAAAAAATCATTTTTCATTCTTTATCCTTGCATATCGTGGCTACTTCCTTAAAAAAGACACTTCAAAAAAAAGTTGCCTCGACTTAGGCCTCTCACACCCTAAACGAGAGCGCTATCTCTGCACCACGGTGAAGTAATGCGTATGCAGCTTGAATAAAAACAAATATCCCGGAACAACCAATATTCAATCAGTTAAGTTGTTTTCAGCCAATAATAAATGAAAGGGGAAATTATGCTTTAAATTTATTTTAGATATTAATGCATCTATCAACATTTATTCATTTTAAGGTTGGAACATTTTCAACATGTCTTGATCTTTCTTAGAAAAACAATCAAAACGATATGACCCACTCAGGTCACTCCCAGGAATATTTTAACCTAAATTCAAACAGCAGTGTAATCACCACTAAAGAATTTGTTCAAGATAAATCAGGGCTAATAAAAATTGTAGAAAATTTAACAGCAGTCTATTCAACGATTTTCAACTTTAAAAAACTTACACTAAATGTTATAACATATGTACAGTACAATGCATTGGTATGACTACTGTTAATGTGTATATAAAGGGCAGTTAAAGGTGTCACTTTTTAGCTTCTCACATCCCCTCGGAGCGTGCACGTCGCTGAGAAGGCACAGGGCATCGGCAGATGATGGAAGTTCGAGTTATAATCGTTTAAGGCGGCTGCTTCGTTAAGTTAGCTGCCGTTGTCCTGACTAATGCTGAGGGGAGTGGCCCTACAAAGTAGGCTGAGACGACGAGGATGGTGTACTAGGGTGCGTGAGTCCCTAGTACAGATAGACGGCTTGTAAGGCAGGCCTATAGCTGGCACCAACAGCCCTTTTCAGGGCTAAAACACCTTTCCTATTGTCACAGGTTACTGTACATTTAGGTTCTCATTGACCGCCGTACAGTGACCTACTTTTGGCTCAAAATTCATATCTTTGGCTAATACTCCGTGGAAATTGCATGGAGGTAAATTATCACCATTTTGTGCTTCAAAATTAACTCTTTAAGGACATGACTGGTGACATGTCCGGGGTCCGTACTCGACAGCGCAAGCTGCATTTTGTGCCCGAAAGGGCGGATGGACCCTCATTAAGCATAAACTAGAAGAAGAAGAAGTCACTTTTTAGTACGCTATTTCGAGTGCAAAATGATAAATGCATTCAATCTTTACAGCCATTTTACCTTCCCCATTTTATAATATTACCAAATATGGAAACTTGTCTAGATCTGCCAGATGGTATCGCATACAAAAGATTTATTTTACAATCATCACTTAAAAAATCTTGATTAAAATTTAAGATTTTATTAATAAGGACCCCTCTGTAAAGTCTGATGAATATTTAGTGGTACATCATATAAATAAATGTTTTAAATACACCTAAAACTGAGGTAAATGGTAAAACCCTGTACCCAATACTGACTTGCTTGGAAATTTTTTTATCACTATGTTAAACAAGTGACTATTTTGATATAGTTTAAGTTGGGCAATTTATATTGTGTCACTTAAAACAAACAATTTCTTATTGTTTTTCTGATAACATCTGACAATTAATCAAGTATGGCATTCCTGCAAGTGTTGAAGTTAATACGACAAGTGAATTTATGTACTTTAGTCAGACATGACATCAGCGCCACAGAATCAAGAATGTGTTTGAGTTTAGGTTGTGATTGAAAATTGGTTGTTTCGGGATACATTGTAATTTCCATTTCGTGTTTGTAAACCTTATTAATTTCGAGGTATTTTGTTCACGATAACACTGATGAAAATAATTTAGCGAAAATCTTCTCGCCAAAACAGTCCGACATGTATATATTCCACTACTCGACAGTCAGATTTATTTGTGTACTACGCTCTGGAGTATTCGGTAATCGACATAGCTAAAAATAGCATTTTCATTGAATCCATAAACATTTTTCATTGGGTAAAAAAGATATTCATCCGCGAAATTTGTGATTGTAACCTCATATTTCTATTGACTAATCTAAACTTTTAATGCACTGCAATTCGTTAAATGCCTACATTAAAAATCATTCTTTATTTTAAATTGCTGGTTTTAAGCTGTTTTGAGTGAGAACTACTTTGCGTTGTTAGATCTGTTAGGAAATTTTGTGTTAGACCGTGGATGTTAGCTTTGTATTTACTGATCTTGCGATCAGAAAATACAAAAATGGCAACTCTGGAGAAAAAGTCTTATCAATAATGCAATGTATCTACATTTTTATTATTAAGAAATTTTATGGTAGCTTAAGTTATTTCATACTGACTATAGAATATTGAGATATTTAAAACAGATTTTAGACATTTGATACCGTATATGATATATTTGATAGAAGCTTTTCAATAATATCACAATCTAATATTTTGTCTTTAAATAAACATTCTGACAGCCAGACATATAGACAGACAGACAGACAGATAGATAATTTTATTGACATAAACAGTAAAGTTTTTTGTCATACGTACATTTGCATATACATATATATCATAATTTTATCATGTGATTTAACAAATAGTGAACACAATTTACATTCATGATTGTTAACATGTTGTTTGTGGATGAATAAGATGTTTACATATATATGAATCAATATCATATACAAAATAAAAATAAAATAAATTGCTTCCATAAAATTCCATAAAAGTTAACAAAGCAAAGACTTTTTAAGTATAAAAGCAGTGTAAATAAATCTGGAAAGATTTCTTATTGTAGCTTGATTTTCACTCTTAAAAAGCTCTGTAAATTTTATAATATATGGTCTTCTATAAAAATAGGCTTTGATATATTGTTTTCTAAAATGTTCGTATAACAAAATGGTATTCATCTTCAATATCTCTGTTTTGACAAAAAATACAATAACGCTTACTTCGTTCCACTCTGTTTCTAGAATAGCGTCCAGTTTCAATAGCCAGTTTATGTGAAGATAATCTAAATTTTGATAAAGCATTTCAAAACTTGAATGGCAATAAATCTAAATATAGTTCGAATCTAAATTCTGTTTTAAAATGCTTATACATAAATAATGTTCCCCATTCTTGCAATCGTTGGAACCAGTTTTGCTTAAAAGTAAAATTAGCCGAGCTTTAAAAAGTAGATGAAATTTACCTAGATCAACACAGGATGGGTTGTTCCAAACATATGTTGTATCATAGTTTAGGGACCTTTCTGTTGAAAATGTGTCAGAGTTAAATCGTATGCATATACATGCAAAGTGCGTTAACTGAAGTGCAGGTATTAGTTACCCACACCCCAGAGCATGCCCATTGATTGGCTTATTTTAGCTGGGGTTTACTTATTGTGACGGCAGAGAAAGGGAAAGCGACAGAAATGTCATATTCAGCTGCTCGTTCATATGTTCTTTTTTTCTGGGGTTTCATATTGTGAAACAGGGAACGTGTTTTTATGTTTGACAATGATACAAAAGAGAAAGAACATCAAAACACTCGGCAATCTGATTAAAACTCGGGGAGGGGGGAATATGCTACATATCTGTTAATGTAAAGCAGAAAGCGCCCTAATTCACCATACACACCCATATTTGTACTATAAGATTTAACATTCCTAAATTCACCATACACACCCATATTTGTACTACAAGATTTAACATTCCTAAATTCACCATACACACCCATATTTGTACTACAAGATTTAACATTCCTTAATTCACCATACACACCCATATTTGTACTACAAGATTTAACATTCCTTAATTCACCATACACACCCATATTTGTACTACAAGATTTAACATTCCTTAATTCACCATACACACCCATATTTGTACTACAAGATTTAACATTCCTAAATTCACCATACACACCCATATTTGTACTACAAGATTTAACATTCCTAAATTCACCATACACACCCATATTTGTACTACAAGATTTAACATTCCTTAATTCACCATACACACCCATATTTGTACTACAAGAATTAACATTCCTAAATTCACCATACACACCCATATTTGTACTACTAGAATTAACATTCCTTAATTCACCATACACACCCATATTTGTACTACAAGTTTTAACATTCCTTAATTCACCATACACACCCATATTTGTACTACAAGATTTAACATTCCTAAATTCACCATACACACCCATATTAGTACTACAAGATTTAACATTCCTAAATTCACCATACACACCGATATTTTTACTACAAGATTTAACATTCCTAAATTCACCATACACACCCATATTTGAACTACAAGATTTAACATTCCTAAATTCACCATACACACCCATATTTGTACTACAAGATTTAACATTCCTAAATTCACCATACACACCCATATTTGTACTACAAGATTTAACATTCCTAAATTCACAATACACACCCATATTTGTACTACAAGATTTAACATTCCTTAATTCACCATACACACCCATATTTGTACTACAAGAATTAACATTCCTAAATTCACCATACACACCCATATTTGTACTACTAGAATTAACATTCCTTAATTCACCATACACACCCATATTTGAACTACAAGATTTAACATTCCTAAATTCACCATACACACCCATATTTGTACTACAAGATTTAACATTCCTTAATTCACCATACACACCCATATTTGTACTACAAGATTTAACATTCCTTAATTCACCATACACACCCATATTTGTACTACAAGATTTAACATTCCTTAATTCACCATACACACCCATATTTGTACTACAAGATTTAACATTCCTTAATTCACCATACACACCCATATTTGTACTACAAGATTTAACATTCCTTAATTCACCATACACACTCATATTTGTACTACAAGATTTAACATTCCTTAATTCACCATACACACCCATATTTGTTCTACAAGATTTAACATTCCTAAATTCACCATACACACCCATATTTGTACTACAAGATTTAACATTCCCTAATTCACCATACACACCCATATTTGTACTACAAGAATTAACATTCCTTAATTCACCATACACACCCATATTTGTACTATAAGATTTAACATTTAATAACATTTTGCAAAACTTCGGATGGATCCGTTCAATTCTTTTGACTTAGTGAATCCCCAAATTTTGCAGCCATAATTAAGAGTAGCTGTAACAAAAGCTTGTTGCAGCAATTCAAACAAATCAGTATTTAGAATGTTATAAGCGCGTGAATTTTCAGCCCATATATAAATACCTGCAAAAAATATCCATGTCTAGGCCAAAAAAGTATTTATCAAGTTTAACCCAAATAATATCATCATGGTATGTTTTAACAACAGAAATGCCCTTTTGTAAACACTGTTTTATAAAGACAATAATTCCACCGGTGCAGCGCTTTGATTTTTTGTGTTGAAATTTTCTTATCGTACCTGATTCATGCCTTCTTATCAGCAGCACGTGCTTCGCGAAGCTTTCGTAATAGTGCCTTTCGTCCTTAGGAAATTGCTCGTTAATGTAATATAGCGTTTTTTACAATGCTGGGCTTGCGCGTCTTTCGCGGTCTTTAAAGTAGGTAAATTTTGCCACTATATTCCGAAATCCTTGAACTCTTACACCAGAGTGATTAGAAGACCTTTCTCCAATGCGATACACTCGCTCAAATTTTAACGAATCGACCAAGTCTTGTGCCAATTTCATTTCTTTCGTGAAGAACGTACGTAAAATTACTTCCGTTCGCTCGGGTGTTTCATCAGCATCTTCCTCAATCCCAGAAAATACCAGATTGTTTCTCATTAAGACCACTAACCCGTTGAAGGTTCGAATCACGCCAGCGGCATTGGATTCTTTCATGTGATTCTACTTATTAATGGGGCACCTGGGGTTATTTTCCACCAATAGATTAAAGCTGGAAAGTCGTCACAAAGAAACTGTGGTCAAACGACACTGGATGGACAGACTGCCATCACAAAAGCTTACCTTTGAGTAATTTGTGCTCAGGTGAGCTAAAAATAAATACAAAGAATTTCTATTTAAGCTCTTTATATTATATTCGTGTGTCAATCTCTATACAGAGTTAGGACATACATATACATTAAAATTATATACTACAACTTAATGCAGGATATTCGTCCATAATCACAGAATACACACTGATTTACTTGAAGTAACCTCTTTTAAAATGATTGCACATTTCTAATTTAATTGTTTTTACTGGTTTCTTTCACTTGCAATGTGTTTTGCTCATAAGTAACACCAAGGTGTTCCATAATCATGGTGCCATTCTTGTTGTTATTAAATACCTACCAATGTACCATAATAATGTGATAAAGAAATTGATCAGCTAGTATATCTTTTAGATACAATTAACTGAAAATACAAATCGCTCCACTGAATATATACAGTCAATACTGGACTGTCCAGTCTTGGATCTATCAATTGTTTATTTTTGAGTTTTCACTCTCAAAATATCAAAACTAAGCACAAAAATGCTATAAAATGTCATCAGTGATTAAGATTACAAAAAGGGTAGGCTAGGCTGAGTCATAAACTTGCCTTTAACAAGCTAGTTAACAATATTTTTATACATAAAACATCCGATACATAGTAATTTTTGAGCACATGGACCTTAAATTTACTGTCACCATTTATTACATGTAATTCATGCCTCTGACCACACATGGACTCAAACATTTCATGAATAGATCACATGATCAAGCATCTATTTGCACTGATAACATGATCAAGCATCTATTCACACTGATCACATGATCAAGCATCTATTCACACTGATCACATGATCAAGCTTTTAAACATCAAGAAAGATTTTTTTCCAGAAATTATACAGTAACACTCCACTATCTTTTCAAGTCACGTGGATCTCTATCTCTAGGGTCACGATCTGCTGGACTTTCTTTAGGTGGTCCCATACAGTTTCCATCTGGATATTTTTCCTTAAAACGTTTAACAATTTCTGGATCAACGAGCCGAACCCCTTCTAATTGATTGCCAAGTGTAATCCTGTAATATCAAAAACACAGATTACTACCCTATAAGTTGGTGCTACCTAGTAATTCAAACTCGGGATCATGGTAGTAAGCCATTTTTTATCGACCAGAGCATAGATCAGCCAAGCAGTTCGAGGACAGGCTGTCAAGCAGCTTACCAGTACTAGTCCTTAACTTCTGCAAGGAACTGATAACTTCTGTACATTCAAGAACAGACATACAGTGGGTATGACCGTAGAAAGGATTTCACATCAATCAAAATGAAAGAGACCTGCATTGTCTGGGAATCAAACCCCTTGTCGCCCTATTCACAATGCAACATCTCTACCTATTGAACTAACTGGACGGTTTTACTAATTCAAATCGTTAAATGTAAACTATTAACCAATGAAATTGGTCTATTTTTAGTGAATCTTTGAGTCATAACTGGATTTTTTATGTCTTTACAGCACTTTCAAGATTATTTTTTTGTTTGGTTTAAATTCACACCAACACTATTAACATTAAGCTTATCTGACACTGCTGTTGCTTTATTTTAACATTTTGATTTTAAATTCTTTTTATATACAAATCCTTTTTATATACAATGAGCAGTTCACAATTAGCAATTTTCAACTAATGTACATTTACAATGTATGTATCATTGAAACTGATAAGCACAACTGTTTTATCTCTATTCATCTTTCATTTAACAGAAATAGTAAAAAATTAATGAGGCTCACCAGTTGGGTTGGACATTATGAGGTCTTCCAAACAGCTCTACCTTCCTAGTGCCTGGGGATAATCTTTCAATAATACCATATATCTCATCAGGCTTATGACTTGTTGCCCGCACCTGCAAATAATTCAAAATATATAATAAAATAAAAATAAACTATGCAACAAAGTATTCCTTGCATGTATATTCAAACAATGTGCTATACACTATCTCATAATATAGAAAATACCAGGAGAGAGGTTTTAAAAGAGCTTTATGCTTTCTACTCAATCCTGGATGAAATTTATGTATTGTAATTTTGTAGACCCAAGGTAAGTTCTGAAGCAGAAATACTGTTTAAATCAAAGAATTTCCCAAGAAAACTTGTCACTATATATCAGCTTTATTGGCACAGTTCTACAATATTAGTGGTGAAAAATGCCGTCACAAGGATCACAGCTAAACAATGATACAAAGATAAGCTGTCATAGACAGAATCTCTAGTTAACATCATAATTTAAAACAAACAAACAAAGGTTGTTCAGGAAGACAGCAAGCTCATCTGGTTAAATACAAAATGCATAAAAAATAATAAGAAAAATCAATAATAATATGAACTTAGTATGGTCAAGCTAGAAATGATTGAACAAATACAATAACTGAAAGCGTATTGGCTTACCTCAGCTACAATAACATCACAGTCAAGACCTTTGTTAACTCCTTTTGGATTCCCTTTCACTCCAACCTACAAACATTGATTTTTATCAACAATAACACAAAGTCATTAAATCAAACTGTGTTTATGAAACAGATATCAATGTCATATCCAATGTCATATGACATGTAAGCATTTGTTTTAATACTGTGCATACATCATGCATTACAGTAATAATGTACTTGATTGTAGACCCAAGGTAACTTCTGAATCATGTACATTCATCATTTACATAAGCTCTGTATAATGTGGACCAAGTAAAAGTTTTATATCACACAGGCAATATCATGTAGACAGTATAAAAAAGTTCAGTATCATGTAGACCAAACAATTTCTGTACCATGTAATCAAACTATAATAAGTTCTATATTATGTCTAATTCTGTACCATGTAGTTCAAACATATTTTTTGTTTTATGCAGACAGGTCAACACAAGATCTGTATTATGTAGACAGGTTAAGACAAGTTCTATATCATGTAGTTCAATATAGTTTCTTATCATGTAGACCAAATTTAAACAAATACATCACATGATTTCAGTACCATTTAGATTATCATAAATTTAAATGTAGACCCAACTTAACTTCCATAGTAAGTAGATAATCCAGCATAATATCAGTTACTTTTCATGACATTACCTATATATGACTGGAATATCACACAGATATTTACATAGAAAATTTCTGATTGTACTCACAAGACAGTGCTCTTTGCCATGATTTAACCAGTGACCAGTTCTTCCTGTACGTATAATTCTCTGTAACTGATTTGTCTTCACCCATATGATCTCATCTATTCTTTTATATCTACAAATGAGACGTGCCATGACAAACCAACATAGTGCGTTTGTGACCAGCATGGATCCAGAGGCACTTACAAACCCTATTACAAGTACAGAAACTGACAGCAAACAGCATGGATCCTGATTAGACTGTGCGATGCGCAAGCTGGTCTGGATCCATGCTGGTCGCAGACGCACTATGTTGGTTTTGTCATGGCGCGGCTCAAATAGTTCAATAATAATATTACATTTGTTAGGTTTCTTGTCACACCAACACTGTATAGGTTATGTATGGTTAATTGAAATAAAAATATGACTCCTATTCTAGTAAACAAAGAGAAATCTTCCAATTTTTTTTAACCTCATACAATTTGCATAATTATGCATCAATTATATCTCTTTTCTTACTTGTATAATTATGACACAAAGCAATTGTCAAAAGAATTGCTGAACAATTTAATTTATCAGTATCTTAAGTTTATCTGAACAAAACATTGTGTATTTGATATTGTTCCATATTCATAAGTAAGCAATTTTACTCTAAATATTTTTTCAGTCTGATAACTTTTTGCCCTATGGCTTTTAATATGATGTATAGCAATATGGAAAGTACTAGTATAGAAAAATAAAATATAACATACCCCCATAGTTCCAAGCACTCTCGCCCTAACTCCATAGCTCTACAAAATTTATAACAAATTAAAATGCTTTAAAGTGATATTATGCTCATATTTTCATTGTCAACTTGAGCTGAATTAACAATAATATACATGTATTACAAAAGAATGACTGTTTTAACAGTGATTGACCAACTGCTTATATTAAAAATTTTAGGATAAAATCTAAATCTGCCTAAAATATAAGACTGTTTCACACTTTTATGAAATTGAACGTTAGAGGTAACTCCTGATAGCTATTTATAGAACTTTCCTTGGGCCATGTGAGTTATTTATCATTCATGTGAAGTAAATTATAAAATTGAAAGAAATTATCGCAAAATGAAAACTTTTGCTTGTTCACTCACTATAGGATGGGCAGACTGCTATTTCTTTCACTGATTTTGTAACACAGCAATGTCTTCATATACTTCAAGTTTTAGGTGAAAAATTATTTGAAGGACATCACATATAAGAACAAGAGGGCCATGATGGCCCTGAGGTCGCTCACCTGTATATAGGCCCCCCAGCGCGGGGCCAGTTTAAACCCCAGGGCTTTTATTTGAACAAACTTGGAAGACACCCATTAGAAGATGTTTCATGATGTTAAGTTTTTACTACACACATATAATAACAAGAGGGCCATGATGGCCCTGAGGTCGCTCACCTGTATATAGGCCCCCCAACCCCCACCCCACCCCCCCCCACCCCAACGTTGCAGGGCCAATTTAACCAAGGGCTTTTATTTGCACAAACTTGGTAGACACCCATAAGAAGATGTTTCATGCCAAAAATCTAAGCTCAAGCTTTTTAAAGTTTTTACTATACACATATAGTTAAAAACAATGACACCCCTGGGGCCGGGCCAGTTTTGACCCCAGGTCTTTTATTTGAACAAACTTTGTAGACACTTACTAGAAGATGTTTCATGCTTAATATCTAAACTCTAGCTATTTGGGTTTTTTCAAAGAAGATTTTAAGTTTTTGCTATACACATATAAAGAAAATCAATGACCCCCGGGGCGGTGCCAATTTTGACCCCAGGTCTTTTATTTGAACAAACTTGGTAGACACCTATTAGAACATGTTTGATGCTAAATATCTTAGCCATAGCTCTTTGAGTTCTTTAAAAGAAGATTTTTTAAGTTTTTACTATATGCATATAGGGAAAATCAATGACCCCCCGGGGCGGGGCCAATTTTGACCCCAGGGCTTTTATTTGAACAAACTTGGTAGACACTTATTAGAACATGTTTCATGCTAAATATCTTAGCTCTAACTCTTTTGGTTCTTTAAAAGAAGATTTTTTAAGTTTTTACTATATGCATATAGGGAAAATCAATGACCCCCCGGGGCGGGGCCAATTTTGACCCCAGGGCTTTTATTTGAACAAACTTGGTAGACACCCATTAGAACATGTTTGATGCTCAATATCTTAGCCATAGCTCTTTGAGTTCTTTAAAAGAAATTTTTTTAAGTTTTTACTATATGCATATAGGGAAAATCAATGACCCCCGGGGCGGGGCCAATTTTAACCCCAGGGCTTTTATTTGAACAAACTTGGTAGACACCCATTAGAACATGTTTTATGCTAATATCTTAGCTCTAGCTCTTTGGGTTCTTTAAAAGAAGATTTTTTAAGTTTTTACTATATGCATATAGGGAAAATCAATGACCCCCCCCCCCAGGGCGGGGCCAATTTTGACCCCAGGGCTTTTATTTGAACAAACTTGGTAGACACTCACTAGAAGATGTTTCATGCCAAATATCTAAGCTCTAGCTCTTATGGTTTTTTAAAAGAAGATATTTAAAGTTTTTTCTTTCGGTTGCCATGGAAACCAGAGTTCAGCATGGAATTAAATTCTTTGAACAATTTTTAAAGGTGACCACCAAAGGAACATTCCTGTGAAGTTTGGATGAAATTGGCTTAGTGGTTTATGAGGAGATGTCATTTAAAGTAAAAGTTTACGGACGGACGACGGACAGACGGACGACGGACGGACGCCTGACGAAAAGCGATCACAAAAGCTCACCCTGTCACTTTGTGACAGGTGAGCTAAAAAATAATGATTTTCTCCCCCTTCCCCCCCCCCATAAGAAGATGTTTCATGCTAAACATCTAAGCTCTAGCTCATTGGGTTTTTTAAAAGAAGATTTTTAAGTTTTTACTGTACACATAGTTAAAAACAATGACACCCCTGGAGCGGGGCCAGTTTTGACCCTAGGGCTTTAATTTGAACAAACTTTGTAGACACTTACTAGAAGATGTGTCATGCTTAATATCTAAACTCTAGCTATTTGGGTTTTTTCAAAGAAGATTTTTAAGTTTTTGCTATACATATATAAGGAAAATCAATGACCCACGGGGCAGGGCCAATTTTGACCCCAGGGCTTTTATCTGAACAAACTTTGTAGACACTTACTAGAAGATGTTTCATGCTTAATATCTAAACTCTAGCTATTTGGGTTTTTTCAAAGAAGATTTTTGAAGTTTTTGCTATATACATATAAGGAAAATCAATGACCCCCTGGGGCTTTTATTTGGACAAACTTGGTAGACACCCATTAGAACATGTTTCATGCTATATATCTTAGCTCTAGCTCTTTGGGTTCTTTAAAAGAAGATTTTTTAAGATTTTACTATATGCATATAGGGAAAATCAATGACCCCTGGGGCGGGGCCAATTTTGACCCCAGGGCTTTTATTTGAACAAACTTGGTAGACACTCATTAGAAGATGTTTCATGCTAAAAATCTTAGCTCTAGCTCTTTGGGTTCTTTAAAAGAAGATTTTTTAAGTTTTTACTAATGCATATAGGGAAAATAATTGACCCCATGGGGCGGGGCCAATTTTGACCCCAGAGCTTTTATTTGAACAAACTTGGTAGACACCCATTAGAACATGTTTTATGCTAAATATCTTAGCTCTAGCTCTTTGGGTTCTTTAAAAGAAGATTTTTTAAGTTTTTACTATATGCATATAGGGAAAATCAATGACCCCTGGGGCAGGGCCAATTTTGACTCCAGGGCTTTTATTTTAACAAACTTGGTAGACACCAGTGACCCTTTAGAACATGATTCTTTTTAACACAGTTGCTTAGTATTTATCAAGGAAATTTTATCAACAGTATTTTCATATGGCGGCTTTCCAGCTTTATTGATTATTTATTATTGAGATTGAGACATTCTGCCAGCGAGCTTCCTCACATGAAAAAGTCCTATGTCTAGGTCCACATCAGAGGGTTGCCTAGATGAAAGATAGATAAGATATAGTCCCTGGAGGGAATAGAACCCACGAGTGGTGAAGGTCAAGCGCTTTGAAGTTAACAATCTTTACCACTTGGCCACAGATTGCCCTCCCCCAACCCCACAATCAATGTATAGTATCTCATACCTGCCAGTGACCCACAGGAAGATATATCCATCATCTTGCATTAATGGTACAGGCATCTTCCTCATCTCGTCATCCTGCATGGTACCATACGGTAACTCCATGTGAATATCCCATGGTGGATCAGCCATGATTACAGCACATTTACCCAACACCTGCATGTCCAGGTACCTAATATCACACTGTATCCACTGAAATTGTTCAATTCAGCCACTTTATTGTAACAGTTATACAAATAATGATTGCACTCATAGCTTTATCAATAATTTAATTAAGGCTACATATGAAGAAGAATGGACATGCTTTAACATTAACAAACATGATTAAATCCATAGCTCTTGCTTAACAAATGTTTGCTTTTAGAAAAGAATGTTACTTAAAATAAAATTCTCCTAGTAAGAAGTAGACACTTAGTAATATCAGTGTTAGTTTCCATGTAATTACTATGTGTATATTTATTTGTATATATAAGCGGATGCTTTCTATAAATTTTGCACTACATTGTCAATCTTTATTTTCATATTTTATCATTCAGATTCAAACTTAAAACTTTGTATAATACTACATATGGTGACAAAATTTTAACTTCTTTCCTCAGAATTTCTATCACAGTCTGCTTTTCTACTGTAATATGTCTGCTATTAGACCCAAAAGGTACAAAATCCAGCAACACTTGCTATATATTTATGTGATGGCAAAATAAAACAATCTGCTATTCAAATGAATTTACATGTAAAATATATACATACCTGTGTTGGAAATATATAGATACATGTGGTAGAAAAGTTTAAGTGTACATATGTACATACCTGTGGTGGAAACATGTTCACTTGCTCATTGGAATCTGAAGACATTGCCAGGGCCATGTTTGCTTCTTTCCTTAAATTTTGTGACTTCTGAGAATCTTCAGGAAAATCTACTTTGTAATGTACATACTGAAAAAAACAATAATCCACTATCTACAAAGCAACTAACATCCCTTAAATATTGAAATATTGTCACAAGTAAATCAAGTTTTATTAACCTGAATTGTTTAGTGTTTAATTTATCATAATTTTTTAACACTTCGGAGATAAAGAATGTTCAACAGTTTCGTCCATTTGGAGAAAGGCCTATATCAGTTTCTACTTTATGCAAAGAAAGATGATTGATCTATGACACACAGACAGTTCTATAATGTAGATATGTCATTCTCATAATAATCTTTTCATTCTGTTCTTTTCAATTTTTGAATTCAGTAAGAAAATCTCACCTTACACGTATCCATATGAAAGCATGTGTTCAAAAATGAACAATCACCCAGAGATTCTGAAAGCAAAATGAAATTAACATGGGTATTTAGACTGAGGGACAGTACAATGTTGGACCTAGAGGTACATTGTCCAATATGAATAGGTTTTCTTTTTTTCCAACACTTTGAGTTTAAACAGACTCATTTAACAATCTAAAATGACAAATCAAGGCGCAGTAAGTTATAATTATTGGAAGAGGAAGCACTTATCATATTAAAAGCAACACAGAAAGTGTACCTGTGCATACTAATTATAAGATATTACCCAGATAATTTTTAAAGACCATTTAGAATACAATGACATTCACTTTCATGTACTGTAATCATTTCCTGAATAGTTACAGCTAAAAATGTGTCTATAGGTCACTTAATGCCCAACATTCCACTCTTTTGTCCGTCTATGAATAATGGCTTGACGGATAACCAAATGGACAAAGGCAAATCAACATGCCCTCCTGTGGGGCAAAAATAAGTCAATCTTATTAGAATGAATATAAAACAATTAAAAAAAAAGAAATAAAAATACCATCTGTATGCTTATGAATAATTTTCCTGAAATGAAGTTTTGTACAAGGTTGTGAAGCCTGATTAAGTTTTAGACATTCTTCCTTTGTCCCAAACTGACAGAATTCCTGTAACTGTGCACCTGGAAAATAATAGAAGACTCCTAATTGGTTGAACAGTGCATACAATTTATGTGACAGTAAAATGCTGGCAAATAGTTTGGTCAACTACTGCTCAACGTCACAGTTTTAAAAGACCATTTGTAAACACAAATAAATTTTACAATTTTCTGTTGGATTATCTTTACAAGTAAAGTTTAACATGACTGTATGTCAAAATGATTCATTAGTTGCAGAGCATGACTTCCATCAGTCTTGTCCTTCAATAACTTATCATTGATACATTTACCATTACTCTATTATTTTTTTTGATTATTGCTTTGAAATCAGAACTGTCCATGGAGAGACTGATATCTACAGAAACAATAGTAAAACTGAGCTTCCACTTGTATAATATATGGTCAGATTGTGTTAACATGCCAGCTAGCCTCGCTCTTTACTAGTAACAGAGGTAAGTTATTGTTGCTTCAAGGAAAATGATTCCTTTCTGTCAAATAATTGCCAATAATCTATTATAATTTTAGTTTGATTCTAGAAAGGTAAAAAACTCTGTTAGATGAATAACATAACAAGCTAGCATACAAAATAAGGACTATACAGCTTAACTGCCCGACCTAGGTGTCTAACATACTTAAAATAACTTAATTGGGACTCTTTTTATTGAATTAGATTTAGTAATTGGCCAAATAACATTTAACGTGTCATATCATTACAGCCAACAAAATATCTTTTTTTTTTGTCAATTTCTAGATTAACAAAAATAAACAACAACAATAAACTACTTTAACGTCAAGCAAAATATAAATAACCCCACCTCCTTGTGATTTAAACCTCTCCATCAGACTTTTCTCTTTAGTTGTTGGGGCACTCAATATCTGCATTATCTCTTCTGTCATCTTCTTACTCTCTCTTTCTTTAGCTGTCTGCACTGATAATAAACTCTGAAATATATTTTCACTTTAATCATTTGAAAATCTTATTCTGTTTTGGTTTTTATGGACAGTCACAGTTAACAAGTAATTTTATATAATTTTAATTAAAAAAAAATTGAAAGAAAATCTTCATGAAAACTTTTGATTACATTGTAGACAGTTAAAAATTGTGAATTCACAAATATTAGCGAAAACAAAAAATATAGCAAGTATTTCCCAATCTACTGTGTATCATTTCCATCGTCTTGTGAAAGACAATGGAATAACACCCCAAGATGATTTCAGAAAAATAATTCAGAAGAAATATATACCTCCACACTAAAGCTAGAATCTTGTTTTGATGTTTGTTTACTTTGTTTGGCAGTTGGTTGACTGGCCTCATCCTCAGCATTTCTGTAACAACATACATTAGTACATTTATAATTTAACAAAGTAATTTATTTACACACAATATATGTATAATTATAATAAGTAACATATGAATACCTCAAACACGCTATGCTCTTCAGATACGACTTTCAAAAAAGATTTTTTTTATTTTCAGAAAAAAGGAGATGGTGGTTCTACAAATGTCAAATGTCAGACTTGCTTCAATTATAGAAAAAATATCTATAACAGTAATCATATAATATAGGCTTTGAAAAAGCAATATACACAACTTTAAGGCCCATTATGCCTCAGAAATGACATCATTTTTTTTTTTTTTTTTTTTTTTTTTTTCTGGAGGGGGTGGGGGGGGGGGGTATCAGTATATTGTTTACACAATTGTATTGTTTAGGGGGTACTGTCCTAGGATGATAATTTGGTCTTAACGGTACATGGGAAAGTCCAAAAACGGGGTTTTCTTGATTATTATCCAATATTGTAAAAGTAAACGCTTACATATACTATATAGCATTATTCTTACAGTATATTGGTGTATTACCGTTATGGCTCTGCCGGTAGATCGAAATTATTGTAACTTTTAGTGTTTTGTACTCATAGGTTCGAACCCCACGTAGTGCTATTTCATAACCACAGTTTTTTCTTCTTGCTCTGTTTTTTTTAATCATTATTATCTATTTATTTTTCGTTTTCCTTTATATTTTCTTCTTATAATATATATTCTATAGTATATATATTTTTTATTTCTATTCTATTTTGTTTTTGTATTTTTTGATCGCAGTGTAATAAAATATTCGATCTCATATTCATGTATGTATATGAAAAAACCGTTCAAACTTGTTTTCTGAATAATTGACTGTTCTGAGGTAAAATAACAAGAGCTGTCCGTAAGACAGCGCGCTCGACTTTTTTATTGCTTGCCAATAAAAAAAGTTTTTGCAGTAAAAGGCAATACAAGAATCTCTGTATTTTTAAAGTGAACTAGTTGTTTGATACCCTTGAATATTACAGCAATGTTTATATGACATAATTTATGGTAAAGTGAACAAGTGGATAGCCTATCCACTTGTTCACTTTACCATAAATTATGTCATATAAACATTGCTGTAATATTCAAGGGTATGAATTTTTTTAGATTTTTTAAGTTTTTTAGTGCTTGCCTATAATACAAAACATTGACAGTTAAGGGCCATAATTCAAATAAAATCTTTGACAGAATTACCTTCTCCTGGACATGTTTGGGAATCATGATTGTAAACAAGTATTCCAACTTTCAAATTAATATCTCAAACAGTTCAGTCAAAAAGTGGACTGGTACTAAAAACTTAACCAAGATTCTAAGTCGATAAAAGGCCTTAATTTTTAAAACAAATCCTTGACAGAGTTACCTTCTCTTGCGTACAGATGGGGGTAATGATGTGAAATAGCATTAAAAGTTTCAAAGCAATATCTCAAAGGGTTAAGGCAATAAGTGGATTTTACCCATATTCAATGTATTTTCTAAGTCAAAAAGGGGCATAATTCTGTCAAAAACCTTGACAGAGTTATGTCCTCTTGTCTGTTGATGAAGGTCGTGATGGTAAACAAGTATGGTCAGTTTCAAAGCAATACCTCCAATGGTTTTGAAATAAAGTGAGGTGGTACAAAAAACTTAACCAAGCTCAATACACTTTCTAAGTCAAAAAAGGGCCATAATTCTGTCAAAAACCTTGACAGAGTTATGTACTCTTGTCTGTAGATGGAGGTTATGATGGTGAACAAGTATGGTAAGTTTCAAAGCCATACTTGTAATACTTCTGAAATAAAGTGGGGTGGTACGAAAAACTTAACCAAGGTGTGACGCCAACGCCGACGCCGGGGCGAGTAGGATAGCTCCCCTTTTCATAGAAAAGTCGAGCTAAAAATGTAGTCGAACTGCCTGTACGGGTAAAACATTACTGACACGGTTGCTCTACCTACTGCGCTAACAAGACATATGATAACATGTAGTTTTATTTTCATTTTTATAGGTTGTGGCATTGATCTGCCTAACCTATTTTTCGCATTGTTATTGGTCTTTGTTATGTAAACAAAGGCTCAAGTTATCATCCTAGGACAGTATATTGTTTACAGTGTCAAAAATTATTTTCCATAAACTTGAACTATCTTTTGCTGATTTTACTCTGTCAGCAATTGGTATAATTATAGTGAATTAGAATTTTGTATCGAAATCAAAATACTACTTTGTTTACATTTTGCTACCTTTATGACACATTACTGAACTTTCATTGCTACTTCCTTCAGTAAATAAACACGTACGATACTGTAAATTTATTTTTGAAACATCATTAAACGCATGTCTGACATTTCTAAAGAATTAAAAAATATGGATTTCTGAGGTATAATGTGCCTTTAAGTTCCTACTTAGAAATTAAGTTGCATTGGCAGTTAAGTAGAGCATGCATCAGTACAAAGCAAAGGTGGACGTAAATAAACACACTGAAACTCACTCATCTCTCTTTCTTTTAGCTCCTGTCTGGTCTGCAACTGCCGACAGCTTTAAAATAAACATTATCTCCAAATTTAAAAGCATGTATATGACACAGTCTGACAGGTGGTAAAATATATAATCAACAAATTTTTACAAAATTAAAAGCAAGAAGATAATAACTGTCAGTATAACTGTTGAGAAATGTTCTCCCTATGTTTTGCAAACCTATAGTTGTTTTTAATGTGATATATAGGGAGAGATGGAGCAGTTCAATATTCACTGTGGGCCCGTCAAAGGACTTTTAGCATTTCTTTATGTACATGAAACAATTCTTTATTAAGTAACTTATTTCATCAAGGGACTTTTAGCATTTCTTTATGTACATGTAACAATTCTTTATTAAGTAACTTGTTAAAGTTACATTAAATAAATTTCATAAAAAAAAGAAATAGCGACATTTCATTAATAAATTGGGTTTCATATCGACTCCAGATCTTATTTTGATGTCCAGGCAACCAAAATGAGTTTAATGAGCATACAAATGTGCAACCTCATTGTGGCGAATTCGGAGTACAATTTCTGTTTGCATGAGAAACTCCGCCTTCAGATCATCCGTACATCAATATTAAATCAACAAACATGACTATAAGTAGCAGTCCTAATTTAACGGTATATTTCCGCATTGTAACGGATATTTTCATACAAATTTAATTTCTTTTATGAGATGATTATTTTTTCTGAACCACAGGCTTAGTGCACCGTGAAGCTTAAACGGTAAAAGTGTGTTTGCACAAGAAAATCTTATATTTGCTGTGTTCCGGATAGCAACTATAACTCCGTGACGTAGCGCATACACGAGCTGATTATAGTCTTCATTTGCATGTTAAAATTCGTATACGAACTTTAGTGTTACCGTGGGGTTTTCCATTTAAAATCCTAATTTATGAACAATATTTGATGAGATTTACAACGATACTGTTAAAAAGGTTAATGAAACTGTAGAATGCTTGGTTTTTAGGCCGACGGCAAAAATATTTTAACATATTTATTTAATGTAACTTTAATGTAACTTTAAAGATGTTTGGTTGGTTAAAACTGAACTTATCACTAAGAGATCAAGATTACTTTAAGTACCAGAATGCTTCTGTTCTCTAAAAAAAACTACAACTTAAGACTTAGCTGAACAACTTTATTACCTGAAACAAATCATCATTCATTTAGACAAGTTATTAAAAGCTGGCAACTTTAACCACTTTAACAAGGCAACTCATATGTAAGTATTATATATTATTTGACTTACCAGTACTTATTTCAAAAAGGGAGTATTGGTTTGTAAAATTAAAAGAATATTTATTTTTAATTGTCATCTTAACTAATCAAATTACCTTAGACAAATCCACTGACTGAACAGTAAGATGGCCTTTTCTTGATGCTATGCTTTCATCTTTTACAACCCTGTCAATAGATATAAATCACAGTCCTTAAATATATATAACAGTTCTAGTCTGACAGGCTCAAAAGTTAAATAACCTATGATGTATTACGTATCTTCCAAAAGTTTTAAAGTTGAAAACATCAAAAACCTTTGTTTTACAAACTGATAGTGATTAATATATCTCTACCATCAAACATTTAAATTTTTTTGTAAATTAATATTAACAACATTATATAAATAAAACTTACACAATCATTTGCTGAGCAGCAAATTTCTGAAGGAGATTCTCAACTAAATCTATATTGGCACTTCTGCCAAGAGCTTTTGATGTCATTTCACAAACATAATCTGAAGTACATGGTGTATCAACACCAAGATCACACAGTACAATCAACAATTGTTTCTCAACTTCTGGGTCATGTTTGATAGGCACAGGCTTCACAACAGATGCTGGTAGCTTCTTAGGTGATTGACCAGAACTCAGATTCTTGGGTGCTTCTGCTTTAGCTGAAAAAAAGGTCTGACATCTAAATATCTTATTTTGTGTCTGGGGAAAATACAGATACTTGGAGTTGAGACCTAAAGCCCCTTCCCCACATACACCTTTTTAATATTTTTTACATTTTTTATATTCTTCTTTCATCCTCTTTTAAATTTTCTTGTTATTTAGATGTGCAGGCATGTCAATATCCCCACAAAAGGGGTTTAACATTAATAAAAGATTAGATGGATAGTATTGGATAGATAGATCACAGACTTAAAATTTGAGATAAATTGAGCAATTAAACAGACATGTCCACAGTAGAATGAATATCTATGTTTTTTCCATTAATGTCAAACCCCACATGGGGATGTAGACAAGTTTGTGTGTTAAAATTGCATGAAATTTCAAAAAGGTTGATTAGAAAAGGATAAAAGAAGAATATTAAAAATGTTTAAAACTGCGGGGCTGGAAAACTGGGTAGTCTAAATATTTCGACTACAAGACCGGACCGATTTTATAATCTGATATTTCATAGATGTCTGTCTTTATTGCCAAGGGCGACCATCGTTATATAATAAAAAGCCCTAAAAGTGCACAATTTGTTGGGCTAGAAAACTAGGGTGAGACATGTTCAATGCAAGCAATGACAGCACTGAACTGATCAGTGGCAGGGAGTCAGGCAACTGCAGAGGTTAGATAGTTCTAGTGGTATACAGTTCTAGGAAGGAAGGAAAGAAGGAGAATTTATAATAGTCTGAAGTTGCTGTGAATAACATATAACACAGGGGATGGCCTCGGAGTGATGTTTGTGATCTATGGGGATATCAACCAGACCATGGTGAATCTTGTAGAAAATGGATAACCTAGTATCTATATGTCAGTTCCAGTTTTTGACTTAAGTTAAAGAAGTACTGCAAGTCTGTGATGCAGCCGCTACAGCTAGGTTTGACCATAATTTAGCTTGTTCCATCGGGCTGCTGTTCTTTGAACATTTTCAATTTGATCTATTGTATTTTGGTGTGGGGGAGAACATACTTCGGAACTATATTCAAGCTGGAATCTGACTAGTCCAATAGATTAGACGTTACAGGCTTGTTATTGTTTTATGTTGGTCAAGCCTGACGTCTAATAGTTATTGCTCATAAACACGTAGCATTTTGAAAAAATAAAAAAATGTCTGTTGACTTGCCTTTCAAGCTTTATTCAAAAGCTTATCTTCTGTTCTTTCAATTGCATGGTCTATCATTAACAAACACTTTCAAACAATGTACTTATCAATTAAAAATAAAATATAAATATCAGTCTATTTCGCTCATCGGCCATACTGGTTAAGTAAAGCGTATTACAGATTGATTCCAATTTTTTGAACGGAAAAATATATTCGAAAACACTGACGGTGCATGGGCAATTATTTCGTTGAAAAAATATTCCGTTAGAAACTTCTGGACTCATTTAAACGCTTGCATTTGAATTAGCCAATCAGATTTCGCGCACTTTATGGCGGCCATTTGTATATCGGCTGTACAAGGAATTTAATTTAATGAGAGGATTTAATAATGACTTTTCGGATGTGACAGTTCAATTATTTTGTTAAAAGGTATTCATTTTTTAGTTTTGTTCATAACTAAGTCAAAATTAATGTAAATACTTGCTGTTTTAATTGTTTAAATTCATTAGATCTAAATCGATGTCTAATGGCAATTTTTTTGCTACACGATTTTGCAAAGATCTGTTAAGACCTAACGTAACATGGAAAATGAAAAATGTAAAATATCAGATTAATGAATGATAAATATGAAATAGGTTACGTATAGGTCTTATAATTAGGACTAGAATCTGACTGATGTCTGGTTAGCAATGGACTTCATGGACTAGGATGTATTCATGTAACCTTTATCAGTCAGTGTTATGTTCTTATGTCATAAGAACATAACACTGACTGATAAAAGTTATGAATAGGCCTATATAATTTGAGATTCTAAACCAAAACGAAAGTATCTCACAATCTCAAGACATAAAATCATATTAACTTTTATTAAGTAAAGCAAAAACTATATGTTTCATAATGACATACATTCAGTTCCACTTGATGACGGTTTTGAAGACGGGACACTCGGGGAAGTTGTCGATTTCGATATCTCAGCGACAAGACCTTCTCGTTCCTTTTTCCTGGCGGCTAATTTAGCTCTAAAGCTGCTCTGTTTCGATTTTAATGCTTGTATCTCATTCCATGCATCCGTCATCTTGAGTTTCTATTCTTAATATCACCTGATTCTGCCAAAAAAGATTAATTTACAAACCGACAAATTTCACATCATGGGCGCCGCCATTATTGTCAGCTAATATTTCAACGAATAACACCATCGTTATCGTCATCATTGTATTAATTCACGGACCCGGAGTTATCTTATTTAAGCAAAGGTGCATTGACCTAAAATATGTTTTATCTTGTAATTCATGCAATATAATATCCATATATTACCGGTAACAAGTATAAAAAAATCAGATTTTATTTTATTATAGACAATATTTGACCACAGATCTATATACATCCAGTCTATTAAACTCCATGGTTTGACAAGCAGACCATTATTGATCACTTGTACGATTAACAAGCAGGTATTTATATCATTTGTGCAGTTTTGTCTGTTGACAATCATGAAATTTATGTCTCTTATGTGATTGTCAAGCAGGTAATTCATATCATTTGTGTATCTGGCAAACAGGCCACTGATATCACCTGAGTGATTGACAAGTAGATAATTTACATCACTTGTGTGATTGACAAGCATGTCATTTATATCACTTGTGTCACTGACAAACACAGGATTTAAGTCACTTATGTGATTGACAATCATACCATTTATATCACATGTGACAATCATACCATTTATATCACATGTGACAATCATACCATTTATATCACTTGTGTGATTAACAATCATACCATTTATATCACATGTGTGATTGACAAGCAGACCATTTATATCTCTTGTGTGATTGACAATCATACCATTTATATCTCTTGTGTGATTGACAATCATACCATTTATATCTCTTGTGTGATTGACAATCATACCATTTATATCACTTATGTGATTGCCAATCATACCATTTATATCTCTTGTGTGATTGACAATCATACTATTTATATCACATGTGTGATTGCCAATCATACCATTCATATCACATGTGTGATTGACAATCATACCATTTATATCACTTGTGTGATTAACAAGCAAAACATTGATATCACTTGTGTGATTAACAAGCAGGCCATTGATATCACTTGTGTGATTAACAAGCAGGCCATTGTGATATCACTAGCAGATTAACAAGAAGACCATTTATATCACATGTGATTGACTTTCATTTAATCACTTTATTATGTTAGTGAAACTGACAGTATTATGGTCATACATGTCTTCTTACAATCTTGATCAGCAGAGAACAACTCGAACTATCTCTCTGTTCATTGTATCCCCACATCAGGTGAAAAGAAAACTAACAAGTTTCAAAAATTACAATACTATTTACTTCATAGAATTTCACAATGTCATTTTTGGGAGAGCATATTTATTTGAATGATTTACTGTTACTATACATGTACATCACAATACAATTAGCTACTGACTAAACATGATTTTACAGACATTTTTTTTATCTTGTTAGAAATCACTTTCCCCCAAATACTTTTGTAGTAAAAAGATTTTCATAAAATCTGGCACTAGCACTAAGGTGTTAAAACTTTATAAGTATTTATTTTTTTCAATTAATAATAAAGAATTTACAACACACAGCAATCAATCAAATACCTGAAAAAAGACCCAAGAATGGACGTTTCTGTTCAGGACAAAATACTTGCCTTTTTTGATCAATAAAAAAAAGTAAATTTACCATTTCATTGTTTTATTTATTTCATTTCAGATAATGTCATTTAAAGCATGGAAATGCATTTTATTATCAATTTATCAAAATTTTGTATGTTTATTCACAAATGTCTGTAAAATCAACTAAAATCAAAATTTAATTGCAAAAGGCATTTTGTAATAATGCATACACAAACACAAACATCATACATTGTAGCATTAATGTCAGTTTACTATGACAATATGGAAATACAGTGGTAACATCATAGACACAATGTGGTTTTACCACACTTACACAAAACTTCCAGAACTCAGTGATGATCTCACTGAAACAAAGTGGTAATACCCTAATAACACACAGGTAAAAAGATATTACTTCCTTTACAAATTAGTACCAGTAATAGCTCAGTCACACAGAAAAAACTGTCAACACCACATCAACAGAAAGGTAAAAACATTGTACATTTTGCACATCCATTTTGTATCAGACTCAAACAGAGGTAACACCAATGTAATAAATTGGTAATATTATGTCAACACAGTGGTAAAGCCACATTAACACTATGCGGTAAAACAGTGGTAATACCATAGTAACACCAATCTAAAGTTTAACTCAGTGGAAACACTATATTAATACAGTGGCAACACTATATATGTAGTAACTAACAAAATGGAAAACAACAGCAGTAGCACAGAGGGTAACAAGCACATTGGGTTAATCAGCGGTAACAAACACAGCTGGGTAACTCAGAGATAACTACACAGCTGAGTAACTCAGAGGTAACAAACACAGCTGGGTAACTCAGAGATAACTACACAGCTGAGTAACTCAGAGGTAACAAACACAGCTGGGTAACTCAGAGATAACTACACAGCTGAGTAACTCAGAGGTAACAAACACAGCTGGGTAACTCAGAGATAACTACACAGCTGAGTAACTCAGAGGTAACAAACACAGCTGGGTAACTCAGAGATAACTACACAGCTGAGTAACTCAGAGGTAACAAACACAATTGGATAACGCAAAGGTTACAGACATAGTTTGGTAACTCAGAGTTAACAACACAGCTGGGTAATGCAGAGGTACAACACAGCTGGATAACTCAGAGGTAACAACACAGCTGGCTAACTCAGAGTTTGTCAAACATAGGTGGCTAACTCAGAGTTAACAAACACAGCTGGGTAACTAAGAGGTAACAAACACAGTTGGGAAAACAATACAGCAAGTAGTAAATATTTCAAGCAAATTTAACACATACAAAAATAGACTGTTCACATTGATTAAAATGCTAGCTTAACAAGTGATGATTCTTTTATTCTTCAACAGATCTCTTTATAACACCAAGACTTAAGTAAAAGCTGTGAACAAGTGAAAACTATCATAAAATTACTTGATTAATTAAAAATAATGTACATGTATAACCATTTTCCTTACTCCTTTAATCATGTATAAACATGAAAAACGGCACTATGTTATTATATTTCATTTTTACCCCATGCAGATGATTTCTTTAATAAAAAGTAGCATTTATGTCCTTCTAATGCAACACAAGTGCAACACGAATGTTGTTGTTGTTGTTTTTTTCCCCAAGGAAAAATGTCTATATTGGTAAAAAAACAAGGAATTTACGTGTAACATCAATTTCATTGATCTATGAAATACAAAACTATAACAATCTTAACAACGGTGAAAGCAATAACAATAAGTACATAAGGCTAAAATCTTGATTCTATAGCACTAGTTAACTTGTCACCTCACACCATTCATTTCAGATAAACAGTTCCTATACTTGAGGGTGTTAATTTTCATCTTACTTTTAAACTACTGTGTTTTTATGACACGTGTATTTCACAAAACTGACATGTGCATGGCAACTAGCAGATTAACAGTTATTCTGATTTTGATTTTTTGTTTGTTTTGGCCACATAAACTATATTTGAATGCTTCACAGTTTCATATAGCTTAAAAATTAAATATTGTTGATCATTTTTGATAGCCAAAGATTTTCATAATTATCATCAATGTATACTATCAATCCATGTATGCCATCAATTCATGTATACCATCGATCTGTGTATGCCATCAATCCATGTATACCATGGACCCATGCATACCATCAACTATCAATTTATGTATACCATTAATCAATCTGTGTATACCATTAATCAATCTTTGTATACCATCAATCATTGTATACCATCAATACAATATATATAAGTTCATACAAAGATAATGTTCCAAAATTGTCCTAGCAACCAGACGTAGAATATATAAAAAGTATTATACAAAATATAGCTATGGTAATAAAGAAGCTTATGTTAATCAACAGCATAACATTAAAGGAGGGATTTTCTTGTACAAAAAAATAGCTACATACATAAATATATAATATATTCAATAAAAACTGAAACCAGACAAAGACCAAAAGACAACCACTATTTAAAGCTACATCCCCTCCCCCCGCCTGCAAGTCATATAATATAAACTGGTAGTTAAGGTGTGTGTATGTGGGTAAGCAGTCTATGCATGATAAGGTGCCAAGATTATGACTTTTATTGTAATTAACAGAACTTTTGTTCACATTTTATAATGTCATTAAATAGAAATAGCTTGTCCATTTCATTTTGAAATATACATGATATCACAATACTGTTGTTTTTACACAATAAAATATCTAATTTTGGCTAATTTCTAATTCTCTTCATAAAAGTAAGTAGTCATAATTATAGGCATCATTTTAAAATGTACCGTCTTCCACATCTTTGTGTGCATTTTGTCTCAATCTATATATAACTTGATTAAAAAAGGCATCTAATTGCATATATAATCATACAAGTGCTCCTGTAAATTTGCTCATAATTTTCTAGAAACTGCTATGCTAAACTGTTTCATAAAATTAGGCCAAATATATAAAAAAAATAATACAACAATTTAAAACAGAATTTTATATTAGTTGACTTTTAATTGTAACAACATTAAGTTATGTTGATATCACATTATCATGTTGCCATGTATATTATTTTAATTTTGCTGTCATTTAAATTACCTCCAAAAAGTGACCTAAATGGCTATTTTTACAATTGCTCAGATGTTTAAGCAAAACTATTTATTTATTACAAAAAGTCCAATAAAAGCATATAGAAAACAATAACAATAAAATTAAATTCATCTCCATTCCTCATCAGATAACTATGTATTATAACGCATGATTTTACAATACAACAACATCAAAATATCACATTATACAAAATATATAGAAAACAAAAAACACAGTAATCATTTACGATACTAAATTTGAACAGGTATAAAATTCATTTAAAAAAAAAAGCTTCAGATGTAAATTGTAATAAATAAGTATTATTTTGAAACCATCTTTTTCGCAACAAGTTTATTTTATTATACGACAGAGGTACAATTTACCGTGGATACCTTGCAGAAAAATATTTGAATCATGTTTTATATTTTGCACAGAAGGAAATGATAAATCAGCCGTACATAAACAGAAATCACAAAATATTATAATTAAATAAAGTGTTTTCTGAAAGTTTTCTTATTTCAATAAATTAATTATTATATCTTAGCATCAACTTTCATGTTTATAAAAAAATAACCTAACATCTTGTTATCATAATTCACTCGTTTTTTATTAAATAATAAAAAAAAATTGCTTTAGTATATACAGAATTTATTTTAGTTTGATTGTGTTGGAAGACACACTGGCAAATCTATTCCTGGAACTTTAAATCAAGTCATTATCACTTAGCATTAAAAGGCTCAATTAATTCAAAGAATCTAAAGTTCTCACTTATGCAATGATGTTTATTTAAAATACTGGAAAATTATATTAAGAATGATTATATTTGATAAAACAGCTTGAAGCCAATTCTACATATTATAAATTACTTAAAATCAAATACCTTAAAGCACCTGAAGTTATTAATGTAAAAAGATTGGCTACAAAGCCTATCTTAAAATATCTTTTCAAAAACAATACATGTAAAAAAAAAACTGGATTTCATGCCATGTAAGATCAAATATTTACTAGAAACTACATCTGTAAACTTGTTATCAAACACTTTTTCCCCATCATTAATTCAATTAACCTGATACATTTATATCACCAATTTCTAACAAAATTTCTAGTACAGACAAATTTCATTGTACTTAGTTCTATACATTAACAATGTTTTCGGTACAGTAAATAATCATTAAAGTATAGTAGGTGCAATGTTTACATACATCATTATAGTACTATATTACTGCAGGGTCTATCTCACAATCTTATAATGATACTATATAACATCTATTTTTATAATATTCCTATGATAAATAGTCAACAATGTGAAGGCACCTATCTTTATGATTTCTTTAAAATGACAACACTAAATGTACAGCTTTATATATGAAGAGATGATTTCAATAATTCTGATTAACTGAATGATTGATCAAGCAAAAAATTTGGAGCAAAATTCACATAATTTAGCTGAATCTACCTTAAAGTGGATAGGTCTACAATGGGCAAACTTTCCGTAATTATTTCAAATATTGATAAAAGCAAAAGAAATGTATCATTTGGATATTCTGATAAAATGTTGCTTGGAAAAACAAGTCGATAAAGTGATGTAGAATTAACAATTATATGATGTATAATTCTTTTGTGGTTTACAGTTATGTTTAATAGTGAACACTGTCAAATTAATTATTCATTGTATTACCTTTCATTATAGACCAAATCACTTTAAGCAATTTCTTCCTGGGCCTTTAACTAAAGAAAAAGAGAACAAACATATTTTAGACCATATATAAAAATGTAATAAGAAATTGTATAAAAAAACAAAAAAACACAACAAATAATGCTTAAAATTCAAATAACTTCATTGTGGTAATAACATTAACCTTTGTCAGTCAATAGGATACCGATTAATCCTCTTGTATCATAGTCAATAACATAAAAAACTTAATCTAATTTAAATGTTAAACGAGAATATTTCATTTTTAAGAAAACAATAACCTTATTTTTCTGACAAAACACCAACAATGAAAATTAACACAAATTAATGCCCTGGGCAGTCATGACTAAAAACATCCATCTAAATAAAGTTAAACAACATTTCAGAGAAAAAAAGGTCTTGAATTTCATAAAAAGCCAACATTCTTAAAATTTTGGTCTACGCTAATCTTTAAACAGTTTTAACCTGCTCCCAACAAATCTTAGTAATAAAAAAGTTAATTTCGAAACATTGCATAATAATGTGTAATGAAAAAAGAAAACCGCTAAAAAAAACTCCTTTAAAGATAAGCAATCACATTCTTGTCCGCAGTAAAACTTGCACATTGCACAAAGTATAAAAATCTGCCAGTTTAAATATATGTATCTGTAATGAAATACCAGACATATTACAGATTGTTTTTCTTTAATCCTACAAAAATTACATATGAAGATTTCTCACTACCACACTACATCCAAGTTTTACTGCAGTCTTTACAATTTGTTCAAAAAGCTAAAAAGTATCTGTAAAAATTTAGTTAAAATCCTAATAGTTAGAAAAAGGCCTATAGGTACTGATGTTACAGTTTCTTTGCCCATTTAAGATCATCTTCTCTTGGCTTTACTCCAGTTACAATTTCTATCAAGGCCTCGACTTTGGTCCAGAAACCGATTTTTTCCAATGGGAAATTGAGCCAGCCCGTCGTGATACAGAAATACGTGTCATGAGGAGCAACATGGTGAATACGATGGTGCTTTCGTGGCAGAATAATATGTAGATCCTGTAATGTGGTGATCCACTTTGGAAGGCCAAAATATGTATGAGACCATTTGTGAAACTGAAAAAAGAAATGAGGAGATTCTAAAATTGAACACTTAATGAACACTTAAATCAAACTTTAATATACAAAGTATATGCTGTAAGATGTATCAATTTTAAAATGTGATCTGATTGCATTGAAGAATAAAAGAAAACTTCTGAACAATTTATTGAAGGGACAAGGATTTTACAAGAAGTGCCACAGTGACTTTGACAAAATGACCTGTTTCACACATTATCTGAAAGTGAATAACTGACAGTTAAATTAACTTTACAAACATAAGAATCGATACTGAATCATTAGCACACTGTTTATATATATATACAGTGTGCTAATGATTCAGTATTGTACATTGTAATAACTAGCCTAATGAAGCAAACAAGTACTGGTTAGATAAAATTGTGAATGATTCTACAAGACACTTAACTTTTACAGTAAGTAGTTCCACTTTTTTAATGTTACTTATAGTGAAAGAACAATAATTGTATTCTACATCAAAAGGTAACTGAATAATCCTCAAATGAACATCAAGCCAACATTACTTGTCCACTAGAAATTACATGGACACAAAAGAATAACTTGGCAAATGTGGGTTTTTTTCCCAGCTTATCCATAGGTACAAACAAACTTAATCATAATAGCTTCACTACCCATGACAATAGATAAGTCAACCTGTTGCGCTTATTTTTGAAGATGTAACTGTAAAAGTTTGTATGTTATTATGGATTACCTGGGAAAAACCCAATATTCTTAATTTCGGAGTTAGTCTATTCACATGTTATTTTGTAGCCAAGCTATTGTAATTGTAACATACTAGGACCTGTGTAATTAACTCACAGTTAGCACCAAAATGAAAATATCCCACTTCTATACATTTATGGTAATCTATATTGTACAAACTTAACATGATAAAATAACAACAATTAGGATTAAATAAATAGCTCTAAGCTTACCAAATGAAGACGACTCTTGTTACACTTACCTGATTTGTAAGGCTCACAAAAATAGCCAATAAAAATATATACATCTGCCAGTTATATGTCTCGTGAATTTCCTCATTATTTAGAGTACAGAATTTGTATGCCATTGAAAGGAGTGGCAACATGACGACGGCAAAGTTGTCACCATTTGTCTCAATAAAGTCGTGCCTTGTTATTGATGTTGGGTCAATATGGTGTTCCCGAAATGGTCGTATAAATGACTGAAATATAGATCATTACAACATCTTTACAACATGTTATAGAACAAGGATCAATTTCTGATACATTACTGAATGAATGAATAATTTTGGTGTTGAGCACTAATTTGAAAGTACTCCCATCATACACAGGGCATGCATTTACCTAACAAGTAGTTCTGGATTGACTGAAAGTTCACGTCTGCATTCGAACAACTTCATAGATTTACTATTGACTTTTCAACAAGATTAATTTTTTATTAAAATCAACCAAAAATATTTGCGATAAAAATAATCCATGCATTGTATAATATAATATATTAAAATAAGATGCTTTAAAAGTAACCAAACCCTTTAAGTCTGATTTTCCTTAAAATAACAAAGCAATATTCTAAATAAAGAATACAGCATTGTTGCATAATAATAAAGTTCACATGTTTGATGTTCACAGTATGATCTTTGAAGAAATATCAAAATTAAAAAATACATGTATATACATTGACATGTAAACAGTTAACATTTAGGCATTTGCTCAAAAAGTTAAAATCAATACATTACACTTGTACAATTATGTCTTACAATTGGTTGTAAATAGGTTGTAAACCAATTGTAAAACTGACATGAATATTTAATAGTTCACTAGTTGAGTAAATTAAATGTTATATACCAATCAAGGACAATTTCAGCTAAACTTTGTTCTCTGGACATTGAATGATTTATTGTTTATGGATTGTCAGATTTCTTAATAGCAGATTGTCAATAGTTACACCATTTCCAAGGATCTGTGAATCTATATATGTATACTTAACATACAAAAACAGAGTTTTTGAATTCATTGCTAGGCTAAATTATTTGGGCCCATTCCATATTGATTCTAGTATTATGTTTTCTTCACTTACCACTGGCAATACTATAATTGCAAAATTACTGTACAAAACTTAATGATACACTATGGGCAGAAAATATTGATAATTGCTAAACAGTCTCTTTGTAAATATAAAATAAACATGCTTTGACTTCATGCACAGTAGATATGCCATGTTTAAAGCTCAACACACTTTACTAGGTGTCACAATATGAATATATAGTGTCGTAAAAAAACTGGCAGGTTTGTTTTAAAGAAAAGACCATCTTTAACTGTCCTGTAATAGGGAACGTACTTTCCAATACATAGTTGATTCGTTTTTTTATTCATATCAGACATATTCAGTAAGAATTTCATATATTTCAATAATTTTCTTTGATTAAAATATTCTACTCAAGGATGAGGCAGAGCATAGTATATCTTTAAGTTACAGATGACTTTATTGAGCTGTTACTGTATTTCAAGTCCTACCTTGCCAAACAAACTTTCCACCGAGCCATAGGAATCTGCTCCCCAATGTACAAGTCCACTTAAGAAATCAGCTGATAGTACACCCAGCACTGGAATCATAACATTTAGTAGTAATATACCTATACAATCAACAAGTATACTGTACATAATTAAATGGTGTAATACCTTTATACATGTATTAGCTAATATTATATTAAGTAATACATGAATAAAGGTATAACTCTATTTGATAAATGCACAACTATTTCCAACATCCAACAACACGGACTCAAGACTTACAGTAAACTGTATTGAAATGTAATCTTATCCACTCAGTCAAGTCATAACAATAACAATAAACAATAAATCTTATAACCTATAAAAAACAGTTGTACACTTTTTGCATACATACAATGTATCTAATATAGAATAGTATAATATATGTTTCCTCCCTTTTGATACAGATAAAGAACTAGTGTTGCCCCTTTGTACATTATCTGAGGCACTAGCAGGCATATGATTGACGTATTGTAAACTAAACAAACGGCTTCAACTCTCTCAAGAACACCTGTAAGGGGCATGTCAATTAAAGTTGTCACAAATATAGGCCTTCATTTAAAACTATTTACAAGAAAAATAATTATATACAGACAATAGGTGTTGAACATTTACTTACAAGCAGCACCAAATATGACAATCCAATTTGCACTTGTGAAGTGTAACAATAACTGGCAAAAATTGAAAGCCATAGCAGCGAGTGTTACTATCACACATAATGTCTCCTGAAGTCTCTTGCCTGCATAAAAAAAATCAGAGTCAGTATTCTACAATTATCTACTGGATCTTGAACATGCTATTTGGAAGGTTCTTAATTTGACTACTTACATACTCTTAAGTCACAAAAATAAAACAACACTTGGAATGTAAGCCCTTCTCTTCTCCACCTATTGAAGTCTGTATTATTTCATTCAAGCCATTACTTTTCAGCTACTGTAACAGAAAGTGATTAGCCTTGACCACCAGTATAGAGCACATTCATGCATTCTGACCAGGCTCTATACTGTTGGCTGACTGACATTTAAATTTTGATCTTCATGTTTCCACAATTGATAAAAAAATTTACTGTAAATCTTAAAAACATAAATAAAATTAGATTAACAATATAATTTTCAATCCTGTAAGACCATATCTTTTAACAAGAGTTGTCAGAAAGACAGCAGACTTGACTTTTCTCAGTACTTGATAGTGATTTTTGTTTGTTTGTTTCATTTTACGCCTTTTTCCAACAGTATTTCAGTCATATAGGCAGGTAGTTTCCTAACCATCGTTCCTGGAGAGTTACACCAGTACTAGAATACCTTCCTCCGCGCTAAACTACCAAAGCATCTCCCAGGGATCGAACCCACGCCAGAGAGGTAACTGGATTAGAAGTTATCGGCTCTAACCCCTCGATCACGGAGGCGGTTTACTTGATAGTGAAACAAAAGTCTAAATAATGAAGGAATAACAGAAAGAGGAAGATTTCATTCAAAGTACATGCAAAATTTATGAGTCTTTGATAAATACCCAAAAATTTCGCATGTTCACTGAAGTCCATATTAATTTTAATTCGGAATTCATGCCAGTTATGAGTTTTGGAAAGTGACTTTCAATGATAATAATTGGAAAGACGTGAATTAAATTCAAGTGTTATTCCATTAAGTTAGTAATTTTAAAGATAAATCATGTACACAAAGCAGGAATTTCACAAAGTTCACAAAGGGCCACAATTCAGTCAAAATCCATGTCAGAGTCATGGGTCTTCAATAGTGATCCCAAATACATTCTAAAGACATGATCAATGATGTATTAAGTTTCAAGCAAATAACTTTAAATTATAGTAGTTTTAAAGATTAATGTAGCACAAAACATCAAGTCCAGCTGAAAAGCAATTAACATATATCATCCATGCATGTATTAATTGTATAGATACAGAATTATCACTGGCTATCAATGAAATATATTTTATATAACACTGGTATCATTTAATTAGCAAAATAGACTTAATAAGATAATCGTCAAGTTTCCAACTTTTTAACTGACCAAATGTTTTGAGAAAATCTTTTGAAACTGATGGCAAACCAGTAGTATATAAAAGGTTCATTCTATTTTCTTTAGTCTTAAGTGATAACCTGTCCTCACTTGAGCCGTCAGGTTAGCTGACAGTAGGTAGAGCGTTGGACTGTGAATCTGGCGACCAGGGTTTGATTCCTAGACAGAGCAGGTCACATTCGTTTTAATTGATCATTAAATCTTTTCTATTCTTCCAAGTGATCATGATATCCTTTCAACTGTAATTCGCACTGTACCTCTGCTCTGGCATGTACAGAAGTTACAGTTCTTGCTAAATTGAAGGCAACTAGTATTGGTAAACTGCTTGACAGCCTGCCAAGGAAAGAACGCGGTGGCTGAACTGTGCTCTGGTAAATTCAATGTGACTTACTGCCGTGATCTGGGGTGAATACTACCAAAACCGCCACCACAAAGGTCAATTACTTCTGGTTGCAGCTGAGTTATGCAAATTTTTAATTGATAATATAAATTGAATTGTTTGTATGTTGTTTTTTTTAGTTGGGTGATATATCACCTACATAAACAGATAAAAACTTGTTGTCTATTAAAATTGTGCATAAACGTAAAACGATGTGTTAACATTCATTTATGTAACATTTCAATTTCATTAGAAACCACTGGTGACAACATAAACACATGAAACATGACAGTTTGCATGTCAGCATACCTGCAGTGTATTGACTTGCTAACTCCTTTGCTCCGGCATGTTGTGGGCCCCATCTTGGTTTAACTTCCTCTTGATTAAATTGGTTATTACCATTCAATTCATGTTCTGACATAGAATTGCGTAAAACCGTTTCACTTAGACCTAAATCGCTAGCCATGATTAAATAATTTTTCCAATAGGCGGGGTCATGAACCTTCACTCCGTTACAGTTTTCAGGTCATACTCTTACGCGACGAATATTTTCTGAATTTTCATTTGACAATTGAAGATAAAATTAAAATTCAAAATACACCGACACTTAAAAAGGAGTTCTCATTTTTCTTCAAAAAGTACAATGTAAACATGAATCCTCTATTTATGTTTTTCTATTTTACACAAACTTCACAAGAATCATATTGAAGTTGACCTTCACCTTCATATTCAAAGTGAAAGTAGGACTGATGGTAAACATAATTTAAGTTTGAAAAAAAGTTGTTTTCATAAATATGATTAGATGAAATTATTTTTGTTTAATTAGAATTAATTCTTTATGACTTCAATGCTGTTTGTCAAAGCAGAAATCCTAGCCAGTAAAATAATACTAGAGAACGATTCGTTCCACATACAATTCGCCCTAAAGAAAACGTGCTTATAGTTGATAATATTGACACCAACACACCATGTTTTATAACTTTTGTCAAAATATTCACTTCAATTTTAAAAAGTATTTAGTTGAGATAAGCGAGAAAAAACATCAGACGATTTTGAAAATAAAAAACAATTGATTAAAATTTAACCTACTAAGTCAAAATATATTGACGTGCCAAAGCTAGATTCTACGTTACGTACGTAGAGGTGAGATATTGCCCAGACACAAAATAGCACAATTTCTCATCGCGCAATACAATAAGTTGGACTAAGGCTAATGATAGGTTGGGTTGAAAGTCAATATATACAATTTATTTGTCAACAATAATAAAGCAGTTAGTTATAATTAATCTTTATTTGTATATTTTTATTTTGTGAGTTTATACAATCTGGAACACACCTTATGTAGATCTCCTGCCTGTGGTGCTTCTAGACTGCTGATCACACTCCATCATCAGTATGGTGATCGCCATCATTGATATTTCGGCCCTTATCCATGTATATCTGCTGGCGAGTGGGCCCATAATGTATTAATTACGGTGTGGAGGTTGATTGCTTCTAGCTCATCTCCTTTCATCTCGGCCACAGCCAGCTAGACACATGCTCGCCAGCTAGACTGAGCCTCTGGATTGTCCTATGTCTATCCCTTCCAGTGGTTCTGATCGCTGTCATCAGTCGGCACACAGATTGTGAACAGAACCCTCAGACTCCTACTTCAATAGGAAACAGCCATGTATGCCAGCCTTTCTGTCTGCATTGATTGAGTAGCTCTGAATACTTTGCTTTCTTCCTGTCGTAGGCCTCTTCACATCTTGTCTCTCAAGGTACTGTTAACTCAATCATGATGAGTTTCTTTCCTATTGCAGACCACAGTACAATATCCAGCCTTAAGTTGGTCTGGACAATACTTAGGAAAACAAGCTTCTTGCTAAGATCCACCTCCTTGTTCCAACCTGTTGTGCCATCTAGAATTGATGGTTGGTGTGGCGACTGTGTCTTGGCAGTTTCACCCGGTTTCACAAAGTTGATGTGACAAAGTTTGGGGTTACTTTGTTCCTTTTTCCTTTCACCTTCAAGCCAGTCAGCCAACTTCCTGAGGGCATTGTCATGACGCCAGTGGTACATTCCCTGTGTCAGTGCAGTTGAACATGAAGAAAGAACATGCTCCAGAGTGCCAGGACGATCACACAGGTCACATACAGAATCCGTTTCAAGTCCCCACTGATGGAGATTAGCTGGGGAAGGTAGGAGGTACAAAGGATAACCGTAATGGTTCATAATTCCATATGTCTTCCCATGTCAGCTTCCTGTCTATGGTGTTCCATGTAGTCCATGCTCCCTGTGCTGCCATCTATACTGCTCTAGCCTGTCTTGCACTCTCCTCTGCCCCCCTGACTTCTGCCTGAATCATGGCATGTCTCCTCCTGTTCTGCCTGGTTCCACAGGGGTGTCTTGGTAGCGCCAATTCCTTGTCTTCCCACAGCAGTCATTCCCTCAATGTCCTTGAGCTTAAGTGAGCTTTCAGCCTGGTTAACGGTCTCTGATGCTGACCAATTCTGGGTTACAATCCCTGTTTCCCGGACTTTTTCATTTGGGGAATCTCTTAGGGTGAACACCAATCTTGTCTTCGTTGTCTTGAATTCCTCTACCATTTAGGGAAATGAGAGTTGAAGCAGATTGCTTTTTCCATACAGCCCTACACTGGAGAAACAGGGTGGTATTCCTAACCACTTGCTGAGTTGTCTGCTTGTAATCCTCTCTAAGGCTTCAATTTTTATGCTCCCCCGAAAAATTTCGGGGGAGCATATAGTGGGCGCCTTGTCCGTCTGTCCGTCCTTCCGTCCGTTGTCTTGTCCGGAGCATAACTTAAAAACCCTTGGAGATAATTTGTTGAAACTTCATACAGTGGTAGAGGGCATTGAGGGGGAGTGCAGTGTCAAAGAACCATAACTCTATTTTGCCTGGTTTTTGAATTATCTCCCCTTATAGAAAAATCTTGTCCGGGGCATAACTCAAAAAACTATAAGAGATATCAACATGAAACTTTGTAGGTGAATAGATCTCTCAATGGGTAGATGTGCAGTGCATAAGAACAATAACTCTTTTTGTCCTAATTTTGGAGTTATTGCCCTTTGTTTATTTTAACACTTTGAACATTGTCCGGAACATAACTCTAAAACTATAAGAGATATCAAGATGAAACATTGTAGGTAGATAGATCTCATTGAGTAGAGGTGCAGTGCAAAAGAACCATACATCTGTTAAGCCTCATTTTTGAATTATCTCCCCTTTTAGAAAAATCTTGTCCAGGACATAGCTGTAAAACTATAAGAGATATCAACATGAAACTTTGTAGGTAGATATATCTCAATGGGTAGATGTGCAGTGAACAAGAATTATAACTCTGCCTTGCCTAATTCTGGAGTTATTGCCCTTTGTTTATTTTTACTTTTTGAAATTGTCTGGGACATAACTCAGAAATCATAAGAGATATCATCAAGAAACTTTGTAGGTTGATAGATCACATTGATTAGAAGTGCAGTGCAAAGAACAGTAACTCTGCCTTGCCTAATTTTGGAATTATTGCACTTTGAACTTTTTCCAGGGACATAACTCTGAAACTACAAGAGGTGTACTTTCTGTGTCCAAAACCTATTCGGGAAGCATCACCCGGCTCAAACCGGGCTCTTGTTACACTTTGAATTTTACCCGGGACATAACTCTGATATCATCAGGAAACTTTATAGATAGATAGATTTCATTGAATAGAAGTGCAGTGCAAAAAAAACATAACTTCGCTTTGCCTAATTTTGGAGTTTTTGCCCTTTGTTCATTTTTTTTATACTTTCCTGTGTCCAGAACCTTCTCGGGGGAGCATCACCCGGTTCAACCGATTGTTGAGCTTGGTATCTCATACAGCATCATAGGTCAAATTAACCTTGGAAGTAAGGCATGGTGGTATAACCAGGCTTTGAACTTCCCAGGAAGATTGCTGCGGTCTATTTTCTTAAGACGGTCTTCTACCTGGTTTTCTAGCTTCTTCACATTGTCACCATCTTGCAGGCTTGTACAGAACCACTTCCCTAGGCACTTGATTGGACTCTAAGTGATTGATGGGATATCCTCATTCTGTACTCAGAGAATGAAACTATCTGTAGTTTAGTCATTCTTGATAATCAAAGATCTGGACTTAACAGCCTTGAATTTCATTCTAGCCCATGAAGCAACATCTGTCAGGACTGCTAACATCCATCTCACCTGTATGTGGGTGGTTGTGGTGAGAATGAGGTCATCCATGAAACCTTGGCTGGATGGCAAGTAAATCCCTGAATCTGTCTTAGGTCCACAAGTCTCTCTAATACAGGGTTGATTCATTAATTCCCATGATAAAGAGTACCACTTAAACTGTACATCCGGTTACCATACCTTCTCCAAGTTTTGTTCCTTTGTCAGCAGGTCACCAACAGAAAACCAAAGTTTGATGCCATCCAAGTAGCTAGTGATGATTTTCTGCACATGATCTGGGACGTGGTAGTGTTGGAGGGCTGTGTAGATCAGCTGGTGTAGGATGGAACCATATGCGTTAGCTAAATCAAGCCAAACTACTGTGAGGTTCTTCTTCCCTGCCTTTGCCTCTCTTATGAGCTGTGAAATGGTGCTTGTGTGCTCTACACAACCTGAGAACCTAGGCACTCCTCCCTTCTGGACATAAGTGTTGATGTATTTGTTGGATGTGAGGTAAGATATATTACTCTTCTTGCAAGGATAGCAAAGAAAATCTTCCCTTCAACATTGAGTAATGAGATGGTCCGGAACTGGCTGATGTTCTTGGAGTTTTTTTCCTTGGGAGTAAAAATTCCCTCTGCTTCCTTCCAGGCATCTGGTATTTCACCTTTCCTCCAAACCACCTTGAGAAGCCTCCATAACCTTTTCAGTAGAAGTCGGCACATCTTATACACTTTGTATGGGATGGCGGAACTAAATCTTGCTTTCTTAATGACCTCCTTTACTCCGTCCAGTATTGGCTCTGTAGTTAAAAGTTCAATCTCTGGAAGTGCTGTTGGGTCTTTGCCTTCACTGTCACCTAATGCATTGTTTCTACTAGCGTCGAAATGGGTCTTGTGAAGGTATGTTTTAACCTCTTCCAGCAGCGCTTCAAGAACATCCGATTGCTCTTTGCCAAGTAGAGTTCTTGCAAACTTGTAGGGATTGGCTGTAAACGCCATTCTCTTCTTGGCTCGCTGTCAGGCCTTCCTCCTTGTATTTTCGGCTTTCCCCAGAGAATTCAGCTCTACTTGTGCTGTGTCTCTCAGCTGAGATAAACCGAGTCACTCTAACGATGAGCTCTTCTGTTATCTTTGCTTCAGCTGACAGAGTTCCCGTCTCAGGTTCTCAATGCGTTATTGCCGTCTGTTAGGTTTTGGAGCCTCCTTTTGCTTCCTCCACTCCAAACCTTTCTTTTGCTACAGATTAGACTGAGGTAGAGAGGGTGGGTAGCTTCTGGTCCACTGCTCCTTGCATGGATATCTCAAGGATAATATCCAGGTCATAGTCTAGGAGTTTCCATAGTGTCTTGTCTGATGCCTTGGGCCACATAATCCTTTGTTTCCTTTGATTAGTGGCAGGGTCTAGACGGGGTCTATCCAGAACAGCTAACTGCTCTGCTTCTTGGCTGCAGTGTCCTTGAAGCTTAAGTAGTTGTAGGAGAGGGTCTTCTTCTTCCACCTCTCAGGGTCATGAGAGGCATCGTGTGTTGTCTCAAAAACGGAGAGTTCCTCAACACTGTGGATTGAGTCCGAATTAGTGTACTCCTGCATCTCACTAGTCAAACCGACTGAACGCTGTTCTCGAGGCCTCACTCATTGACACTCACTCCGTCTTGCCTTGGTGGATTCGTAGACCTAGTTGGTTCTTACAAACCTTTCCGCATTTGCAAGAGACTGTTGTTTCAGGTGCTGTTTTCATAGTCGATTGTGCGGGCCGCGTCGATTCCATGAAATCCATCCAATCCATTCTCAGTTGTCATCAGTCTAGTCGTTCCTAGAAGTCACTGAAGGTCCAGTTGTTAGATGAGTTATATACAATCTTGAACGCACCTAATGCACATCTTGAAGGTCTCCTGTCTATGGTGCATCTAGATTGCTGATCAACCTCCATCATCAGCATGGTGCTCGTCGTCATTGATATTTCGGCCCTTGTATGTGTATGTTATCTTAAAAAAAGATTAAGAAATTAAACAAACAGACGTATATAGGGTCATTTGTCATTGAAATATTTACTTTAGACAAAATACATGTAAGAGATGAAGCCTGATGGAAAGTGTCTTAGTTACTGGATTTGGAGGGTGTCTGGGTTGAAGTATCTTCGAAATTTGAGGGATGTCAGGGAGTTGAAATGTCTTGCTCCCACTGTCATAGCTTTTGGTAAAGATCTGGAAACAAAATGACCCCTTGAAGCATTAATAACAACAAAATTACATGAAAATTGCAGACTTGGTTTGATTGAGTCTGTACATGAGGGATAATGAATAAGTGCAACATCCCCAGGCCCTAATAAGCCTAATTACCTGGGAGTGAAATATCTTGTTCCAATATAACCATAGGCAATCCTAAGAATTTAATAAGTGAAATAAAGAAGGTACATTGTATCATTAATGAAGGGAAAGGTTTTAACACCACTTTAATGTTTAACTTTAGGTCTCCCTAATTTTACACATGCATTTACATTTGTATAGATAAACTTTATAAAGATACATGTATTAAGCATCCAGGGTTTTTCTCTCTATATTGGGAAGAGGCCTTAAGCCTCTTGATTTAGGGAAGAGTTGCAAATATGGGAAAATTAAAACCTTGTTAAAATTAGGATTTTTTGGAAATCTGCATGATTTTAAAGAAAACTCAATCAATTGGGAAGAGATCTCATTTAGTTTTATTGCAAAATATATCATAATTATGTTCCCCACCCAAGAAGATGAGACATATATGTTGGTTGGTCAGTCTGTCTCACATTGTTTTCAATCAATAACTTGAGAACGCATGAGCCCATTATCCTAAAATTAGTAAGGTCTTATAAAAGGTGTATACATGTAGGGCTTTGGAAGTAGATGACCCTATTGAGTTTTAGGTCAAAGGTCAAGGTTACATTGCACTTGTATGCCAACTGGTTTCCGACCAATAACTCCACAATCCATGGGCCCTTGGCCCACAAACTTTATAGGTGCATGGGTCTCAGGCGGGTAGATGAACCCTATTGATTTTGGAGTCAAAGATCAAGGTCACATTGACATTATGTGTCGAAAAGGTTCTTAACCAATACTTTGACAACCCATTGGTGTTGGGCTTTCAAAGTTCATTGGTCATGGGTAGTAGATGACCTCTTGATTTTGGGGCTGAGATTCAAAGGTCATGGTCACATAAACCTTGAACACCAAAACAGTTCCAAGCAACATTGCATGCAACTTTGGACATGCTGATGAGGAGGACATGCATATTTTACAAACATCTTTTGTTTATATATTTTCTGTGAGACATTAAAATATTTACTGCATATTATTTATTTACCAGGGTACATTTGCATAGAAAATTTGTCAATTTGTTCAACTGGCAAGAAGTAAAATGGCAAGATGGTTTTGTTAAAATTTGGAATCATCTGTACACAGAGTGTTTTTACAAAGTCTGCTGCAACTGTAACTTTAAATTGTTTACGAAGATACACATCACAACCAGTCAAACCAAAGAAATTAAAAGCAGAAGGCTTTACAGTAAGTATGGCAGTATTTTATATAACGATTTTCACTGTTTTCATCAATTTAAAGATGAGTAATTATTATGTTTATAAAAAGAATAAGATGACATTTATTCAAAATAAATAGCCTATGTATTATGAATAAGATGCTTTTAAATTGTTTTTAGCTCTATTTTTTAGCTCAGCAGAACCAAAGGTTCAGGCTGAGCTGATTAGTATCAAAGGGGGATGCTCCGGCTTCCATCGTCATGCATCAACAATCGGCTTCTTCTCTGAAACTGCTAGGCAGATTCACTTCAAATTTGGTCTGTAGCATTCTTGTGACAGTCACACTAAAATTTGCTCATGTCATTTCAATTGGCCCATTTTAGGGGTCAACAGAGCTAAAAATAGAAAAACCTTTAAACACCTTCTACTACAGAACTAATTGATGGATGATCTCACCAAACTTTGTAGCATTTTTGGGTAGTCTTTTTTGCTCATATTAATTTGATTGGCCCCTTTTAGGGGTCTTTAGAGCTAAAAATAAAAAAAACCTTTAGACATCTTCTTCTAAAGAAACTAATTGATGGGTGATCACCAAACTTTGTCTGTAGCCTTCTTAGGTAGTCTTTTATCAATTTTGCTCATATTAATTTGATTGGCTCAGTTTTAGCTAAAGCTAAAAATGCCTTAGGTCATGGCATTTCTTCAAATTATTGTTTAAAGATATTCTACGCTCAAATTTGATATAAGAAAATATTGACAATAGATAATTTCCAACACTGAAAAGCAGTTGTTTCTTGTGAGGGACTCAAGGCCATCATGGCCCGCTTGTTTGGAATGTGGTTGTGGGGTATATGGCATTATGTCTAGTGTTCTTCTACAGAGATATAATATTACACATATATAATTCCTACTTTTCCAGGCACGTAGTTGAGAGATTTAGGCTTTTTTTTTTGTCCTCTTTTTATCTGTTACGAAATAATGATGATAATATTTAATTAATTTAAAATTTTCTATTTCAAAACAGAAAGATTTTTTCGTGGATTTTAGAAGAGTTCAGGTAATCGCCGGGAGAGGTGGTCATGGCTGCATCTCGTTCAACAGCGAGGCAGGAAATGAGTTTGCTGGACCGGATGGAGGAAATGGCGGGAATGGCGGACATGTTATCATTTCATGTAACGTTTCAAAGTTTAAATTCTCATTTATATATATTTGGCAGTAAAGTTTTAAAGAGAATGCAGGGAATTGAGCGTTTTATAATGCCAAAATAATAAACTATATTTTTTCAGTTGATACTGGTTAAAGTCACTAGGCAATAGGGGTGCATATATGTATTTTTATATAAATCAACAGTTTTTGTATCAGAAAAAAAAAAGAAAAAAAATCTTTGAAAGACATATTCTTGCATGCAACCATTTCATAGATACATAATGCTGTTTGTTATTTATATTAATTACTATATTAAATTAGAATGGAATTGATAATTTATCTTGAAGGTACTGGGAAAAGAAACTCACTGGTACATTTGAAGTCACCAATGAAAGCAGAGTCTGGTATAAATGGGAGAAACTCAGACAGACATGGAAAAAATGCTGAACATTTTTATAGTGAGGTAAAAAACAACAACAGATAATTGTAGGCTTGTTTATTTGTGAAATGATTACAGATTATCTAAAACAGCTCTGTTACTGGAAAAGTCCAAATATTTTTTTATAATGCATGACTGTATTATTCTGTGTGTAGCTCAAATGTGACAAAAATGGTATAATGTAGCTTTTCTACACCATTTACATTATCATTGATAGAGGCCTAATAAAAGAAAATTTCTTACACCTTTTTAGCAAAGAAATCTTGCAATGTATATGAAGGCATTTACTATTTGTAAATGGCAACATCTTTTCTTTTCATCTCTTGTACTGGTAAATTGATCATAGGACATTGTTTTATTGACTGCACAATGTTTTATGATTGATTTAAATCCTGTTGAAAGCAGATGTTTTATTTTGAAAAAAAAAGAATTACAAAAATGTGTTAGGAAAATGTTTATTTGATCATTACTAGGTACCACTTGGAACAATAATCCGAGATGAGGAAGGGAGGGAACTCTGTAGTTTAGAATCAGAGAGTGAGTATTACATCATAGCACGAGGTGGTGCCGGGGGTAAAGGGAACAAATGTTTTGCTACGAGTACAGACACAACTCCAAGATATGCAGAGGAGGGGGCACAAGGGGAAGATAGAGTTGTCTACCTTGAACTGAAAATAATGGCTCATGCTGGTTTGGTATGTTATCATTATTTGAAATTCTAAGAAATAGTATGAGATTGATAAAAAGACTAAGCTTAGTTGGATACTCTGGAGGTGTTGCTTACTCTCTATGTGTCTAGGACTGCAGATAGAGGGACAATTGTCAAGACTTTTCCCTTAATCTGTTTGGAATTGGATAGCCACTGCAAGGGTTACTATTCTTTTTTAAGCTGAAGGTGATGATGATGATGGTGATGATGACGATGACGATGGAGTTACAGTTTAGATGCTGACTAGATTAAGTCACTTGCTCCTGAAATCGATTGTTTCTCTACAACAATTTGTGAATTATTGTCTGACAAAATAATGTATACAAGATAGAAATAATGAAAATGTAGTATATGTATTATATAAAATATGTCATATGCAAGCAGAATAGTCATGTGATATGATCTTATTTGGTTTTTGATCTGTTTTTAGATTGGATTTCCAAATGCAGGAAAATCAACCTTATTGAGGGCCATGTCCAGAGCCAGGCCTAAAGTGGCCCCTTATCCCTTCACAACCCTTCAACCTCATGTTGGTATGGTAGAATATGATGATTTTGTACAAGTATCAGGTTAGTTGTACTTTTCTATCATGGTCCCTGCACATAAAACCTAGATTTTCTACATCTATAACAAACTAGTGGTATACAAAACTTTCCATGTACAGTTAACACTATCATGCTATATATATAAGATTTTGCAACTCAAATATATAGGTAAATTCTATTAAAAGAGCATTTGAAGTAATTGCTGTAATAATAGGAAGCTTTTAAGGCAAATAAATCTACAATTATGTGATTTTTTTTCTGATGATACATGTAATAAGTTTTTTAATGCTAGATACTTTGTGTTTATTGCAGTTGCTGATATTCCAGGACTTATTCCCGATGCCCACAAAAACCGGGGTTTAGGTTTTCAGTTCCTGCGCCATATTGAGAGATGTATGTGCTTATTTTATGTTATAGATTTGTCGGTGGAAAATCCCTGGGAACAGCTAGATCACCTTAAGCATGAGCTAGAACAATATAAACCTGGCTTGTCAGAACGGCCCCATGCTGTCATTGGAAACAAGATGGATCTTAAAGTCGCTCAGAGTAATTATATTGAGTTGCAAAAACGGACTAACCTACCATTGTTCCCTGTTTCTGCAGAGAAAAAACTTAATATCAAACCTGTATTAATTCATTTAAGACAACTCTATGATAAACACAATCCTTCTAATGATCATGGCTGAAAAATGTTTCATTATTTGGAGAGTGTTTCTGTTAATTATTAATGACTGAGAATAGTTGAGAGGCATATATTATGACCAGCTCTTGTTCAAGTAATGGTGAAAGTAAATATCCTTACAAACTTAAAAAGTACTCGTGTGCACATGTTCTTCATGTGCATGTAATTAAAATATGCTGTACATGTATATCTGGCCCAGTTGTAAAGCCGTAAATTCTTGTGCAAAAATCGGTAAATTCTTTTGCAAATATCAGTAAATTCTTTTGCAAATATCAGTAAATTCTTTTGCAAAAATCGGTAAATTCTTTTGCAAAAATCGTGGCTATCTACCAAAAATGATAACACATACTTGAGGAATTTAATTTTATTTCAAATTTTATGAATAGATTTTTTTTTTAAATTTCGTGATTTATTAACAAAAACTGAATAAGATATGTACATAGATCAAACAATAAGTTACAAAAACAACAGCTGAAAGAAAACAAAATCTGTCAATGAAAGCATTTTATTCAAAATAGTAAGTTAAATTCATTTTATATACATGCCTATTAAATGAAATATAGATACCGGGTATATACATGTTTATCGGTGATGTAAAATCATAACATACATATCTCACTGTATATCTTTCCATTTTTAATAAAAAATAGATAGTAAAAAGAAAAAAAAATTGTTCTGTTTTTTTGTGAATATTAACTACTGTAACTATATTCCAAAGTGAAATGTTTATATTTTCATCTGCTTAATGCATATGTATTGATTCACAAAATTTCCAAATATTTAGCAAACGATTTTCCATGTTCACCAAAAGTCACCATCATGTGATGATATCTTTTTCTAATGCACCAGTCTAGAGTCGGGTCAGCCTGTAGAACAACAATACAGTCTGACTAGACTCTATACTTTTGGTTCCCTAACTTTCATAAACATTACATATAAAAAGAGGATATTTGTTTTTGTTTTGCATGTAAGATTGAAATATATTTCACTGAGTGAACTCCAGATGCAATATTTTCAGGAGTGTCGTAGGCCTGTAGCCACAAGTGAAAATAGAATAGCTGGTTTATCACAAATGAAATATATTTAAATCTTATATGTAAAACAAATAAAAAATTCTTTTTATTTCATGCTTTTTAAGTGATTTTAAGTATTTTATACTAATTTTGCGGCATAACGTCGCACATTTTTCTGTATGACATCATGACATCACATCATCAATTTTGGAATATAGTTCTATTAAATTTCTCTAATTTTGTTACATTTTTAACATGATGTATGATGGCATCGACTTCCTTTTTCTAAAGAAGCAAATTTTACATATGACTGCTTTTATTTTTTTATTTTTTGCCTGTTATTCCAATTAGTTATTGGCATCGACTTCCTTTTCCTAAAGAATCAAATTTTACATATGACTGCATTTATTTTTTGCCTGTTATTCCTATTAGTGATGACATTCTTTTCATTCAGATATAGTCCGGCTTACAGTGAAAATTATATTTTATAATTTTCATTAGTGGTTTATCAGAATATAATCATCTGATATATTACAGTAAAACACTGGAAAGCATGAAATAAAATCATTTGTTAAGTTTATATACTAAGTTGATAAAAAATTATCTCAATTTAAACTATATACATATATTTTACCACATATATACAATGTACATGTATTACCACAGATTACTGTTCTTCAATATATACATATTCAGCCATAGATTAGTTCAATACATGTTACGCTATATACATATATACTATATACATCAATAATATACCTTTTAATATTCTGCCTAAAATACACCCAAGTTGAGTAGATCTTACACTAGGGCTGTCATTGAAAATCATGATATCGAAATATTATCGATAATGAACAATCTATACAATATTGATTCACAATTTAGAATATCAATACAATTTAAAACCCATTTCTTGTAAAAATATCACTCTACTTTATGTAAAGGGAAGAAGTAACCTTTCCCCCATTTTTCTTTGCTAGTTTGAAGTCTGGATTTAATTTTCAGGTCTTTAAGATATGATAATAAGAAAACTTACTTTCTTTTGGTATTCTGTGCTTGTGATGTATGAAACAAGCTTGCTTACACCATGATATCAGTTTATTACACATATTCAAATGTACAAGCTACTGAATTTGATATATTGATATATCATCGATATTCAGCTTTTTTTACAATGATATTTCCATAATTGATACAAAATTTTACATCAATGACAGCCCTAGCTAATACAACTCAATGGAAAGAAAAACCGGTATCATGTTAAGAGACAAATATGGTACCATATATGGGAGTGCTGGACTTTTTTTATCAGATGGTTCCCATCTTAGCTGTGCATTATGTAGTATTTGGAAAAGGGAACCTATACTACCGATGCCCTGGCCACATTTACAAAAATGATGTATTCATCAATCTTTCATTCATTTCTTGACAGCTGTATATTTGTTTGTGTAATAACTAATAGAAATTTAATAAATTCAATCTCTTTTTGTCTTAGAATCATGGGTAAATATAATCAAAGTAAACTAATTTTGTAGTAGCTATTTGAGGTCATTTATTTCAGTACTCGAAGCTTGTAAAAATTGATGTCTCGCTCGACCTTCAGTCTTGCAAGATATTAATGTTCCATCACTGCTCCTAGCAAAATACAATGTCTCAGAAAGCTACTACTACATATGCAGAGATTACATTGCTATATAAATGTAAAGCCAAATATTACTTTAATACATACAAATGACTTTAAAATATACATGACTGTATAAGTACAGTTTACTTCAGACAGTACTGCTGGTTAAACGAAAAGAGATCAAGAATTAGGTTAAACAATATTCTATATCAAAGTAATTAACATGGGAATTTAAATAAATTATTATCATCATAAAACAAGTATATACAATATATATAAGTAACTCTTACCTTAACAACTATTTACATATAAATCCAACAATTTATCAACACTGTTTAATCAGTCAGTAACAAGTATGAAATAATGCTTAGTTTTTGCCCTGTATGACAAGTGAATTCTTATGGAATCCAAAGTTATTCCCCTTTGGTAACAAATTGTAATTATTATACATAGTTATTGCCCTTGCATAATGTTAATTATCCAGATCAGTTATTGCCCTTATGCTGTCTCCTTAGATTTGTTCACTGACCATTGAGCATATGTCCATAACACGATCCAATGGATTCGACTTGGACAAAGAGATAGCTGGAGACATTGGGCTTGTACATGCAATCTGAAACAAACAATGTAACAGTGAGAGAATATTTTAAAATTGAATGTAAATAACTATTTCAAAGCCCAAACTGAATTTGTAAACCAAATACGTGTTAAAATTATTACATTTCATTGTGACAATCTTTTACTCATTATACTTTATATCATTTATATGATCATGCTCTGAAAAATAGTGCACATACATGAAGAATCTATCAATACATTTATGATGAAGTGAAACAAAAAATACAATCCTTGTCAGAAGATTCATTATGACAGAAGAATATATGACTTCTTATCTTTGTGAAGTTTTTTTTTTTTTTTTTTTTGGTTGGGTTTAACATTGCACTAACACAGTATAGGTCATATGGTAACATTCTGGCATTACTGGTGGAGGAAGAACTCAGTTGCCCCTCCATGCATTATTTCAGGCATGAATGGGCACCTGAGTAAAACCACAAATGTTCCGTAATTAAGCTGGATAGCTTCCTCACATGAAATAATTCAAAGTCCCTGGCAAAATTCTAACCCACACTGGTAAGGGGCATGTGGTTTGAAGTCAAATACTTTTGCCACTTTGCCAAGGACGCCCCATCTTTTTGAATAGATTCAACAAAAGAAAGATAGATAGTTACCCTGGTGAGCAGGTTATTGGCTTCTGTATGAACAATAGTAGCTGACACTAGTAAATTATTTATAGACTCTCTCTCCATAGTGAAATGTTGGCCAAAACCCACGACTACATCAGTGGAAGGTTTGGGTCCTCGTTGATGAATATATCTCTCAAGAGCTTGTCTGAAGTAACCATGGAGATCAAATACCAGCGTCTCTTCATCTCGTTGAAGTTTTATAATCTCACAGCCTTGGTTTATTGTAGGCTTGGAAATGTACATTCTACATCTGTGAACAAAATAATAGAAAATCTGTTAACTCTAACCCTGTTATATGCCATGTAAGTGATTTAATTACAGATATTCTTTATATTTGGAATTGTCTAGTGTTAGATTAAATTGTTTCCATAAGTATAATGCTTGAATTTTCAAGACAACAGTACGGAGTTGTAGTAAACAAGGTCATAATCTTATATCCATTTTCTTAACATGTTTTTTAACTAAGGCCTTGATGCAACATTTTTAAAATTTTATTTTGGTTGGGTTTTATGTCGCACCGACCTAGTAGAGGTCATATGTTGACTTTCCAGTTGTACTGGTGGAGGAAGACCTCAGGTGCCCGTCCTCACATTATTTCAGGTACAAACATGCATCTAGTCTTACACATTAAAATAATTTTTTCACCAAGACTTCAGAGTTTGCTTTATCAAAGTTCTTACTGTATTTTATTCTTTCAGTGAAAATTAACCTGACCTGCATTTTCTTGTTGCGTAAATGTTTCCCTCTCTCACTTGTATGACAATACCTCGATCTGTGGCGTTTAATAAGTCAGTTGTAAGGCGTTGTTGTTGACTGTTGGATATAGTACATTGAGGTAGTGGAATCTGTAATGCAGCTCGGGGACCAAATATCTGAAATATTTACAATAATTATTATACCAATTTTAAAATAATTCATTAGATGCCAAATAAAAATATAAGTTAATAATTATCATTAATAATCAAATGCTTTTAAAACTGCATGCTACCAGATGAGCCAAAATATTTCAAGGAATTCTAACATGAGAAAAATGTACGTAAGTTATAAGATTCAAGTAATAGTTTACATGTTATTTGTGATTATTGACTGATTTTGAAGTATTTTTCACCATACTTCTGCAGTGTTACTTATTACAATAAGGGCAATTTTTGCATTTCAAAATATTTATGAAAATTAGCATGAATCTAAACATCAACTTTTGATAGGCACTCCAAAAAGTCAGCATTCTTATTTTTTACTCAGATAATACTATTTTCAGTATGTATGAAAAGTTTCCTGTATGTTGTTTAGTTAAGGAGACTGTCTCTTGCAAAGTTTTAACTGTATTATTAAATGCTTTTTATAATTATGTAAATATTGTTTGTACAAGATACGATTGTTTTAATATACATCACATAGACAAACCTGTGACCTATTCATATTGTTTTATAAATTTATATATCTCACAATAACATACCTGTTTATATTCTTATATCATATATCTCACAATAACATCCCTGTTTATATTCTTATATCATATATCTCACAATAACATCCCTGTTTATATTCTTATATCATATATCTCACAATAACATCCCTGTTTATATTCTTATATCATATATCTCACAATAACTTACCTGTTCATACTCTTCAGGGTTTGTAATAACAACTTGTTTGTCATGATATATATGACACCCACTAGTGGAGGTACACAGATTCTCAAACACTGTTGTCATTAAATACTTTACTGTCACATACAGTTTACAGTCTGAAATCCAACAACATACATGATGTTACTATATATATTTTATCACACCTAAGCACTTTTAAAAGTACTCCAAGGTGAGCTTTTTGTGAAAGAATGATGTGATGTACGGAGTCTGTCGTGCAGAGTCTGTTGTTATCTACAATTTCTTAGAGCTTAGATATTTATCATCCAGCACTGCCTTAGTGGACCTTTACAAAAGAAGACTGAATAACCAAAGCCAATTTACCAGTGTAAAATGTATTACATTTCATTTAGAATATGGCATTCCTGTTGAACAAAAATTATTCAAACGCACAGTAAAGAAAGAACTTGTATTTAAGGACATTTCAAACTTGTTTGCTTATTTTTGCTTTATACTTTTTAAGCACTTCTAAAACTAACTTACTTGAAAAGTATTTACAGTTAATTATTAACTTACCGTTTGGGTCTAATGTCCAAGTATTTTGAGGCATAATAAGGGCTTGGCTTGGATAGGACTTTTTTGCCTTATATGAGATTTGTTCATCTGAAATAAAAGGATTTATTGAATCAGAACAATATCTTTACTGAACATATTGAAACATCATTGCAATATGAGCCTCACCATGACAAAATCAACATAGTGCGTTTGCGACCATTATGGATCCAGACCAGCCTGCGCATCCGCGCAGTCTGATCAGGATCCATGCTGTTCGCTTACAAACCCTATTACAAGTACAGAAACTGATAGCGAACAGCATGGATCCTGATCAAACTGGGCGGATGCCCAGGCTTGTCTGGATCTATGCTGGTCGCAAACCCACTATTTTGGTTTTGTCATGACACGGCTCAATTATCATGCTGACATGATCATAAAACAGATAAAGCAGGAATGATGAACAATTGAAGCTAAGATGATAAGATAGTGAAAATTTGTGGAGAACAATATATGTCTATAAAGTGTACATTAATTGAAGAAAATATACATGTATGTCAACACAGTGTACATTAATTGAAGACAAACTAGTTTGGAAATAAGAGAATTTAATGATGTATCATATTTGATTTGAAAATAGACAAAGATGGAACTTAACACTGGTGGTGGTTGTTTTTGTAGTCATGGCAGTATGACACTTTGAATTAATCAAAACGCAAATCAGCCACTGCATTGTTCCTGGGCAGGCTGTCAAGCATGCAGTTTACCAGTACTAAATGTCTTCACTTTTGTAAGTATTGCTACTGTACATGCCAAAGCAGAGGTACAGTGCAAATGACCACTCTTAACTTTGCTTTAAAGGGTATAAAACTATAAAATAAACTATAAAAGTTTCATAATTGGATTTTTTTGTTCATATCGTTATCTAACTTGAAAGAGTTTTATTAAAAAGTGTCTCTGTTACTTAAGATACATACATCACAAAAGAAAACTGTTCCCTAACAAAATATTTAATTGTTATTTTAGTAGATTAAGCGGTGATTGCATTCATGCACCATACGCTGACCATCTGCTTTATCAGAGATTTACAAAACAATATAGTTTAAATTTATGTACTTTGGTATGATGTTTATCAAGATACAACATATATCCTTCTAATTAAAGATAACAAAATAATTGAGCCGCGCCATGACAAAATCAACATAACACGTTTGCGACCAGCATGGATCCAGACCAGCCTGCGCATCCGCGCAGTCTGTTCAGGATCCATGCTGTTCGCTATCAGTTTCTCTACTTGTTATAGGGTTTGTAAGTGAACAGCATAGATCCTGCTGGTCGCAAAACTCACTATGTTGGTTTTGTCATGGCGTGGCTCATAGGTGTTTGGACTTTACACCTATAAGCCGCGCCATGACAATATAGGTTTATACCAAAGGGGGTTGTAACGGTGCCTGGACTCTACATATATATTGGGATATTTCTGACCAAAACTAGGTTCAGACCAAAAAAACAGGTGACAATCCTTATATATAGTCATCCTTATATATAGACTATATATAAGGATTGTCACCTGTTTTTTTGGTCTGAACCTAGTTCTGGTCACAAATATCCCAATATAGAGTCCAGGCACCGTTACAAGGCCCTTTGGTTTATACAGTATAGAAGTTGTTGTTGTAATGGAGATCTATACAGTATAGAAGTTGTTGTTGTTATGGAGATCTATACAGTATAGAAGTTGTTGTTGTAATGGAGATCTCACCTGTTTCAGGAACCTCCATTGTCTCCATCGGTTCTGCAGCATCATAAACTTCTGTTTGTAGATCTCTCATCTCACTACTGTTAATCTTAATCAGATCTCCAGACTCTATGACAAGGTCAGAGGGGAATCTCTCTGCTATAAATAGAAATACAACACCTTGACGATGAGCCCTTGTTTGCCTGATGATAGTCCAACTAATTAGACTTGTCAAAGAGACATCAGATAATTTTGAACAGGCGATGTCTTTTTCCAAAAAGACGGTTTGACAGTAAGAAAAAAAAAAGGTTTGTAAAATGGGTCAAACCGTTCACGCGGAATAAATTATGCTACCCTTATGAATGTCATTATTATATAACAATTAAGAAACTTTTAAATCCCCACTTAGGTTGAAATAGAATTTATTTATTTATTTGTGTTGAAAGCCATGAAGAAAGCCATGAACTAAGTTCACAGTGAAGATGAATATGTTAAACTTAAATAGTTGTTATTATATAATATGTAGTTCAGACTTACACATCATCTGGTCTGACTGGTTCGAAATCACTGTCGTTGGTATGTGTGATCCCTAGTAAATAAAAGTGTTTGAAAATGTATAAGTAATATTTTGAAAATGTGAAAGTAAAACATGCATGATGACACGACATACTAATTAAATAAAATTATCTAAGTCATCAAACTACATATAATTATATCGAATTCAATCAACACTCGGATTTAATTTAATTACATGTACTTTTGATCTACTGTACTGGTGTACAATTAAAAGGTATGATTTAATTACAACACAATGTTGACAGTTACCAGTTGACATTAAATTAATATATACATTTGTACTAAAACAGTAGGGTATTACCACAGGCGTTAGGCACATTTGTCTTTCCAATGATTATCATTAAATACTGTATATCATCAAGACCAGCACCCGTTTAATTAGCCCAAGAAATTGTGCGCTTTATGGCTTTTTATTATTTAGACATGGTCGCCCTTCGCGACAGACATGTAAAGACAGACATCTATGTAATATCAGATTATAAAATCGGTCGTCTTGCAGTCGAAATATTGAGTATACCGTTTAAAATACATGTCGTATATTATATATCATTTATAGTGAACAGGTGCTGAATAATTATTTTATTCTTGATGATCAAGGGGAGCTGTTGTTTTTTATGATAATTTGACCATTATTGACAAGACAAATGTGTCGAACGCCTGTGTGTATTACCAGATACATGTACCGTAGATTGTGATACATGTAAAATTGCATATACCGTAAATTATGATACCTGTACAATTGCATGTACGGTAGATTGTGATACATGTAAAATTGCACATACCGTAGATTATGATACCTGTAAAATTGCATGTCCCGTAGATTGTGATACATGTAAAATTGAATATACCGTAGATTATGATACCTGTAAAATTGCATGTCCCGTAGATTGTGATACATGTAAAATTGCATTTACCGTAAATTATGATACCTGTAAAATTGCATGTACCGTAGATTGTGATACATGCAAAATTGCATCTACAGTAGATTGAGAGTCGGTTATATTCGAAAAACTTACACCGTAATATTCTATTTCGCTTGCGGGAGAATCTGTGTCCGACTGACGGGGAGAAAATCGTGCCCCTGAGTTATCTCCTGAAATATAATTTCACTGTTAAGTAAGTTATGTTAAAGTTGTTAATATATTCATTTATTAAAATGTTAGACAATGTATTACTATAGTCACATTCATTTTGTAAAATTAATTTAAAAGGTGCATTACGAGTTTTTGCAAAAGTAACTAATCGCCTATAAAAATTATTTCTTTATGTGCAGTTTTATAATTACAAGTTATTTCAGAGCAGTGCTATCAGTCAAATACTGGTAAGGTAGTTTGAAAATAACCACATAATCCATATAAAAGAAGAAGAAACATGCACTGATAAAAACCTACCATTCTTCGGTACGAATTGGTAGACCCTGTATGGTTCCTCTGTATTACCGTCCAACCGGTTGTATTGTTTTAATTCTTTGATGTCAGGCAGCTTTGTAAGTGCACATCGGAATCTTGTTTTCCAAGTGGGCCAATCAGGATGATCGACACCTTCACGATACCGCCCAGTGTGTACCGCCCATTCCTAGCAAAAAATTAAACACAAAATCTAAATGAACAGCAAATTCATGCTTGATAATAATCATCTACGACATATGTATATATAATGCCTAATGGGAGATTTAATAATAATAACAGAAGTGCCTTTTTAGAAGTAATCATACCTTGAAAATAATTCCGTCATCTTCTGACCACTCCCTGTTACCAACGTGTTTCCATGGTACCTTGAACATCTTCTGGTCTTTATCAACCCATTCTAGGCCCCTTATTCCTCCAGAGTTGATCTGGGACTCCAACCAAGGGCGCATGCGTTGCCGTGTTTCCGGTGTATAGTTTTTACTCATTTCTAACCCGTAACCTCCTTCCAATCTGTCGAAAAAAAATCCTTCATGAACAAGAAAAACAAACTATGACAACCATGGAAATGACATACAAAATGTAAGAACTGAACCTATAATACGAATTTGCTTAAGACGAACTTCTTAAATCATCTCGATGAAAAGAATGCAATAATAAAATACGAAGCGCACAAGACCAAGACGCTGCGAATCCTGCACAGTTGTACTTTTGTTTGCAAAGTCTTTACATAACATTGTAATGGTAAAGCGGAAAATAAGAACCATTATAGGCTTTATTAGGCAACTTGAGAGATCTGCTATTATTTCCTTATATCACAATACACATGTTTCCGATTGGTTTAGAGTAGGGGTTTCCGATTGGTTTAGAGTAGGAAATGAGGAAGAACCTTCTAACCGCAAGCTTTATTTCACGCCAAATTTGGCTCATAATTTAAAGGCCCATTAATCCCCAAAATGCTATCATTTTCATTTTCCAAAAGCTTTTTACTTCTGGTGTCCAGATACAGTTTCCAAAAAGTTACTCGTTCAACGAGCCAACGGTTGGCCACATAGCTGAGTGCCATCATTTTGCTACTTTTGAATTTTGGCAATAAAAAACAGTTAAGATATTTAAGTTTTTTGTATGGAAATTAAAAAAAGTCACTTATTCACATTTTGCTACATCGATTAGAAATTACTTGACATTCAATGCTCTTTTATTAATGTGATTAACATGTCACGTACCCTAAATCCATTATGACAACATTATAAAACTTATATTATCCCTTTCTACAGAACAATATATATATTCATTTCTCAGACTTAATGTGCCTTTAAGTTGCCATAAATCTTTCTCTTTTTTTTAAACTTTTTTACATGTCTGACCTAGGATGAAATAGAAATCAAAATCAAAGTAGTTGTATGCATTAGCTATGTATTAGTTGGTCAAACAAGTCAGCAGATCTAGCATCAATTTTTTCCCTTGAAAGAATTGCCTGAGCTTACCTAGCCTTTAATCCAATACAAGAACAAAATAATTAATTAAACAATATCACTCTTGGCATTTAATCGTATTTAAAAAACAACTTCAATCATAGAAAAAAATAACTGTAGAGATATTTAACCTATCACATCAATTGGTTTTATAATATTCCATCGTCAAGAGTGTCCCTTATATATAGAAGTCTTCAACGCTATTTTTTCGGGGGAATATTTTGTTAACTCCAGAACTTTTGGTGGTAAATTCTTTGTGTTTGTGGGCGTTCGCGGTAACAGGGTCTCGAGGGAGTAGCAGGAAACAAAAACTGTACACTTTTAGTACAGTAGGACATTTCTATGAGAGTGTATGTGATAAATTATGACTCAGAAAGATGTTGGTGTTTTTTGTTGTTATTATTTCCTTTTATAGAAATATGAGTCCCAAAAATATACCATTTACAATACACCGGGTATAATGAGCGCACAGTATTAATGCATGCATAGATTATTTTGATATACAAACTAAAAAATCAGGGACATTGAGAGGGATGATAAAAAACTCTTCAAAATAGTTTCCGCAATTGGATTAACAACTGATAAAATGTAATTTAAGTCTCATTTAAAAAATTTAAAACCATAAAATTGTGATTTTATAAATACATTCCCTTTAACAGCAGAAAATATAGAATTTTATTTGGACAAAACCAGGAGCTCTAACATATAACAAAGAAAGCCTGTCTTTTGAATTCAATTCCGAGTGGCATTTGTAGTACGTACTGATAAAAACCAAGGGGTTTATAGAATAAAAACAACAGCAACAAAACAACAACAACAAAAACTGAGGTATTTAAAACAACGAAGAATCAGAAACTATGTATCATTTACCATACGTACTATTGAATTAGTTAGTAAATTTCAAAAGAATAAACACGACAAAATCTGAACATGAACACTTGGCTAATAACCTAAAGAATGTATTGCTTTGTCACAAAAAAATAAAAACAAAGATAAGCTTACAAAAAATATTGCTTGTAGACGCGATATATACTTACAGTACGTATAAATTACATATGTTCACTAATTCAGTAAATAATAGTACGGATTACACTTTAAAAAGGTATACAAAACGCGTCATTACAAAGGATTGAACATAATGGCTGGTAAAACAATGCATGGCCTATATATAACACCAGGTAGGTCTAAGCTTAAAGTAAATCCAAGAAATCCTACTTTTAAAATATATCTATAAATGTATTATGAATGTTTAACGATTACCTGTACTTTTCACCGTATTGAATATTGATAAGTTTACGCAAGATACTCGGAAAACCACTATTTCAACAAGCGTTATCTATATGGAAGGCAAAATACGGCTTGTCTTTATATCATGATGCCTGTTTGAACATGATATTCTAAAGGATATATGCATCACGAAATTGTATTGTACAGTTCCGAATTACAAAAACCTTCTCGAAGACATTTCAGATACGTTACTAAATTTATTGCCTAATTATTTCTCTTTTGTCAAAAAAACATCTCGATGTGTCTTTGACAATCTTATAAGTTGGACTACTAAATTGACTCCAAATTGTAAAGAGCAACTTATAGTAATTACAACTACCTTATAATCAAGAACCGCAGAACACCTTTCGAATATTTCTACCTGACAAAAAATATATTGGAGCATGAAAAATTATCATTAACAAATAAATGTAGACCAAATTTACTACAGTTGGTTACGCAATATGTAATACCTGAATAGTACTGAATAGCCTGACTACAAGTTACAAATAAAATGGTATCTAATTGAGCTGGAGTCAACAGTGGCGTTCCATACTTGTGAATATATTGCAAAATACTTTCAATTTTTACAACTTGTCATATTTTAGGTTTCATCTATATTATCTGCACCTGTGAAATTGTATACATGTAGTAGCCACATTTTTTTCGTCATTATCGACATGCAACACCTTGTTTAACCTGTTAGATCTAAATGTACTTTCGTTTTCAAGTGATAAGAAATATATGGCGTTACGTAACCCAATAGATAGCTTTGTAATAAATTTATCACATTCACTATCGAGAATATATGATAACAAGGTTAATCAAGAATGATAACCAAAATAAAAACCAAAATAAACAATCTGACTTACCCTTAATATATTTATAAGTGTCAATCGCTTCGCGTATTAATGCTGTTAATTAAACTGATTGTTTATCCTATTGATTTATGACATAACAACTGCACAACTGCATTTCCTAAATTGTAGTTAATAACAATATAAACCTATAATTTCCAGTTTCCAGAAATCTTACTCAAAATCACTATTACAAAAAGTTTAGGAACGGCATGCTTTACACACAATTGGTGACCGTGACCTACATTCTGTTCGTAGAATACATGTAAACCGAAACCACCGAAATGGGGATTTCCGATTTCTCACAAATTTGCTATTTATAGTAACATCAACGAACCTTATTTTTTCTTCTTCTTCTTTTTGCACGTTTATTTAAGCATTTTACATAAATCATTTGCTAATATAATATTATATAATTATATATATATCAGTCTCGGAGTGGACTTTAAGGAACTCGCGCAGTACTTTTATATATAGATTCTATTAAATAAGAACCGGTATAATTCTACGTACAATTGTGATGAATATATATTTCAGAAATATTCAGCGAATTAGACCTGTTCATATATTGTACATATTTTAAGTCAAAACCACTTTACAAGCTTCTAGTTGGGGTCGGGACACGCACTCATTGAATTTGTATTGGACAAGAACGAACATTTGGTCATATATAGTTTCATTAGTATTGGAAGTCAAAGATCTGACAATCAAAGCTTTGTACATAACGACATGGTAATTACATATTACACAATCTAAAATGTTCTTGCTTCACTAAAGAACTAAATGTGACTACAGAAAACTTCATAATGAAACAATGACCAGTATCTACCTAATCTCTATTAAATATACAAAAATGAAACATGTTATATTATAAAATATTTTATATTTCTACTAGTATGTTCTACCATAACAAATGGAACAAATTATGTCATTTTAAAGTAATACCTTATTATATATTACTTTTATCATCATATTCTTTATTTTAAACATACACAAGAAACATTTTGATTTGTTTTGAAGAACATTTAATTACTGAAATGCTCGATCGTAACTCGATCATCCATGGCAAAGTAAAATAACTGCATAAAAAACAAAAGACTCTGATGCCAATTAGTTCACGACACACTCTCTTAGTCATAAACAAGTCATGTACAAGTTATATAATCAAGAAATTATAGGGGTATACCCTTTTCTTTAACAAAAAGCAGGGTCTTTCAAATAGATTCTATTTGAAAGACCCTGCAAAACGGTACCTCTTATAACTTATTCCAATATTTAAAATGATTCACGAATATTTGCCCGTACTCCCACATTATAACATTTGAAATGTAGGTAACTTTTCACGGCAGTCTTTAAAAAGATACAGTATATAATGCGATATGGCCATACATGTATGTAAGAAATTATGTAATAATCTATAGTTACAAACCTCTGGTATAGTGTGTCCATTTCTGATGACAGTTTACAAACAGTTTTACCTTCCAATTTCTCCACACGTATGTCTGAACTTACTAAAGGAGAAGTTCTCCCTTCACTTTTAGAGCACCTTTTTGGGAAATTCTGACTCCAAGATTCTTTTGGAATATCTTTATCTCTATTAATCATTCTTAACTTTTTGTAAAAAGACATTGGAAATTTAATTAAACACGAACATTTGATTAAATAAAATAGGTTGATAATACTGTTTTAAAAACCCCTTTCTTTTCAAAAACGAAACTAGAGTTTTTGCGTGTTTAATTTCCTTATGTTAGAATGTAGAACAATAGTTCCTATTGATGTCATTTTGATAGATTAAGTTTAACATAAGAGTCCAAACTTCCTGTTTGTATGTATCTTAAAAGAGATCGAAATCTATTTGACGTTTTATGTAGGTTAAAATATATACTCGTAAAAAAATCACTACGATTGGTTGTACATCATGAGTTAAAATAAGTCATACATAAGTGAAATATTATTGTGAATTCTCAACTTATTGAAACATTTCTCCTGCAAGTTAACTAACCAATAGGGGTGTTTTTCTTGAGATCATCACAAGTTTCGACGTGTTTTTAAAACACTGAAATATGTTATTTTAACCTTTTGTCATAAAAAAACCAACATTCTTGATAAGCAAGCAAGTAGGACTGGATTTTTTTCTTCTAGATTTATGTGCAATTCGATGTAGGCATCTTTAACCCAATTTTCCGGAACACATGCAATCAGTTTTATTGTGCAAATTGTTCCAAAAATGAAAAGCGTCGGCTCAGATCAGGATATGAATTGCACAAAAAATCAACTTAAAACATTTTACTATCTTTTGCATATTACATATTTTTTGTATTAATTAATGTTTTAGGTATTTGTACCCCAGTGGGGTTCCTTAAACAGTGATCATTGGTAAAGTAAATCACTACCATGACCCTTATATAAATTGACCTTGGCTGAACAATTTGTCTCATTTCTTTCAGCGGATTGGATGGGATAGAACCCGATGAATAGTTTTTGGCGTCCAAACGCTTTACAAAATCTCATATAAAAGACTAAAGCAGACTAGATGTTCTGAGTCCCTAACATATTGCCGTAACTCATACTAAAGAGTGAATATCTTTTTAACATCTTTTTTACTAAAAACCTTATGCGTAGAAATAGAGAAAATGAATTGAAGATTGTCTAAATGTAGTAGAGTGTATCTGTTCTTGTACATGAAAAGTTCATATATTCAGGAGTTTTGAATAACTCTTCTGAAAACAAGGTAAACATTATATTGATCTTTCCTATTAGAGATAGGTAGCAATTCGATAAGTATTGAGTAACCTTTCATATCTTGGGTCAACTATGGATTCACACAGGGAAAACAAAATTTGAAATGACAAGCCACTATGTATATACTATATATTAACATAAATGTTGCCCTTTTCTGAATAACATGCAATTGTTTTATGTTTTGTAATTATTGCAATGTATTCTTTATTTTAGATGTACAAGTTTTTTTTAAAAAAAAGCAATGTCATTACACTAAACTTAGGAAATAGCTAATAAAATGTGAAAAGTGATTCCCGTTTTGAATTTGTCCTTAATTTAGCTGTCTTATAGTAGCACCTCGGTATCTTAGTTACAGATTTATTGGCTCCTTGAGCATTACATCAGACAATACAAGTTGACTTTGTCTGTAGATTTTGTGTATTGCTACGATATTACGTGTACGTAGTTGAAAAAATATCAAAATGAGTAGTAACTGAAATGTAAGTGAATAGTTACAGTGTTGATAATTTTAGCCTCTTGTGACCGAGGTGTAGGCTTTAATGGTTGAGTCATAAGAATTGCAGTCACTGTTTATTGGAGATGTATGACAAAATTATACTGTGTGGGCAAGCCATAAAAAAGACCCACTATAACTTCAGGTTGGGAGATCAGTTGTGAGGATTTTGGTCTTTCTTAAGCTTAGGCAAACATATGAATAGCAAGAGGCTATGTGAAATTTGTCAGTTGTTACTCCCAAGCACATATAATAACAAAAATAATTCTTTGCTTCTAATAACAATTTGATTTGACAATGTTGGCGAACATCTTTTATTGCAAAGGCTTGACTGTTTTAAATGATGTCTATGCTTGCTCACGTTACCAATTAGGGTCAAGTCTTAATGTCAACATTAATGCCTGCAAGAACAGCACGTGGAAAGCCATAATTTGGACAATTCAAATTTTTACATCATTGGATACCAAGAAATTGGATTCATTTCATATAAATTTCTGCCATCGTCAATGCAACAACCGATATACATGTCACTATACTGGTCGCCACAGTATTAGAAGTCTCTAAAATGATTGCGTAAGGTACGTAAGGGAATAAGCTACATTACGCGTCTAACAGTTATTTCAAGATAAACCACGAGGTATGGGATTTTTATTTCAGTACATACTATTGAGTAATTTGATCGGTAAAAGGTCTTTTGTGTCACGTTTGTAAGGAAGTGAACCAGTCATCTTTAAAAATTCTATACTGCAACCACAAGGCGGGATACTGTTTACGACTGGTTCTCTATGGAAGATACGATAAGTCAAAAGAAGATAGAGCACTATCAATTTCCATGCAAAATTGCAGGCAAGTGATTCCATGATGGAGCATAATCATCAGTGTTTGAACATGGCACAAAAAACATTGAAAAGGAAATACAATGTAAAGTTAAATTCTAATTTTTATTTTCTAGTAATAAAATATTTTCATTTTGATAATAAAATATTGTTATTGGTACAATGAAACAAAAACTTAAAAAAGAAGAATATAAATATATATAAATGTGTATATTATAAAATTGTTGTAATCATATCACAGAATCTTTATGAATAAACATTTAAAATATTAACAGTTGTAGACCAACGGACACCAATCAGAAACCAGTCTACAAACGAGACTATACCATTGGTCAAATTCAAACACCTGGTTTATGATGTGAATCGACCAATGAAATAAAAGCATTCTAGTTCGGGCTCTGTAACAAAATGAAATCATACCCTTAGTCCCGAAATAAACGACAATTTTATAAAAAAATATATTATTATTATAATGATATGAAAATGTCCAACATTAGTAGTTTAAAAATAGCAAATAATAAATATAATACTAAATAATAAAAACAAGGCTATGATGGATGGCCCTTATTTCGCTCACCAGACTATAAAGGCTCTAAATGAGGAAAGACAATTATTAATACAATAGCCGATTTAAAGTCAAAATATGGGTCAACGTTCAAATCTGCAACATATACAAGTAGGTCACTGTTACAATCAATTATTTGTATGATAGTCAATGGTTGCTAGGAAAGTCGATGGTCGCTATGGTAAGTAAAGCCAATGGTTGCTATAGAAGTTACTAGCTGGTTGCTAATGGAAGCCAATGGTTGCTAATGAAGTTACTGGTAATTCAGGAAAGTCACTGATATTTCAGGAAAGTCACTGGTTGCTAAGGAAAACTATAATATTAAGCATTATGAATATATAAATTAAACATTGAATTTTGTTGTTGGTGTAATTTTTCAGGTGAAGTAAAAGCATACTGTATATGTGTTCATATTACAAATAAAGTTATGCTAAAATTGCTTGATCATAATGTAATGAAAGGCAACTCCAAATGACAAATCACACTTTTTAAAGGACAAGTAAATTCATGGGTCTAGAATTGTGGTTTTATATACATTGAAGTCATGAAACCTTTGACAGTTCTGAATGCCAACCCAAATAATAACTAACCTATGTTTCCAGTAGACTGTTCAACTATTAAAGTATAGAAACCTAATTCTTACATTAACATATGGTCACCTCTTTATTCATTTAAACTACATTTAGCAGATTAAAATCTATGTAACAATGGATACAAAATATAATATTATCCTATTCTATTGTAAGAATTTCAAAATATCAATCAAACCATTACGTACAGGAAATAAGTGCAAACTGAAAGTGTTTATAGTACTTCTAGTGAAACAATCACAAGGAAATTTTATTGGTAAACACTATCTTTTATCACCCCATCAGTTGAACACTTTTTCTTCCTATTACAGTTGATTTAACAAAGTTATAACACATTACATGACTGCATTTATATGTCACATGACTGAAACTTTGTTTGGCCTTTAAATTAAGTATAAATTAGTTTATAATACACCATAAGATATGCACTCAATTTGAGGCTATGTCAAAAATATTATTAGTATTCATTAAATACATTTTATTCAAAAATGATTATTACAGATTTCGCTCATATTATGTCATGTATTTTCATTGTCAAAAAAAACAAGATAAGTTAACACTGGTTTAAATATTGTGTAAACAAGACAAGACTGGTTTAAATATAGAAACATTAAACAATAAATCAATTTCTCAAAACTGTTTATGTGACATATAATCTATAACAAGTACCTTGCATTAGTACAAAAAAAACTTGCCCAGTTTTGAATAGGAAAATATCCATTGATGTGTTTGCATAAATTAGATTGGCAGTGTGCATAACAAGTAATGATAAAGTTGACAATGTTAACCTGAAATAACATATACTGATATTATGGTTTCCGATTATTTCACCTATTTTAATAGATACTGGGTACTTTTATTGTTTTTATGGGGACATTCTGAATGTCATATGGCGACTTTCCCCAGCTTTACTGGTAGCAGAAGACCTCAGGTGCCTCTATGTGTAATTTTTTAGGCAAAAGCATGCATCTGAGTAGAGCCACAAACATTCCCTTTAGCTAGCCGGACAGCTTCTTTGCATAGAGGATGGAAGGTTTCGAATCCACAGCAATGAGGGGCAATTGATTGATGTTTTAACAACCTAAATCAATTCCAAAAACGCTCTCATTCAAGCTATGTACATCACAAAAACTAACAAGATAAAATAAATGTTTACCAGAACCTGCTAGTTCCTCTTAAAACCATTTTTATACAAAACAAATATTCATATACATAATCTGTTTTCAACACTGTACTATAACTACAATATTGCATCTGATACAAATATGCGATATAAGCTCTTGTCGCAATTACAAGGAGAGATCAAGTTAACAATCAAGGAAATGTTTTAAAGTAACAAATAAAACTAATGCATTTTTGTCTCCTTTTGTTGTTGAGTTTTTACAAACAAAGACCTTCACATGAAATATGTGTATCTCACATGTAATATATCATAAAAGAAGAGACAAACAATAATTATGCAGAAAGTTTTCAACACATAAACAAAATATTTATCTTTTAAATGGCTCAATTATATTTGACCAACTTTGTCACTTTCACTCTCAGGTCCACTTCATAAAATAGACCAGTACTGGTGTCATATAAGGAAACATGGTCATGACCCAAGCCAGGCTCAGACACACATGGTTGAGAGGTAGACACCTTAACCACTAGTCCACCACTCCAATTGATTGATGTTTAAAACATAATAATGGCTGATGACATTAAAAGTGATGGAAAATGATAAATTGTCCTGAATATATAATGATCATGTTATTCTAAATGTTCATGCTACACAATGAATGGTCTGCTACGCTGTATTCTTGCTCCGACAGCTGATAAGCGTTCTGGCTGTTAGATGTCTCATGCTCGCACCATACCTTGTTGTATATGTTTTGATGTGTCCCACCTGAAATGACAATATATAATATAGTATATAATACTATTTAATGAGACAAAACATGATGAGGAGAAATGATAATGGTTAATACAGTAATAGAAAAAAGTAGTTCCTTCAAAAGAGTATCTAAAAGACTTTAATATCTACACTTATTAAGGGTAATGGTTTTAGTGTTTTTGCAGAATTTTTTTCAATCTATCAATCTATAAATTCAAATAAAGCAATCTATTTATCAATTGATTTATCAGTAACCTTTTTTTAATCAATGTTATTATGAAAACTTCCTTCTTATATCAAAAGCAAGATAAGCACTTCGATCATATCATTTTTTCAACCCACGCTTCATACAAAATTATCTGCACCCAACATTTCACTTGTTCTTTTGATTTATCATGTCTTTTTAAGATAGGCATACACTTAAATTAAGTAAAAGTGTCCAGCACATCACAGCCTCAAAATGCTTAAGCAAACTAATTCAGATAAAACAATTTTGCAGCATTACATGTATTCTGAAACATTTGGACGTGTGACAGATTTTATGAAAGTACACAAAGGTATAACTATTTATATATCCTTCAAAATGTAAATAAGGAAGTGAAAAAAATTTCACTTAGTTGTATTTAAAAAGTGTTGTACCACAGATTTATCTTACATTTATATTTGTAATGAAAATCCGTGGTTGTACTAAGTTACTCTGAAAGTCATTAGTCATTACTTTTTTTCATTGTAGAAGAAATACAACTTACTAGGTCAAAATAAAGAAAAATTTTTTATTTTGATCTGTGCCATAAATTATCTTCATGCAAGATTATCAAAAATAACTTACAAATATCAGTTAGGAAAGATACACAAAAAGGGGTTCCATATATTAAAATGTTTATAAATGTGTCATTGTTCATGTCATATATTTATTTGGAAAGGGCTCACTTCATAAAAAATGTATATTACATGTATATATTTTAATGGTTATATAAATGCTTGCTAAATCATGGGTCATAGGTTTAAAGGGACTCCACTGAGGTTTTTAGACATAATGGGACTGAAAATATTTTTTCAAGATTATAAATGTGCCATTTGATGTAGGTTTAGACCACTAATCTTTATGCAAAATTTCAGATCATTTTCACACTTTGTTTTTCCAGATATTATTCAAATTGTAAAAAAAAAAAAAAACCCAAAATGAAAGCGTTTAAATGCTTTTCACTTAAATCGGGCTAAGAAAAGCATAAAAATACGATTTTCAATTTATTTCAAAGTATATTTCTTAACTGTCTTTGCATATGTTTCTGTTTAAAGTGCCCCAGATCATTTATGTAAGAAATTCAAATGTTATGTTTTTAGGCTTTTAAACCTCAATGTAAAGAAATGTTTTAATTAAATCTTAAACTCAGATCGCAGGTATTTGATTGGTCAGAAACCAGCACAGAATGTTCATTCACCAATAAACATTCTGAAATCTAGAACAAACCTCAGAAAAATATTTTTATAGCATTGAGGCCCTGTGTTAAACATAACATGTCATATATATAAAAATATCCTCAATCTTTCCTGTTTATCGCTCCAATGTGATTAAATCTTGTCATTTAAGTTATCGGAATAAATCTACACCCCTTGTTTCTATAAATAGATTTCAAATTGAATGAACTTCAAAGAAGTAAAATTATCAATAATTTCTAAGAAAATCACATTCACTTCCTGGTATTGTAATGTGAAACTTTATAAAGTGAAATAGACCCTCTTAATCATAATACATGTACATGTTTAAAGTGCCAAATATAACTAGTGCATTAAAGCTTCCTATCACCTGTTTCTATATGCATACTGATTACAAACAGCACTATTACTATCTAATTGTATCTAATTACTAAAAGTAATTCGCAGTACTAAGATATTTCAAGATGTAAACTAACAATCCCATACTAAATATGACATTGTTGCCCCTTTAAATTAAAAGCAAAAAATTCAAAATGCTTTTTAAATAGGATAATGTTGACTTTTTTATCATTATGCACTTGCCATTTTAAACACTGTCTCCCATAATCTTGGGGGGGAGTATGACCATAATCTTGGGGGGGGGGGGGAGTATGACTAAAATCTTGGGGGGAGTATGACTATAATCTTGGGGGGGAGTATGACTATAATCTTTGGGGGGGGAGTATGACTATAATCTTGTGGGGAGTATGACTATAATCTTGGGGGGAGTATGACTATAATCTTGGGGGAGTATGACTATAATCTTTTGGGGAGTATGACCATAATCTTGAGGGGAGTATGACCATAATCTTGGGGGGGGGTATGACTATAATCCCAGGGGGAGTATGACTATAATCTTTGGGGGAGTATATCTATAATCTTGGGGGGGGGGAGTATGACTATAATCTTGGGGGAGTATGACTATAATCTGGGGGGATAATGACTATAATCTTGGGGGGAGTATGACTATAATCTTGGGGGGAGTATGACTATAATCTTGGGGGGAGTATGACTATAATCTTGGGGGAGTATGACTATAATCTGGGGGGGATAATGACTATAATCTTGGGGGGGAGTATGACTATAATCTTGGGGGAGTATGACTATAATCTTGGGGGAGTATGACTATAATCTTGGGGGGAGTATGACTATAATCTTGGGGGGGGTATGACTATAATCTTTGGGGAAGTATGACTATAATCCTGAGGGGAGTATGACTATAATCTTGGGGGAGTATGACCATAATCTTGGGGGGAGTATGACTATTATCAGGGAACAGAAAAGCCTCCGAGAATTCTTTTCTGTATGTGGGGACAATCAGATGATAAAATCCTAATAAATTCCCTCACAGTGCAAATAAGGCTACATTCCTTGCTATTGCTTTTTGATGCAAAAAAAACAACAACAAAACAATCAAACAAACAAAAATTACTGCTTTGAAACAGCAGCTCAGGAAAACATACAGCTCTCAATAGTGCTGCTATACATAATGCACCACTCTGGTTTAAAGGGGATGGGGTTATAAATAAATAAATAATTGCAAAACCTTATTCTAAGAAGATTATCTGAAATCTTTTTTGTTTGCTATATTGTATACTCAACCACGAATTTTCACTTCACATAAAAACAACAAATTTCACAACAAAAAAACTTTTTTTTTTTTCATGTTTAAGGAAAAGGTGATTTTAAGATCAACAAGAGCTGTTCCTAAGACAGCATGCTCAATTATTATAAGTACAAGAACAGGTTCTGAAAAGTGTGACACAGGCACTTAAGTGTGTAGGAATAGCTCTCTCTATTATATAAATATAATAGTCAAGCTAACAGTGAAAATTAATTTTTTTGGGAAATTTTATTGATCAAAATTTGAATTTCAAAGTAAGAAATTCCTTTAAAAATTTATATGATTTTTATGTTTGATGTGGTCAAAATAAATACCATTCTTTTAAGAGACATTAGATTTAAAATTAATATGATCACAAGCCAAACTGTGGAATATATGACCATCACCAAATGCACAACCCAATCTACCGTGAATTCAGGTGTACATAATTTACTATATAACACTGAAGAGTTCACTCCTCTTCTGTCAAAGCTGAATGATTTATGGTCATATTCATAAACTGCCTAAAATATAACCAAAAAACAACTCATATAACATGCAATGTGTCCTCCAAATGTTTAAACATCATGTTTAGAAAAAATTAACATGTATTTTCATCATGTCCAAGGAACAGGACCAATACAGCAGTTCCTAACACTGTACAAAGACTTATATTAATTTGCAAAGACAACTGACTGCAAAAATCTGTACTAGCTGTCCCAGAAACATGTACATTCTGTATTAGGCTCATACATAAAACATTGACACATACAATTTATTATCAGCAGAAAACATGTACGTTACACCATATCCCTCATTAATGAATGTAAAGATTTCAAAACAAAGCTTGTCAGACTAACATTGCTTTATAAGTCGGCTTAGACAATATTATTAACATTACAGCAAAAAAAAGCAAGGTATCAAATAAAAATACCAAAAAAAAAAAAACCCCACCACTTTCACCATTACTTTCTTCAGTTATATTTACTATAAACTATTAAACTTTAACTGCATGGATATATAAACTGAAACAAATTTCCCCACAAAGAACAATGCAATAATAACTGTCTCTATCACATTCATAGCTTGATCATTATAACAATGCTTTTTTGAAAATCATGTGCACAATAAGAAACTAAAACAATGACAATTTATAATTATAATTTAAAACCACTTATGTCAGTCATGAAATTCTTTATCATTTAATCTGTATACTGCATCATTAAACATGCACTCTATTTATAGTACATGTATTTTACAATTGCTCCATTTGTAAACGATTTTCAATAAATGACTTTAACGGTTGTTTATGTAATAGTCCCTCATTATAATTTTTTGAAAATTCTGCCATAATTCATGACAGAACATGCAATTTATACAAGTTAAATCAAGCAGAAAATAAGTTCACTTTGAACCTCGCCATCGTGAAAAACCCTACCTACATTTGTATTAGTTGCTGGGATGAGTCTTAAACCTAAACTTGCCGAAATTCTTAAAAGGAATTGCCTGGCTTCCATTTTTGGGACTGTTTATTATATCAAATTTCCAGATATTAAGATGAAGCTTAAAAGTAAGCCAGTCAACAGCAAGGTTACTGCTGATGTGTGGGCTGACCTGGCTCTACACTGATGGCAATTCAAAATGACCTTCAGCAGTTCTCCTAAAAAGTTCCTACCCATTTTACAATACTAAATTTGTCAAATACGATAGCTTTGCTATGAATTTGACACCATCCGTTTTAATCCACTGGATTTTAAAATCAAAATGCTTTATAAAGTGCTTAGTTAAGTATATATATATTATTAAGATCTTTAGCAGGTTATATAACTGTTGTCAGTTTATATAACCCAAGCAGCTAGTTGTCGGTTATATAGCAAACTGACATCTAACCTGTCAAAAATTCTTTATATTTACATATTAATAAAACAGCATCTTTCTTTTTAACTGAAGATTGAAATCAAAATTACTTTGTAAAATTTAAGCCCTGTAAACAGACAATATAAACAGCATGATGGTATTTGACATCAAAAAAGTGTGACTCGGGTCTGATAAAAAATGCTAGCTGTTTAGGCATGGAGACATAACATTGTTAGTGTACTTACAGAGAAAAAAAAAACAGCATTATATAAGGACCATTTTGGAATATTAATTGTTGAATATAATAAATATTTGTTAATATGATAATTATTTTTTATGTTGGTACATTTGAATGGGACAATCATTATGGTCACACCTAAAGCTCAACAATTAATGAATGTCTAACATTCAACAATTAATGTTTAAAAAAATAACTATATAAAGAATCATTGGTAAAAGTAAAAACATAAAATAAAACATAAAAAAAAAAAAAAAAAAAAAAATTAAAACTTAAAATATAAAGGGAGAGCACTATTCTAACCTATTTACTTAAACTATTTTTGTCATTCACTTCTTTATTTAATTTATAGTGAATTTCTAGCTGGACTAATTTTCTATTAAACAAAAGCAAATCTAGCAGTTCTATTCATCCTCTAGCGCACTCCCTCTATACAAACCTTCACATTATCTCCTCCCTTTTATGCTAAAAATGTATTCCAAGTAAAATCATTAAATAAAACAAAAAAACACACTTTTAAATGTCCTTCAAATATATCTAACCTCGAACTGCACTTAATTTCTTAATTGTGAACTAATTTACCGAAATCTGACCTATTCCAAGAAAAAAAGTTAAAAATAAACTCAAGTGTATATGATAATTAAAGTGGTATAATAAAACAAAGAAACTGTCCCAGTTTGTTGATTTTTATACTATTAACATGTAACCAGATATGGTATATCTTTTTTTGCACTTTTATTGACAATTAAAAGTAAGTCATATGACTGCATATCATAGAGTAATGTTACATTGACACAAACAATTTTGGAAAAATAAACAAATTTAGTCAATTTGGAGCAACCATGGCCTTATAACTTCTATACTGTCTTGAGCATCATATGAGCCGCGTCACGACAAAACCAACATAATGCGTTTGCGACCAGAATGGATCCAGACCAGCCTGCGCGTCCGCGCAGTCTGATCAGGATCCATACTGTTCGCTATCAGTTTCTCTATTTGTATTAGAGTTTGTAAGCGAACAGCATGGTTCCTGATCAGACTGAGCGGATGCGCAGGCTGGTCTGGATCCATGCTGGACACAAACGCATTATGTTAGTTTTGCCATGATGCGGCTCATTATGGTTAACTGTTAAGTTGCTGAATTTGTGAAATGGACAAACTTATTTTAGGAGGCAATCCTGATGGGTTTTGAACAAACATTAAGTTTGATAACTGATAAAAACCACTAACCATGTCAGTCACAATGTGGTTTGACTTTAACCTGTATAAATCTTCTTAATTTGCTCAGTAATTAAACCGCATCAGAATAAAATGATAAAGATAAAAAACACCATGAAAGAAACATGGAAATAACCTTTTTAAAATAATGTGTCAATAAAATTTTGATTACATCAGCAAAATGAACCATACACAAAATGCTTACAATAAGATAAAGAAACTATATAACTATTTGGATATAGCACTACTATGTAATATAAAGTTGAGACTAATTGGTGTGACACATATTTACACAGACATTACTAATTGAATAGATTCATATCAACATTCAGTTCAACTGTTCACAAAAAGCTAGGGTATAATTGTTGACAGGTTGTTTGTTTGTTTCATTTTACGCCTTTTTCCAACAGTATTTCAGTCATATAGGCAAGTAGTTTCCTAACCATCATTCCTGGAGAGATACACCAGTACTAGACTACCTTCCTCCGCGCTAAACTACCAAAGCATCTCCCAGGGATCGAACCCACGCCAGAGAGGTAACTGGATTAGAAGTCATCGACTCTAACCCCTCGACCACGGAGGCCGTACTTGTTGACAGGTAGTTGCTTAAAAAAAAACAAAAAACAAACAAACTTCCCAACCCTAAATATCCAAACCTCAAAATTATCTTAATATTCCCTTAATTTTTAGTACAGGAACTTATGTCATTGTGTAGGTATAATTTAAATTATTTGTTAAATTTCTCCTAATTTCCTTAGTGTAACCTGAATCCTAGTCAGTCATATAACTGTTTCTTAAACTTCATGGATAATATTGTTTTATATTTATTGCTCCCACCCTCACTGAACAAATTATCAAACAATTTTCAAGAGCAAGAGCACTGCATGCAGTGTTAAGGGCAACCAATTTTGACAAAAATTCTAAATTAAAAACGGGCATAACTCCAAAAATATAGCTTTCAGAATTATGCCTCTTTTTCATATTCCAAGTTTCATGTTGATAACTTTAAAAAATGATTGAAAAATGGGCAATATTAAAGTTTTTTTTCACAATGATTTCAATGCAGTGAACATACATAAGCGCTTGACCTTTTTTTTGAAACAATCAAGGTAAAAATGTATATAAAACTGTTTACATGTATGTAATAGTAACTCTCCTGAAATCAGTGAGTATCTTATCAAAAGTAGTTGCAACGCCCTACCTAACCCCCTCCCCCCTCGCCATCTGTATACTTAATGTAGTCCTTTATACTACTTAATATGGAAATGTCAAAAACATATGATGTAAAATACCTATTCCAATTTTAGGGTAACTGTTCAATATTATATTAATATTTCTTAACAATTTGTAGAATTTCTGAATTCCACACATTCAAAATCAAATATCTTATAAAAGAGTCAGTGCTTCCTGTAAGAGAACTGGAAAAAACCATCTTCTAACAGAAAAAATTATTCCAATCTCTAAAATGTTTTCCTTTAATGCAGCTAAAATTTGAAAAAAAAGTTAAACAAAAGACTGAAAAAAAATACAATTGAGACACATAAAATAAAAGTAAAGATTTTTTTTTTAGTTTCAATCAACCATTACAGAGCAAACAAACATATATTTTCCATAGACCCCAAACTACCAAGTGACTAAATACATACTTTCTCTTCCTATAAATAAACATAATGAAATTGATAATGAAATAATACTCTTTAAAATACCATAAATTAAAATCATTAATCAATTAAATAACAAAAAATCTAAAATTTTTATGATGTTTCCAGAGAATACATAGCTGGGTTGGTTTACTCATTTATAACAGGAAGACATTTGAATGTGTTATTTTTTTAAAATTTAAATCAAATTTTTATCTAAAATTTGAAATTACATCCCTATGTTCCTAATGAATAAAATCAAAATACAGAAAAAAAGGGAAATTATTCTATATGTACGTTAAAAATGAATCAGATATCATTAAATGAACTTCACTTTCTTAGTCTGGTGTAAGTCATTAAATTTTGGAAAATAAAACAATAAGTTTATGTAAATCTTAATATCATATAGATCTTTTATTCTACTTATGCCAAAAATATTAATAAAATATTAAATTAGTCCAA